TCCTATGTCCTACCATTCACACTGTCCTTCCACCCAAACACTGGGGGATGTGACCTATGTTCCTGTTTTTTTTGTGTGTTTGGTTTTTTTTAATATGATAACCTTCAAACTAGACAAAAGTGGAGAGAATAGTTTAGTAAATTCCCCAGATTTTAAAAGTATCAAAAGCTTCTATTTTTAAATCATGTATTTCTTTTTCTTAAGCATTTTAAAGCAAATCCCACATGCAGTGTCTTTTCTCCCCTGCATACGTCAGCATGCATCTCTTTTTTTAAAGAAGATATTTCTTTAAGCCTTTACCACAGATAGCACAATGAACAGTAATGCCTTGCTAGTATCTAATTACCATATTCTAATTCCCCAGTTGCCTCAAAAAGAGCTGCATTAGCTGTACTGTAGACCAGTGTGTGTGGCGGGGCAGGAGGTACCTTGAACGGGGTGGTGATGGTTTCCCACCATCTTGACTGTGGCTTTGGCAAAAATCAGGCTGAAGGGACACCAGTGGGGACCTCCTTAGGCTGGCTGCAGACATCTGCCCAACTTGCTGGATCTTAGAATTCCTTTCCTTCCAGGAATAAGCCTATGGAACTTCCCCTTCTAGTTTTCAACATCCCATGGTCTTCCTCTGGGAATTTCAAAGCTTCCATGCTGCTGCCACCCACCTGGCTGTCATTGGCCCCCACTTCAAGGCTTTTCCTGCAGCTGTGCCTTTCACTGTAGGCTTCTCACGAGGATTACCGTTCTTCCATCACGGGGACGGGCCTGGACAGGTCTGAGGCGGGCCTGTAGTGTGTGGATTCTTGACTTTGTGTGGAAAGATTTCACAATACAAATTCAGGTGATTTTGAGAGTATGTTTATTAAAGCTGGGGATAGCAAAGCAAAGGAAGGGTAGAAGCAGCAACAGGCAAGGCTGCTTTGGCTCCCTAGAAACGTTATAGGAAAGAAACGAGCAAAGGTAGGGCTGCTGTCAGCTCACTGGATCACAAGAAAAGGGGGCCTTGCAGACAGCATCAGGGGTAAACCCAGCACAATCTGCTGCTCCCCTGGTGGCAAGTCTCATGGGGACCCTTAGAATTTAGGAGGAAGTAAAAAGTTCATGCCCAATAAGACCCATGGGCATGCTCTAGAACAGTGGTTCTCAACCTTCTGACCCTTTAATACAGTTCCTCATGTTGTGACCCAACCATAAAATTATTTTCATTGCTACTTCATAACTGTAATGTTGCTACTGTTATGAATCGTAATGTAAATATCTGATATGCAGGATGCTCTTAGGCGACCCCTGTGAGAGGGTCGTTTGAAAGCCAAAGGGGTCGAGACCCACAGTTTGAGAACCGCTGCTCTAGAGTGAATCCACGCTGGTATCCTTTGATGGTATTATCTCCCTTTAGCAGGTGAGAATCTCAGGGGAGCGTTTTAGAAGAATATTCATCAGCTTTCCAAGTACATTCTGTGTGTGTGCGTGTGTGTGTGTGTGTGTGTGTGTGTGTGTGTGTGTTTTATTTGTTTGTTTCTTCACAGTATTACAGAAAAATGAATGTTGAGGGAGTCTGGCATTATTTCTTGGTCTGCTTTACTGTTTTACTTTTATGTTGGGTCTGTCTGGCTTTAATGGGGATTTTGTTATTTGTTCCCGACTTCATCCATCCTTCGGTTTGGCTGGCACAAATGGCATTAACTGGGTCTCCATCCTCTATCTCCTGACCAGGGGGACTTAAGCTATGTATTCTCTGGTTAGGGCGGAAAGGTATAAACCATTTGCTCTTAAGTGTTCATGGTTAGGGAAGATAAGGTCTTGGGATTCACTAGCTGGCTGTATATTGTTCAAACTGTTTAACCTTGTTGAATTTTCTTGTCTCAGTTTCCCCATCCCACTGGCCTAGGAATTTTTGTAGCTTCTTACTATCCCACCTCACTCCCACCAGCCTCGACCCAGGCTGGTGTGAAAAGCTGCGTACCCTCAGTGAGTCACAGCTTTTTAGATTCCCCAAAGGGCCTCGGCTTCTTCACTTATTAGAAAACTTTGGCTGAATCGCCCCTGAGGGAAGTCAGAGAACACCTGAGTAGCAGCATGTTGTGTCACATCTAAAGGTAGTCCTCTGGCAAAAGAGATGTGGCAACTGAATGCACTGCTCACTCAGGGACTTCCTTTTGCTATAAAGAACATTATTAAGACAATTGGTAAAATCTGGAAAAGGCCTGCATTTTATTGTCTGATAATATCTATCAATTTTAACTTCCTGACTTTGATGATTTTATTTATGAGAACATATAAAAGGGTGTCCTTGTTTTTAGAAAATATATTTTAAATATTGAAGGATAAAGGAGCAAAATGTCTGCAACTTACTTTCAAATGGTTCATATTAATGGGTATCCATAGAAAGAAAATGATAAAGCAAATGTAGGAAAATGTTAATATTTGGGGAATGAAGGTGAAAGGGATGTGAGAATTTTTTGCGTGGACAGTCTAAATAAATCTGAAATTATGTCAGTCTCCTCTGCTGGGTTCACCTCTTCTCCACTGAATGTTCAGTTTTGAGGCATTTCCTTAGGCTCTCTCCTCCTCCCTAGGCGATCTTCTCCATTCCCGTGGTATTAGTTACTATCTACATGATACTCTCAAATTACTCTTTCAAACCCAAGCTTCTTTTCTTAATGTCAGATTGCATATCCAGTTGCCTACCTTTTCATCTCTTCTCAAATGTCTCATGAATATCTCAAACTCTCTGCACCCCAATCTGAATTCACATTTTTATACCTCTCCCACAAGCTCGCTCCTTTTCCAGAGCCTCCTCACCTGAATGCACAATGCCAACTGCTTGCTCAAGCCAGAAAAGAAAAAACTCCAGCAGTCATTTTCGCCTACTACCTTCCTCATCCCCCATATCCAATTTTGTTTCTTGTGGTAAAACTGGACTCTCAAACTATTAATGATCATTTTTTATTGAAAACTATTTTTTTCTTTGTTCATTAACATATCTGGAAGATCTACAATCCTTACAAAGGTTTGCAAGCAAGGGACAATATTTGTAATATGTCATCTTGGTTTTTATATTCTCATCTCAATAGTAAACCGGCTTATATGCTCTGAAAATCTGCATAGTTGCCCCTCTTTGGCTGAATTTCATCCAGAATCATAAAGGAAAGAGATACTGTAGTTCCTAGCTTCCCCTTCGAAGTAGAGCTAAATGTTGAAGCAGAGGTAAGTGATGATGCCTCGCTGATCAAGCAATCCAACCAAAAGGAAATAGGTGTAGCTATGTTACTCTGAAGCCAAAATTGACTCTAAAGTCAAAAGCATTACCAGAGATAAAAAGGCATACTTCATAATATAAAATATAAAGATTTAATTCTATATTTAATTAGTAAGATATAACATTTGGATGTGTGCTTGCTTAATAACAAAGCCTCAAAATATATAAAGTAAAAATTGACAGAACTAGAAATAGATATATCCACAATCATAATGGATGAATTTCATATGCCTCTCAGATTTAAAAAAAAAGAATATGCAAGATTTGATAATATGAACAAGTTTGACCTAGTGGACATATGTAGGACACAGTGTCCAATTACTCCATTCTTTTATAGCCCACACAGATCATTTACAAATATGACCATATCCTCAGCCATAAAGCAAATCTCAAACAATTTCTAAAAGTCAAAATTGTACACAGCATATTTTAGGACCTCAATAAAATTAAGCTAGAAGTCAACAACAAAGAAGTCACCTTCATTTAGAAATTAAAATCATACCTCTAAATGACTCATGAGTCCTAAAAACTAAGACATATTTTGAACAAAATGACAATTAAAATGCTTAAGTTTAAAATATGTGGGATCAACTAAAGTGGTATTTAGAGGAGAATTTATAGCCTATATGTAAATGTTATAAAAGCAGGAAGACTGAAAATTAAATTACTACGACATGATGAAGAGGAAGATCAGTCAATAGAAATAAAACATTTAAACAATTTAATTTAAACAATAATCATATACATTTACTCAATAAGGAAGAATTCATGAACAAGAATTCAGAGGTAGAGAGAACAGAGAATAGGTCATGGAGGAGGGGAAAAATAAAGGGCAATGAATATAGTAAAGGAGAGAACTAGAATTTGATGAGATGGACTTTAAAGGACTTTTTTAGAATAGGGAAGTTCTGATATTTTCTTTTAAATTATGTGCTAAGAGTTGTTGATCCTCCTCCTTACCCCTCCCCACCCCTCAGCAAATTTTCACTAAACATTTATTTGAAAGAGCTAACTCATATTTGAGGTTAGTGGGTGAGAACCAAGAAGAAGGGGTTATGTCCCTAAAGAGATGAAAAAAAAAACTACAAGGTGAACAGTGGAGAGTGAGGATGCAATTGAAACTAAAGTGAGATATGTTAGAAAAGTCAGGCCCTGGGACTTCACAGGTATCTTGAAGAAGCATAAAAATGTCCAAAGTTGTGGAATGGGGTTCCCAGCAGATTTTACCTAGACCTGAAGGGGTAGGGTGGCCTATCTGGCCTTTATTATTTTTTAAAATATATTTTTATTGATTTCAGAGAGGAAGGGAGAGGGAGAAAGAGATAAAAATATCTATATATATAAAAACCCAGCGACCGAATGGCAGAACAACCAGAATGACCGGTTGCTATGACACGCACTGACCACCAGGGCGCAGACGCTCAATGCAGGAGCTGCCCCCTGATGGTCAGTGCACTCCCACTCAGAGGGCGGGTTCACAGCCACTTGGCTGACCGGGATGAGAGGTGCTCCCACAGTGGGAGGAGCTGCTCAGAGGGCAGGTCCACAGCCACTTGGCTGACCAGGATGAGCTGCACTCCCACAGCGGGCCGATCCCCACAGGCCACAGCCCCCACCAGTGCACAAATCCCATGCACCGGGCCTCTAGTCAATGATGATAGAGAATCTTTGATGTGCTGCCTCCTGCACATCCACTACTGGGGATTTAGCCCTCAACCTGGGCATGTGCCCTTGACTGGGATCAAACCCAGGACCTTTCAGGCCACAGGCTGAAGCTCCATCCACTGAGCCAAACCTTCCAGGGCAATCTGGCCTATTTTTATTATGTATCTGAGTGAATTAATTTACAGTGAGGAACAAAAAACTCTCGGACAGGTCCTTGACTTGCATATCCTCTCCCTGAGTGCAAATCTACCTAGGAAGCTAAGCGTGCTAATGGACAGGCTGTTTGACAAACCTGGAGCTAAAAGAAAGAAAAGATATGTTGCCAGCAGGTGTGGCTCAGTGGTTGAGCATCAACCCATGAACCAAAAGGTCCCTGGTTAGATTCCTAATCAGGGCACATGCCCGGTTACAGGCTCGATCCCCAGTAAGGGGCGTGCAAGAGGCAACTGATCAATGTTTCTCTCTCATCAATGCTTCTATCTCTCAGTCACTCTCCCTAGAATCACTAAAAAAAATATTACCAAAAAAAAAAAAAGATATGTTAAGTGACTACGGTCATCCAGGAAACAAGCTGATACTGCCATGGCCACATCTATGCCATTTTACAACAATAATGAATAAGGTTATGGGAGAGATCAAGGTCACAAAGATATTAAGTAAAAGAGCTGAGATTGTAACCCATTCACATCTGAGTCCAAGGCCTGCACTCTGTCTACATCACAGGGAAAGAGGACAATCCAGTTTCCATTATGCAGGCTGAACTCAACAAATGAAACCTGGCACAAGCAAAGTGAGATCTTTGTAGGATCTTTCAGAGGGCTTCTCCCCTAGACTGTATAATTGGCTCACGTCTGCTCAAATCGCTGTCTAGGAAGACAAAGACACCAACCTGGAATGGTATCTCAGCCAATCTGTACTAGGGCACCTTGCAAGGCCCTGGGGCCTTCTCTGGAAAAGATCTATGATTTATGTCTGCATTTTGCAATTTGTTTTCTATATACCTCATGTCCTTTTTGTCCCGCTCATTCTCCTTCACTGCCTTTTTTTTGCATTAAGTGGATTTTTTCTAGTACATTTTAATTCCTTTGTTGATTTTAAAGTATTTTTAGAGTAATTTTCTTGGTGATTACTCTAGGAATTATAGTGGACATTTTAATCACAAACTACCTCAAATTAATGCTAACTTAATAGGGAATAGGGAAACTTTGCTCCAATATAGCTTATTTCCTACCCCCACCCGCTTTTTTTTCTGGTAGAGATCTATAGAACATGCATCACTTGGAGACTTCTGGGAAATATGAAAAACTGTTTGCAGTTTAATTACAAATACCCTATTAGTGAGCTGATAGCACGTTACTCAAAGTTGTACAAAGTCATGATAAAAACAAGTTTTACTGATTTCTATGCCCAAAGCTCTATATTCCCTTACATTTGCTGTGCAAGAAAGAATAAAAACACACTATATGTGAAATCACAGGGCAAGAGGGTGGGAACTTCAGCAATTCATAGTACCTCGAAGCAGCTGCACAAGGCTGGAATATGTTAGATGCTCAACAGTCGCTGGAATAGGCCCTGACGTGGAATCCATGGGTCACTAAGGAGCGGGGAAAATTACTTCAGTGTTGATGATACGTAGTAATTGTTCAATGAGGTTTTGTTCTTGGGCACTGAGCTGTTTCTCTTGAGCTATATTAGAGATTCTGGTGGCATATTCTTGTGCCTGGAATAGAATTGCAGTGACGAAAGGAAGTTGTCATAGGGAAGCATTACATTGGGAAGCCCCATCTGTGCTCAATCCCAGAAACATGGGAAAGGATCCATCAGCTTCTCACACCAGCCACTGAGCTCTTGTTGGAAACTTGTGAACACATACTGGGTCCTTAGAGCTAGCCACATGTGTGCTGGGTGGGGAAGGGGACACCAGAAAAAGTCACCTGGCTTGACAAACTAAGTACACTTTCATAGCAAAGTGAGATCTTTGTAGGATCTTAATTAGGGCCCTTTGAACCAACACTGGAAGGCAGAGAGATGACAGGACCATAAGTAAACTGCCAACCTGGAGGAACTCACTGAGTATAGTTAAAGCTGTTACTCCATTCCTGCAAGGACTCCCCAGAGCCCTCAGGCCCCGCAGGCTTTCTAGTACTGCCCCTGCCTCAGTTTACCTATGCAACTGTGGGAAGGCCCCCTTGAGGAAAGAGGACAATCCAGTTTCCATTATGCAGGCTGGACTCAACAAATGAAACCTGGCATGAGCCTCTGAGCTTCTCTGGAGTAGGGGCTTACTCTTAGGACAAACGCTAATGCAATTGGGCAGAACACAGCTGGATTCAACTAGAGGGATTTCTATCTCAATTTTAGACAGGCTGGCTTTCTGGGGAAACTTGCCTTTGAAGAATTCATCATCAGGTAGTAAAGCATGACCAGGATTCTCAGAACGAAGACAATCTTTTGGGGAGCTCTGCTACATGTAGACTCTCGAATGCTTAAGATTGAAGTCAGGATCCGAATGGCTTCTGCTTCCTGGGCTTCATCTGCAGTGGAGAGGAGGGAAGGAAGAAACAGGTCCTGGAGGCAGCTGAGTCTGCCCTCAGTGGTAGGCACTGAGCTGTGTGGGCACCTGGCCTCCAGAAGCCTCCTCACAGGGACGCTGGTGGAGGCAGTGCAAAGCACAGCAAGTTCTCCACCTGGAGGGCAGCTGCCACATACAGAGCAGTTCCAGGCAGCTCCTGGCCTTGCCTCGCATGTCATTATGAGAGAAACCTAAAAAAAATGCTCAGTCCCAATGTTGCTAAGATTTCTCTCTTTCAGAGTCCTGAATTGGATCTCTTAGGCTCCCAAATACAGGGGATTTGTCCCAGTGGCCCAACTCAGCTTCCACTCTCTAGCAAGAGGGGGGAGTGGACCTTCTAGAAGGTGCAGCATCTTAATTCTTCTACCCCAACTCCAAAGGTGCTTAAGCAATATAGCCTTTCTGCTTTCCCTGGGGAGGCCGTTTACAATTCCCCCCAGCAGTTTTTGGTTCTCCTTTAGTCATTATTTATTGACTTACTAGTGGCCCAGTGCACAGATTTGTGCACATTGAAAGGAAATTAATTAGAAGAAATATTTTAGTATCATTATTCACCCCTTCTCTATAATAGAAGTGTCAGAGATTAAAGAAAATTAGTAAAATGGATATGAAAACAATATATAAATTGATTAATAAACAGTAACAACATAATATAACAACAAAGACATGATATAAAAACAACAAAAACATGATATAAAAACAACACTGAGCCCTGACTGGTTTGGCTCAGTGGGTAGAGCGTCGGCCTATGGACTGAAGGGTCCTAGGTTCTATTCCGGTCAAGGTCATGTACCTTGGTTGCGGGCACATCCCAGTGGGAGATGTGCAAGAGGCAGCTGATTGATGTTTCTCTCTCATCGATGTTTCTAACTTTCTATCCCTCTCTCTTCCTCTCTGTAAAAAATCAATAAAATATATTTTTAAAAAAACAACACTGATAAAAACAATGACTGATAAATTGATTAAACTTATTCTAATATCTCCCTTTATACCACATTAAGAGTAAAAACACTTTCAAAGTGCTTGACTAATTTCCCAACTTTAACTTTAACGTCACATGCTCTTCGAACTTGAGAGAAAGCAACATATAACTGACCATGTCCGAAAACGGGTTCAGGTAGGAATATTCCTACTCTGTGTAGAGTTTGTCCTTGTGATTTATTAATAGTCATTGCAAATGCTGGCATCACAGGAAACTGTCTTCGAATTAATTTAAATGGGAGGCCAGTGTCAGGCGGGGAGAAATCAATTCTTGGAATCAGAACAACCTCTCCTTCTGCAGATCCTGATAATACTTCAGCTTTGATTATGTCAGGTCACAATCTTTTGATAATAAATCCAGTACCATTACAAAGACCCCATTTACTGTTAAGATTTCTCAGTAGCATGATTGCACCTACTTTCAATTTTAATTTGTGACATGGCATTCCCAAAGGAATAATACTATTAAGAAATTTGATGGGAAAATTTTCCTTTCCAGCATCACCTGTTGAATCATCACTCAAATAGGTGTGAAAATCTCCATCAAGTATATCTAAAATTTCTTCATTTAATTTATGAAAGTGCTCATTTTCAGGACAAAGAATCACACATTCAGATATATTTTTAATATTATCTATAGATATACTATTTCCAAAGGTAGCTTCAATAATAGATCCGTTACAAATCATTTCACGGGGAATTTCAATAATATCCATTCTGAGAGCTTTATATGTGTCGCACATGCACAAGTCAACGTTTATTTTTAAATTACCAGTGCACGTCATATGTACTGGCCGGTCAGTCAGTCACTGAGCCTTTTATATATAGAGAGAGATTATGAGTTATTATGGGCCAGATACTTAAAAGCACTTTTTTAAGTATAGCAAGTCCCCAATAACATCATTTTGTTAGACATCACTTCATTATAACATTGATGAGAGAGAAAAATTTATTCCCAATCAGAGCCACTCTCTGTGTGGAGTTGGCATGTCCTCCCACTTCTATGTGGGTTTTCTCCTGGTCCTCAGTTTCCCTCCCACAGCCCAAATATGTACCCACAGGTGACTAGTGTGCCTAGATCATCCCAGTCTGAGTGAATGTAGGTGTGTGTGTGTGAGTGCGCCCTTTGAGGGAGTGGCATCCTGTCCAGGGTTGGCTCCACCTTGTGCCCTGAATTGCCAGGATGGGCTCCAGTCACCTGCGACCTTGAACTGGAATAAGCAGGCTGGAAAAGAATTATCTTGCTAGTTTTTATTAATATTTCTTAAATGTATGGATAGCTCACATTTATTTCAGAGTTTAATATTAGAAATGTTTTGGATCTTTATTTAGAAGTTTGGTGATGTTTTCGTGACCAGAAATATGCCGTAGGAACTTAACTCTTGTTTATATCAATTAGCCTATAGTCCGTTTCCAAAAACCTATGAAAGACATTAAGTGAGGACATACTGTGTTAAGCTTAGAGAAACAGACAGAAAGGATATATACCATAATATTAAGGCTGGCTATCTTCAGCTATCTATGATTTCCAAGTTTTCTGCTTTACCATAAACCACTTTTATCATAAGAGAAAGCTCAATAAAGTTACTAATTTTTTAATCCTTAACTCAAAACCTCTCCTGTAATAAGTCTTCTCCCCTTCAACACCATCCTCACCTCTTAGTTCTGGGGCTTGGCTTATAATATAATTTGTACTCACAGAAATTATATTTTGGTATTTCAGATAGGCTCTGTCTCACCAACTACACTTTTTTAGCACAAGCTAGATCCTCTGTCTCTTTATTATCTCAGCGGGAGTGATATTGTCCAGGGCTACTCAACATTCAGCCTTTTGCCAAGCCTGGGAATGGTGAGATGAATCAGACTCAGCACTGCCACTGAGGAGCTCACTGCCCAGTAAAGCAAGAGGATAAGGCACCAGGACAATTGAGTAATGCCACTTCTGTGTTGAGCCATGGCTTATGTCCTTGGAGGGATAACACATAAGAAATGGATGCTCTGCAGAAATTACAGTGGGCTCTCCTCCAAGTATATCCCCTGAAAGGCTGTGTGTGGTGCTAGAAATCTGACTTCTGGTAAAATCCCTTTGCTCCCCTGTCTCAGTTTTCCCATAATCAATATGGGGGAGATGGCATGTGCTCCAGGACAGGCACACCAGCTCTCCCTATTTTCGGGACAAGGCCCACGATTGACAGGAAGTCACTGCTCTGCTTCGTAGGGAGAACTGCCACTTACCCAAGCCAGTGTCAGTCTCAAATCGTTTGCCCAGTAAATCTATTTGTTGGACGCGAGCCTCTAAGAGGACTTGATAGTGATTGTTCAAATATTTATCCCAGATCTCACAGACCTGTTAGGAAAGAAGATACAATCAGACAAGCGGGCCAGGTCTTAAGTCATTGGACCAGCCAGCTGGGAGGGTAGCACCTCTAACCATCTGCAGACTCCCTCTCTCATTGTGCCTGGTTGTGGGGAGGAAGGGAAGAGGAGGCTTAGGAGCCAAACAGGCCTGGCCAAAGTGAGTGTGGCGACTGTTGGGCTGCAAAGGGCACCTGGTGGATCTAATAACAATTACTACCATTTGCTGAGCACATATAACTAAACCTTTACATCCTCACAACACCAACTGGGGTCATAGTCTTATTATCCCCATTTTACAGAGAGAGAAACAGGCTCAGAGATGTTAAGATTGTACTTGACTTTTGGTAAAAGCTGGTAGGTGGCACAGCCAAGAATTAAATTCAAGTCTGTCTGACTCTGAAGCTCATTTCTTTTCAGCTACACCACAATGCCTCTTCCTCAAAAGTGGGCCTAAAATATGAATAAACAGTCACAGCATGAGAGCCTATATCACACATAGAAATGGTTGCTTGCTAAGTGAGGTGTTACTCTATGAACATAAATGACATTTTAAATACTAAAAGCAGTTTAAAATCTTTCACATGCAAAGATGGAGACTTCAAGTGCACTCATATTTTTTGATCCCTTCATATGACATTTTAGCCATAATTTCCCCTTTAAAATCTCATTTCTGCCCTAGCCAGTTTGGCTTAGTGGATGGAACGTCTGCCTGCAGACTGAAGGGTCCTGGGTTTGATTACGGTCAAAGTTACATGCTGAATTGCAGGCTCAGTCCCCAGTAAGGGGCGTGCAGGAGGCAGCTGATCAACAATTCTCTCTCATCCTTGATGTTCTATCTCTCCTTCTCCCTTCCTCTCTGAAATCAGTAAAAATATATATGAAAATCTCATTTCCTTCTCTATCACATACCTCAATATGCCCACATTACCTTGCTTCTATGGGTATGACAGAGCATATGGCAATCTATTTGGAGGGGTTCGGTTATTATTGACCCATCACTTATTTTTTGTTAACTAGAGGCCCGATGCACAAAATTCGTGCAAGAGGCTCGGCCCTCACAGCCCCGGCTTCGTCCTGAAGGTCATCCGGAATATTGTCCAGAAGGTCGTTCAGCCATCTTGTCTAATTAGCATATTATGCTTTTTTTATTATAGATCATCCTATGGATTCTAAGGACTATTTTGGTAGTGGAGAAATAGGAAGAAAAAAATTGGAATATATCATATATCAGGCTATGTAAACTTGGGCAAGTGCCTTTATCTCTCTGTGCTTCAAATTTCTCATGAATGATCTGACACCAGTTGTAAGGTACAAGGCCTAAGTGTCAAGGCTCAGCTCCCATATTCCCTAGCTCACCTTGGTGTACAGCGTGTCTGCCAGGTCAAACTTCATAAGGTCAAAGAAGATATTAGCCAGGTGAAAGTAGCCTCCTGAGGTCCTGATGTCCTCTGTGCCATAAGCACAACTGGCAAAATAAATCTATAGCAGAGGAAGAAGGTGAGTGCTGTGTTCTCTTTGTAAATCATATATCTGATAATAATAAAAAAAAAGACTCGTATCCAGAATATACAAAAAATGTTTACAACAGCCCAACTAAAAATGAGCAAAGGGTCTGAAGAGAGATGTCTATAAGAGCATGTGCCAATGGCTAATAAGCCATAAGAAATGATGCTCAATATTTTTAGTCATTAAGAAAATGCAAAATAAAATCATGAGATACCACTTTTCACACCCTAGAATGGATCTAATAAAAAAGGCAGAATATAACAAGTATTGTCAAGGATGTGGAGAAAATGGTATTTTGCTGGTGTGAATATGGAATGATGCAGCCTCTGTGGAAAACAGTTTGGCAGTTCTCAAAAAGCTAAACATATAGTACTACATAACCCAGCAATTCCATTCTTAGACATATGCCCAAGAACATGAAAACATGTGTTCATACAAAGGTTTGTATAAATATATTCTTAGTGGAGAAAGAGTGCTCTCCCTCCCAAGAGCAGGTCCACACCTCTCCCTTCCCTTTCCTCTTCTCCCACAGGCATGCTCTCAGGCAGCAGTCGCCAACCTTTCAGACCTCACAAACCACCAGTGGTCCGGGACCATTGGTTGGCAATCCTGCTCTAAGGGACACCATGAGGCTTGCAACCAGGGAGCAATGGGAAGTGGCAGCTTGTCCTGGGCTAACTCCCTCTTCCTGTCCCCAAGGTACCCTTTTCTCTGACTTCTTAGTGAGCCAAACCAGTCCAGCCTAGGTTCATTTCCCCACCTAGTCCCTTTCCTGTTGCTTCTTCTATCCTGGGCCCTTCTGTGTTTCACTGTCCCCAGCTTTAATAAACATCCTCTAAAAGTCACCTGAAAAAAAAATACATTCTTAGCAACATTATTCATAATAGCCAAAAGTGGGAACAATCCATATGTCCCTCAACAGATGAATGGCTAAACAAACTGTAGTATATTCAGATGATGGACTACTACTCAGCAATAAAGTATTTATACACACAACATGGATGGATCTCAAAGTAATTATGCTAAGTGAAAGAAGTCAGATGCAAAAAACCACATATCATTCTATTTATATCAAGCGTCCAGAAAAGACAAACCTAGAGAAACAGAAAGTGGCTGCCTGGAGCAGGGGTGAGGTGGGATAGTAAGAAGCTAGGAAAATTCCTGGGCAAGTGGGATGGGATTAAACAAGAAAATTAAACAAGGCCAAACAACTTACAGCCAGCTAGTGAATCCCAAGACCTAATATCTTCCCCAACCAAGGACACTTGAGAGCAAATGGTTTTACCTCTCTTCCCTAACCAGGGAATACATAGTTTAAATCACCCTGGTCAAGAGACAGAGGACAGAGACCCAGTTAATGCCATTCATGTCAGCTAAACCCAAGGACAGGTGACGTCAGGGGAACAAATAACAAAAACCCTATGAGAGCCAGACCAACCCAAGATAAAAGTCAAACAGTAAAGCAGACCAAAGAATAATCCCAAACTCCTATAACCTCATTTTGATGCATCAGCATATTAAAAATGCATCTGGTGCCTGGCCATTGTTCTCAGTGGTTAGAGCAGGGGTCCTCAAACTTTTTAAACAGGGGGCCAGTTCACTGTCCCTCAGACCGCTGGAGGGCCAGACTATAGTTTAAAAAAAAAACTATGAACAAATTCCTATGCACACAGGGGCGGCAAAAACACCCGGCGGGCTGGATAAATGTTTTCAGCGGGCCGCATGTGGCCTGCGGGCCGTAGTTTGAGGACCCCTGGGTTAGAGCATTGGGTGCACATTGAAGGGTCACAGGTTCGATTCCCGGTCAAGGGTATGTACCTGGGCTGTAGATTTGATCCTTGGCTCCAGTTGGGGCATGTGTCAGAGGCAACCAATTGATGTGTCTCTCTCACATCTCTCTTTCTCTCTCCCTCCTTCCCTCTATCCCTGCCTCCCTCTCTCTATCCCTTCTTTCCTTCCTTCCTCCCATTCACTCTCTAAAAATCAATGGGGAAAAAATATCCGCGGGAGAGGATTAACAACAACAACAAAATAAATCTGGAAAGCTGATGAATATTCTACTGAAACCCTCCCCTAAGATTCTCACCCCAGAAGATGAAAACTCTCAAGACGAAGACCCAGTGTGGGCTCTCTCTGGAGCACACAGATGCCCCTTCTCAGGTATGAACTTTTTACTTCCTCCTAAACCCTAAGGGTCCCCACCACACTTGCAACCAGGGAAGCAATGGATAGCGGCAGCGCTTCCTGGGCTAACGTCCTGAACCTGTCCCCAAGGCCCCCTTTTCTCTGACTCTCCAGGGAACGGACAGCAGGCCCACCTTGGCTAATTTCTTTCCCCCAACATTTCTAGAAAGCCAAAGCTACCCACCTAGGCTCTCACTGTTGCTTCTTCTATCCTAAGTCCTTCCCTTGTTTCACTGTCCCCAGCTTGAATAAACATACTCTCAAAACCACCTGGAGTATTGTGAAATCTTTCCTGCATGGAATCAATAACCCACACAGTACAGGCTGGTCTGAGGCAGACCTGCTCCAGGTCAGTTCCCGTCCCATGGCAGGGGTGGGAATGAGAAATGACTGAAAATGGATATTAGGGCTCTCTTTGGGATGATAAAAAATGTTCTACAACTGGATTGTGTTCATGGATGCACAACTCTGTAAGCTTACTAAAAATCATTTAATTATTCACTTAAAGTGGGTGAATTTTATGATATATATCAATAAAATTTCTTTTTTTTAAGCTAGGCTGAGAACTCGAAGCTTGAGCTAATTCTTTTTTTAAATATATTTTTAATTGATTTTAGAGAGGAAGAGAGAGGTAGAAACATCAATGATGAGAGAGAATCATTGATTGGTTGCCTCCTGCACACCCCACACTAGGGATTGAGCCCGCAACCCAGTCATGTGTTCTGACCAGGAATCAAATTGTGATCTCCTGGTTCATAGATCTATACTTAACCACTGAGCTATGACAGCTGGGCGTGATCTATCTTTTATAGTCTTTTTTCTTCCCTTTTTTTTTTCAAAGCTAGGCTGAGGAATCTGAGCTTGATCTCATTCTTAACAGGATGGCCCACCTCAAGACAGAATGAACAAATCCTTCATTTGTCAGAGGGTGTAGCTAGAGTCTATTTGTGCAAAGAAACACAGATGAAGAAGTGCATTAGTCAGGCTCACAGGTGGAAATTTATGGCACCCTCAAAATATTTCCTGAAGACACTTTAATGAAAATAATTATTTACAGAGATATGGAAGGGTTAAGGAACCAACAAGAACTAAGGAGGCACTGGGGATTCTCAACAGCAAGAAACTATTGCCATCCCGACTCCTGAAAAACCAAGGGGAGAAAGCAGGGTTACAAGGGCCCAGTAAGAGCTAGAGCCATGGAAGAAGGCTGCCTGACAGGAGTCGTAAGGAACCATGTCCCTGCCAGAACTGAGGTGGGGAAGAGAGGCAGCAGAGAAAGTAAACACCCCAACCTCTTCCTCCTCCCAACCTTCAATCCCCCGCCACATCGCTCACTCTCCAACCCAAAGCCCAAGCAATGGAGTCCAGGTTGTGTAGTCCACAGAGGTAAGCCTCCCAGGGCAGGGTAGGGCAGCAAATGGATTTGGGGTGAGGGGATATGGAGACTAATCACCACAAGATGTTGCCATTGGCTCTATGGACATTGTGCAGTGGCAGCCAACCAGAGGGAGGGTTGCCCAGTGGAGAGGCTGAAGAGAGAACCAACCTGCATGAAGACTGCAGTCTGACCCTAACCTCATCCAGATTTCAGACTCCGAAACTATTCTCTCTGGTAATATTGTCCAATACTGAAATCCTAATAGAAACCTCAGAAATGTTGGAAGAACTGCTCAGTCATCACCCTTATTATCCTATTTAACATTTCAACAGAGTTTTGTAGTTTATAAAGCACATTCACATACAACCAGCTCATTTAAGAACCATACTCTGAAGTAGAGATATTGATGTTATTTATAAAAATAGCCAAAGTGCTGCACATGCATTGTCCTATTATTTATCTCTGTAATGAGGTAGAGACCATTTCATGATTTCTCTCTTAAAGGTGATGAAAGAGGTTAAATAATTTATCCAAGATTATGTGGCTGGTCAGATTATAGAGCTGAGACTAGAAGTAAAGCCCTTCTCTTAGTCAGTACTCTGTCTGCCTCCCTTTATGATCCTCCCAGCAACTGAGGGTTAGGGAAATGATGTGTCCTGGGCAAGGTTGAACAGCCAGGAAGGCTTGAACTCAGGTTGTTAAAATTATGTTCTTGCTGGGCCAGAATGGCTCAGTTGGTTGGAGCATCATATTGTGCATCTAAGGGTTACTAATTTGATTCCTGGTCAGGGCACATGCCGGAGTTGTGGGCAAGATCCCCGGTAGGGGGCATACAGGAGGCAGCCAATGAATGTCTTACATCAATGTTTCTCTCCTTTCCCCTTCCTCTCCCACTAAAAAATCAATAATTTAAAAAAAAAATCTTTTAAAAATTCTGTTCTTGTTAACACCCCACCAGTCAGTTGTAGAGAAAAAAGTTATAGAGAAATGCTCAGTTAAAAAAAACACACAACTAAACAGGGCTGGACTCAGAAACATTCAGGTGTTATAATTTAGATTGTTTACATCATTGGCCAGATGATAACGGGCTTCCTCGTAGTTGTCCTTAACCATATAGAGAAGTCCCAGGTTCCGATGCAGTAAAGAGTGGGTGGCATAACTACAATCAGTTGATTTGAGGACTGTCCACTGGGCTTGGGATAGATATTCTTCAGCCTGGACGATCTGGTCTAGACCTGTCCAAAAGATTGAAAGAAGGTTATAATTCATATCCTGGCCAGAAAACACATGATGAAATATGTCATCATGCATTCACACATTTATTCATTAACTCAGACATTTATTGACACACAAATACTTATATATATATGAAAATTTATAGCAGCCTAATCATAATAGCCAAAAAAATAGAAACAGTTTAAATGTCCAAGTGACGAGTAGATATGCAAAATGTGGTCTATCCGTATCCATGAATGAAATAGTATTCAGCCATGGAAAGAAATCAAGTACTGATATGCTACATGGATGACCCTGGAAAACATATGCTAAGTAAAAGAAGCCAGACACAAAAGGCCATGTATTGTATGATTCCATCTATACGAAATGTCCAGAAAAGGCCAATCCATGGAGACAGAAGGTAGATTAGTGGTGGCCAGGAAATGTGGGTATGGGAAAACGGGGTATGACTGCTAATATGGGTGTGGGGTTCCATTTGGGTTAACTAAAATGTTCTGGAATTAAACATAGTGATGGTTGCACAATCTTCTGAATATATTAAAACTGCTGAATTAACCTTAGCCAGTTTTGCTCAGTGGATAGAGCATAGCCTGTGGACTGAAGGGTCCCGGGTTTGATTCCTGTTAAGGGCACATGCCCAGGTTGTGGGCTCGATCCCCAGTAGTGGGCTTGCAGAAAGCAGCCAATGAGTGATTCTCCCTCATCATTGATGTTTCTCTCTCTCTCTCTCCCTCTCCCTTCCTCTCTGAAATCAATAAAAATACATTTTAAGAAAAAACTGCTGAAGTGTACTTTGAAAGAGTGAAGTAACTTAAATGATCATCATCAGTAATGGAATAAATTGAAAACATGTGCCAATTTATAGGATGGGATGAGAAGAACACAGCATCACTTTCATGATATTCCTGCCAAAGATACATCGTCTGCAGAGGAAACTTCAGAGAAACCCACATTGAGGGACATTTTATAAAATAATTGACTTTTAATATTTAAAAAATTAAAGTCACAGGCATCAAGGAAAAAATTATTTCAAAATGAAATACTGTAGATACTAAAAAATGTTAATTCCCCTCAAAAATGCCAATGCTCCTCTTGTTGTAACAACCACATGGGATGTCTGCCATCGGTATGCTCCCCACTCTCAACACTGCCTCTCCTCTATAGGAGTAGGTTCCTGTATTCCTGTTTGAACTACAGGACCCTGACTCAAGGGTAGGTAGATACCACCCTCAAGCTGAGTCAACACAGTTCTCTCTTTAGGAATTTAAAATTGTAAATCAGATGCTAATTAGCTCCTATTACCCACCTTGAATCTGGTGGACATGTAAATTCAGCTCTGTCTGACATTTTAGGGTTGCTGTCTCCTGCAGTAAGCATAAGGTAGAAAAATCTGGTCTGCAGATATGGAGAAGCAGAGGCAAGAGATAAGTCCCCAGAAATAAAAGCTGAGAGCACCGGCCTTGCTTTGTTACGGCATTCTGATTCTAGTACCTCATGGTGCTTCAGTTCCCTTAGGACACGCCAGCGTCCTACTACACTTCCTCCTTTTGCTTAGGTCAGCTAGAGGGGATTTGTCAGTTGTAGCCGAAAGTTCATGACATCTCCTTCCCCATCTTGTGCCAAACTTTTCAGCAGCCCTGCTCTTGCACAAAAGATACCAAGGCTAGATTATTTGGCTACTGATAGGACTCAATATAGCACTTCTTAAGGACTCCAGGGGGTAAGTCATTTCCACTTACCAATGCTAGCTTCAGCCAACAGGAGGTAGGCAGGCACAAGCTCTACTGAACTCAGGCCATACACATTCATGCGGAAGCGAAGAGAATGCAAAGCTGCTGGGACAGCATCTTTATACCTTCCTTCAAAGATATATTTCTGGGCTACAGTGTAGCAGAATTCAATCAAGTGCTTCTGTGGAAGAAAAAAGTAGTCAGTCTACAGGTAAAAGACAATGGTGGATATAGGTATACCTGGAGATAAGGCCAATACCTAATGAGCTGGTTGAGGGCACACAGTAAGCCTGCCTGTATTAAGCTGGCCACAAGTCCTAGCATAAGCGACACAAAAAGGCAAACTCTGCACTGTGAGTTCCTTAAGGTCCAGGAATAAGTGTATTTTCATCTTAGTTCCATACTTGGCATAAATGAGTGCTCAATAGAAAATTATTAAATGAATATTATTCTTCTATTTATATTAAAATTTTAGTTTAACAGAACTGTCATGCCTCAGGACTCTCTGAAACTGTCTGCCTTTCCATTTGAATTAATTTTAAGAGAATTTTCCTTCTGGAGTTATCCTGCTTAGCTAATATCAGAAACAAGTTTACTCTAAGGCCATTGTTCTAAGGCAGTGATGGCGAACCTTTTGAGCTCGGTGTGTCAGCATTTTGAAAACCCTAACTTAACTCTGGTGCCGTGTCACATATAGAAATTTTTTGATATTTGCAACCATAGTAAAACAAAGACTTATATTTTTTAATATTTATTTTATATATTTAAATTCCATTTAACAAAGAAAAATCAACCAAAAAATGAGTTCGCATGTCACCTCTGACACGCGTGTCATAGGTTCGCCATCACTGTTCTAAGGCCACTCTCAAAGTGTGACAACACTAACATTGATGAATCTGGTGTTTTGAAATTTATGGCTTATAAAATGCTATTTTTTTTAAAGAAAAAATGTGATTCTATCAATGCCATAATAGTTTTCCTAATCTCCTCTATTTATTTACTCCTTTATATATTCAAACATCATTGTTGACCTCCTACTACGTGCCTCAGCTCTTATCAGAGTACTTGACATATATGTGGGTATTATGGCTGAATTTCGTTCCCCAGAATTCATATGTTGAAGCCCTAACCCATAGTACCTCAGAATGTGACTGCACTTGGAGATAGGGCTTTTAAATAGGGGATTAAATTAAGATGAGGCCTTTAGGATGGCCCCTAATCCAATCTAATGGTATCCTTATAAGAAGAAATTTGGACACAAGAAGAGATACCAAGGTTGTGTGTGCACAGAGGAAAGACCATGGGAGGACATGGCAAGGCAACCATCCGTAAACCAAAGAGAGATGCCTCAGAAGAAACCAAACCTGCTAACACCTATCATTGATCTTGGTCCTATTGCTTCCAGAACTGTGAGAGAATAAATTTCTGTGGTTTAAGCTGCTCAACCTAGGGTACTTTGTTATGGCGGCCCAAGGAGACCACAGCAGATACTCAGCAAGTATGTGGAGAACGGACTGAATGGAATGGCACTGAGGACATAAAAACACAAAACCAAGTCTCTGCCCTCACAAAGGTTACAGGTTAGTGATCTCAACCCAGAGCGCCCTTTCTCCTGGGCAGTTTTGCTGCACCCAGGAGTTACCCTGCACCTGTCCCGCAGGCCTACCTGTCTCTGCTGCAGCTGCTGGAGGCCATGCTGCCGCTCCTCCTCTGAATTGTAGAAGGGCATGGTGGTGCGCAGCGGAATCAGCAGCTGACAGATCTTCTCATGAATGCTTTTCCAGTCAGCTTGCTGATGAACCACATCACTGACAATAAAAACATGGACTTCATTGTATTTATGTTAGGGCTGACCTAAAATTCCATTGCTCCACTTCAGGCCTAGCCCTAGAAACTAGAAAAGCCAGCCCAACATAGACCAGGCAGGGAGCTCAAGCCATGTTGAGACAAAATCTCTTTTCTGTCATGTGATTATTTGATGGTGGAAAAACTATGTTGGGTTGGGGAAGGGTGGCCTCTCTGCAGGCACAGGTTCACGTTCAGAAGCCATGTGGTGCTGCTGTGGCTATTCTGTTTTCATGATTAATTAGTAACAACAAAGACAGCTTTACTTCTGCATTATTCCAACGGCGTTTTCAAAATATCTGAACTTTGAAGCTGAGGGATGTGAGGGTCTTTTTCTTGAGGAAGAGAAAGGAATTTACATTTGGTGAGGTTCTAGGACAGTGGTCGGCAAACCGCGGCTCGCGAGCCACATGCGGCTCTTTGGCCCCTTGAGTGTGTCTCTTCCACAAAATACCACATGCGGGCGCGCACGTACAGTGTGATTGAAACTTCGTGGCCCATGCACAGAAGTCGGTTTTCAGCCTGGGCGAGTCTATTTTGAAGAAGTGGTGTTAGAAGAAGTGAGGGGTGTCAGTCAGTCGGTTGGTGGGTTGGTCGGGCGACGGGAGACGCAGAGCAGGTGGGCTGCAGGATACGCAGCACAGGGGGAGGCGTGTGCGATTCATGCACGAGTTGAGTGAGCCAGTCAGTCAGCAGTCTTATCGTGCAGTGGTTAGTGCTAGTTGCATCCGCAAATCGCGTGCTACCTACTCGAAGCATAAAGTTACCTGTATTTTTCCAACCAGCTGCACATCCTACAGGTATTTTTGTCATCAATTTAAGAATTGTAATTCTTTTGTGTTGGTGGCTTTATTATTATAATATGAAACATTTTTTTAGGTGCCCTGTTTGAGATGGCTACAAAGAAGAAGCAAAGAAAAACGGAAGATGAAAACGTGAATTTAAAGTTGAATTTAAAGTTGAATGTACCTATCTATATAGTTTAAGTTTAAAAAATTTGGCTCTCAAAAGAAGTTTCAATCGTTGTACTGTTGATATTTGGCTCTGTTGACTGAGTTTGCCGACCACTGTTCTAGGAGATACTTTCCTATCACGGTGCCCTCATGCTGCAGGACTCTGGAGAGCACCCCTTGCATTGTCTCCTGTGCTCCTGGGGGTGCTTTCACTCAGAACACACTGTGAATGCCTCCCAAAGCCAGTGGTGCAGCAGGAGGTCTTGCATGTAACTAACTTTTGAAAACAGAACAAAATCTGTTATTACTGTTTTAAAGGTCAAGAAGCAGAGGTGCCAAGAGATTATGTAGTTGCTCTAAGCCTGTACTCCAAAGCCAGCTGTTTCTTAACTCTCTAAGGGAAGCACTGTGACATTTTGGTATACAGCTTTTCTGACTGTTTTACATACACATTTATTATTTGTAAACACTCGATTAGACAGCACAGATATAGGACATTTGCATCACTGCAGGAAAATTCTACAAGCAAATCCATGCCCACTCCTTAAATAATTGCCTCTATGAATGACTTCCAAATTTATTACCCAAATCTGACCCTTCCTCCAATCATGGTGTTTTGTTTTTACATTTTTTTAACTGATATATAATTCACATATCACAAAATTTACAATTTTAAAGTGTATAATTCAGTGTTGTTTTTTAAAAATATATTCACAATATATAACCATCACCCTAACTAACTCCAGGACATTTTCACCCAGAAAAAAACTCCATTCACTCTAACAGTAGCTCTCATTCTTCCTTCCACCCATGTAATGCCTAGAACCCTAATCTACTTTCTCTATGTATTTTGCCTATTCTGGACATTGCATAAAAATGGGAACGGACAATATATGATTTTTGTGTCTACCTTCTTTCATTTAGTATACTTTCAAGATTCAGTCATGCTGCGGCATGCATCAATGTTATTCCTTCTTATGACTGAATAATATTCCATTGTATAGATGTATCGCTTTTTGTTTATACATTCATTAGTTGGTGAACATTTGGGTTGTTTCCACTTTTTGGCTATTATGAATAATGCTTCTATGAACACTAGTGCTTAAGCTTTTGTGTGAATAAATATTTTCAGTTCTCTTGGGTATATAACTAAGAATGGAATTGCTGGGTCATATAGTAACTATATGTTTAAATTTTTGAGGGCTGCCAATTTGTTTTCCACAGAGGCTGTACCATTTTATTTTGTTTTAATTTTTTTATTATTGATTTCAGAGAGAGGAAGGGAAAGGGAAAGAGGGATAGCAACATCAGTGATGAAAGAGAATCATTGATCAGCCACCTCTTACATGCCCCTGGCTGGGGATCGAGCCCGCAACCCAGGCATGTGCCCTCATTGGGAATACAACCATGACCTCCTGGTTCATAGGTCGATGCTCAACCATTGAACCACGCTGGCCAAGCATGTACTATTTTATAATCCAACCAGCAATGTATGAGGGTTCTATTTTCTTTACTTCCTAACCAAACTTGTTATTTTCTGTCTTTTTTTTATTATAACCATCCTCGTGTGGTTTTATATTGTGGTTTCCCAATTACTAATAATGTCGAGCATCTTTTCAGGTGCTTACTAACCATTTGTATATCTTCCTTGGAGAAATATTTATTCAAATCCTTTGCCCACTTTTTAACAGGGTTTTTGTCTTCTTATTGTTGAGTTTTAAAAGTTCTTTATGTGTTGTGGATACCAGGCCCTTATCAGACTTGCAAATATTTTTTTCTCATTCTGTAGGCTCTTTCCCCCTTTTTCTTAGTGTTTTCTGATGCATAAAAGTTCTTAATGTTGATAGTGTTCAATCTATCTTTCTTTGGTTTCTTATGCTGTTGCTGTCATACCTAAGAACTGTTGCCTAATCCAAGATCACACAGATTTACAACATATATTTCCTTCTAAAAGTTTTATATTTTTAGCTCTTACATTTAGTCTTTCTTGTATGTGGCATAAGGTATGGGTCCAAATTTATTCTTTTGCATGTAGATACCCAGTTTTGCTGGCACCATACAGAGGAAACAATTCTTTTCCCAAATGAATGTTCTTGGTAACCTTTCTGAAAATCAATTAATCATAAATGTATGTGCTTATATCCAGACTTTTAATTCTGTTCCACTGATCTGCATGTCTATCCTTATGCCAGTATCATACTTTCTTCATTATTATAGCTTTGTAGTAAATTTTGAAATTGAGAAGTGTGAGTCTTCCACTTGTTCTTTCTCAAGACTGTTTTGGCTATTCTGGGTCCCTTGTGTTTTCATAAGAATTTTAGGACCAGCATGTCCATTTTGGCAAAAGGGCACTTGGAATTTTGATAAGAATTGCATTGAATTTGCAGATCAATTTGGGAAGTATTGCTATCTTAATATTAAGTCTTCCAATCTATGAATACCTTTCCATTTATTTAGGTCTTCTTTAATTTCTTCCAACAATATTTTGTAGTTTTCAGTGTATAAATCTTATACTATTTTGGTTAAATTCATTCCCTTTTTTTGATGCTCTTGTAAATTGGTTTTCTTATCTCACTTTCAGATTATTCTTGGCTAGCATATAGAAATACAACTGATATTTGCACAGCGGTCCTGTAACCTTGCTGTTTTCATTTATTAGCTCTAATAAAAAATTCCCACAAACTTTCAAGCTGACTGTCCTTCTTGCTCTTACATTTGGGATGAAGAAAATAAATAAGTAAATACTGAGTGCCCACTTGGTCCCAGGCACAGTGCTAGATGCTTTACATTCAACCATGAAAACTCTGAAAGGAAGGAGGTAGTAAAGCCCCCATTTTTGAGATAGAACAATGACTTCAGTTTTATTTTATTTTTTAAAATATATTTTTATTGATTTCAGAGAGGAAAAGAGAAATAGAAACATCAATGATGAGAGAGAATCACTGATTGGCTGCCTCCTACACTCCCCCTACTGGAGATCCAGCCTGCAACCTGGGCATGTGCCCTTGACCAGAATCGAACTCTGGTACCCTTCAGTCCGCAGGTCAATGCTCTATTTACTGAGCCAAGCCAGCTAGGGCACCTCAGTTTTATTTTACAGAAAAACTTTAAAATCTCCAGGACACAATCACAGAGAAATCTGGAGAAAAAAGGGGGAGGGAGAGAAAAGATATTAACCAGTGAAAAAAGAGAATTATAATCAGTGAAAAGAGAAAGGAAATAATGGAGGATAAGGGCCTAGGACATGATCATTTAGTCATTCATGCATTCATCAAATATTTAGTTTCAAGTATTTCAAAGCACTTTTCTGGAGACTGTGGGGCATACACAAGATGGGCCTGAAACAGATCAAAAGGTAGCATACATATGACAGTCCTTCTATACGTTCTACACAATATCCTGTATTGATGGAGCATAAGAAAATTGAGATAATATGCTTGCCAACAAATAAAATGAAGAAGGGAAATAAAAGTTGTCTGTGAAATGTCATAAAGAGTAAGTTCAAAAAGAGTTGAGAAGAACTAATTGCTTCTGGCTAGAGGGATGAAAGGGGGATGGGGAAGAGGTGGATACTCATATTAGACAAAGGGGTGCCAAGCCTATACTTCAAATTGTTTCTTAGCCATCTCTTCCAAGTGGCCTGAAGGTCCCTCAAACTGTGTCCCAATCCAATCTGCCACCTACCACTTCCTCTGTGTTCTTTGACCCAGTTAACAGGTTTATTATCTATTCAGAAGTTCATTTATTCAACAAATGATCACTGAGTGCCTGGTATGTGCAGGCCCTAGGTCTAGTACAGTGATGGCGAACCTTTTGAGCTCGGCATGTCAGCATTTTGAAAAACCCTAACTTAACTCTGGTGCCGTGTCATATATAGAAATTTTTTGATATTTGCAACCATAGTAAAACAAAAACTTATATTTTTGATATTTATTTTATATATTTAAATGCCATTTAACAAAGAAAAATCAACCCAAAAAATGAGTTCGCGTGTCATAGGTTCGCCATCACTGGTCTAGTAAGAGACATAGATATTAAATAAGCAAACAGAAAAATAGGAAAGTACAGGTAAAGTGAAAAAAAGGGAGAGAAGTGAGAGAGTATTTACATTGGGTTTTCTGGAAAACCTCTTTGAAGAAATAAAATTTCTGAGAACTGAAAGAGGAAAGGGAACTAGAAAGATTCATGGATGAAGGGGAGGTTCGCAGTGGAGAGCAAAGAAACTGAGAAAAGAAAGGACTTGTCAAATCTGAACTGAAAGAAAGTCTCTGTAGCTGCATCAAGGAAAAGAGGAGGTAGGAAATTAAGAGAGAGAGGTAACAGGACTTTGCAGTTTCTGTCATGAATTCTGAATTGTATTCTAAATGCAATAAAGGAACAGCAATGAAAAAACAGATGCCATCCTTGCCCTCCTGGGGCACACAGCCTTGTGAGGAATATAAACCAGTGAACAACTGATTTCACATCGTATCACAAACGTTAAGAAACGGGACATACTGAATGCTGTGAGAGCATGGAGGGTGGACCCCTAATTCAGACTGAGAGAGGTATGTTCACTCCATACTGGGACCACTGCAACAACTTCTCAATCAGTTATGCAGCCTCCAGTGCCTACCTTCCAAGCTATCTTCCACATTGCCACCTGTCGTCTTACCACAAATGAGAGCATGCCAAAATCACCCATCACCTTCCAGAGGGTAAATTCCAAACTCTTTGAGGCCATGTCACTGTTTGACCCTCACCTTGATCTTCTCCGTTTAAACTCCTACTAGTACCTATCACAATGATTTTCCAACTCTTTTTTTTACTAAGCCCATAGCATGAAATACATTGTTCCAGTACAAACACACATATCCACATAAGAACACTAAAAGTTTCAAGAGACAGTTCAAGTAGGATCACTCTAATAATTTTTATTCTATTATTTTCTTAAAATGCTGGTTAGGACTTACTCATAATCTGCTGAAGGGTCATGGACCGCAATTTAAAAATCAGTGATTGCTCCCTCCACTACCACCTTATTTACTCAGCTCTCAATAAACTGTTCTTTCACCCTTCGCCCAAGGTAGTCCTGGATGTCAGTGTCCTACGCTTCCTTCTTCACTGTTCATTCACCTAGCAACTTCCTACTAAAATTTCAAGACTCAGCTCAAATGTTACTTCTTCAGAGAACCTTTCCAGATACTACCCCAATCACTGCCTCCATCCTTAGAAGTCCCAGGGAAGAGCACACCTTGAGTGACAACACTTGTATCAGAATGACTTCCTTTTTTAAACAAGTTCGTCTGCTCTGACCTAGGTTTCTGGAAGCCAGAACCTAGTTGTCTTATCTCAGGCCCAAAATAGGGTCTCCTCTAAAGCAAAAGTCAAAGGATGTTACACTGAATAATTGAAAACTGACCTCATCCAGAACCACCCTCCCCATACCCTTACCATGTTGGATGTGCACCAAATAGCCTGCTTTCTGCCTTTCTTTTTCTTTTTAAAAATATGTTTGTAATGATTTTAGAGAGGAAGGGAGAGGGAGAGAGAGAGAAACATGGGTGTGAGAGAAACATCCATGGGCTGCCTCCTGCACGCCCCCCACAGGATGGAGGCAGCAACTTGGGCATGCGTTCTGCCAGGGAATCGCACTGGTGACCTCTGGGTGCATGGGAGGACGCTTAACCAACAGAGCCACACCCGCCAGGGCCAAATAGCCTTCTTTCTATTCCTCAAACACGGCCAATTCTTCCCTCCCTCAGGGCCTTACTGTTCCACTCTTCCCCCAGCCATTTCCATGGCAGGCTGCTCCTACTTTACTTTCAGATCAAGGGTCTGCCCTCAGAGAGGCAATCTGCCCAACCTCCCATCGCCTTTCCTTTGACTTTATGGCATTTATCACTCTGGGAAACCATCTTGTTTTCTGTTTGTTTACATATAGGTAGGTCGCAGTGAAAATGTCATTAGCCCTTTGAGGGACAAGGTCTGCCCAGTTCCCTCAGTGACTTCAGCACGCAGGACAGTGCATAGCGCACAGTAGGCGCTCAACAAAACATCTGCTGGTGAATGATGGAATAGAAGAGGATGAAAACGAGGCACCGAAGTCTTAGAGACCTGTCTTGGAACTGCCGCGAAGCACCCAGGCCCAGGGGGGTGACTGGAGAGGGCATCGGGGCGCCTAGGAGCCACATTTCAGGGCCTACCAGTAGTAAGTGACTGTGCAGGCCGGGCACACCCGCTCGGCTGGAGCTTCGCACACTTCACAGCAGATCCGGCGCCCCTTGGGCACCGCCAGTTGGTAGATCATGTTCATGTTGCAGCAGCGGGGTCAGGCTCTAGGACGGTTGCCTAGCGAGAAGACGCTGGACGCCGGTGTCACGTGACCACCACGGTGTCACATGATCCCCACGGGGCCCCCTCGTTCCCGGCCTTTCAAGGACAGGGGGAGGGCGTGGCTTGGCTAACACCTGAAGCGTGTTTGAGGTTAAAAAAGCCAAAAAACAAAAGCCAGCCATCACTCCCACACACAAATCCCAACCCGTCAGTTAAATGGCCACGCAGTCTAACTCCAGTGGAGTCCAAGTGCAGAAAGGCCCATACGGTGGCCGGTAAGGGGCAAACATGTCCAGTTCTTTACCCAGACTAGGCAATGGGGAAAGAGACGCGCGTCTGCTCAGTGCCAGTTCCGCCGGGCTGTGAGGCAGAACCAGCACGCCTTTCCCGACGTGGAGAAATCTAGGGCGGGCGCCGCCCCTCAGATTGCGGTTGCGCGCAGGCCAGGTCGGGCCGGGGGCCTGGCGCCGGCGGCCGGGAGCGTGCGCAGGCGCGGGGGAGCGCTGGGATTCATGGCGGAAGTGGACCTGGTCGCCGAGTTCCCCCAGCCCGCCGGTGCTGCGCGCTGGGCCGAGGTGATGGCTCGCTTCGCCGCCCGGCTGGGCGCGCAGGGACGACGGGTAGTGCTGGTGACGTCCGGCGGCACCAAGGTCCCGCTGGAAGCTCGGGCAGTGCGCTTCCTGGACAACTTCAGCAGCGGGCGGCGCGGGGCCACCTCGGCCGAGGTCTTCCTGGCGGCGGGCTACGGGGTCCTGTTCCTCCACCGCGCTCGCTCTGCCTTCCCCTTTGCCCACCGCTTCCCTCCCCAGACCTGGCTGTCGGCGCTGCGGCCCACCAGCCCAGCCACTTCGGGCTTACTGAGCCTGGAGGTCGAGGAGAAGGCGCTCCCGGGCTTCGCGGCGGCTCTGAGGCGCTACCAGGAAGCGGCGGCCGCCGGCACCTTCCTGGCGATAGAGTTCACCACTTTGGCGGACTATTTGCATCTGCTGCAGGCTGCGGCCCAGGCGCTCAATCCGCTAGGTGCGTGCCTTAGGAATCCATCGGTTCCCGGGAGGCGTGCCTTTCTCCCCAGACACCCCCTACCAGCGGTTCTCAACCTGTGGGTCGCGACCCCTTTGGCGGTCGAACGACCCTTTCACAGGGGTCGCCTAAGACCATTCTGCATATCAGGTATTTACATTACGATTCATAACAGTAGCAACATTACAGTTATGAAGTAGCAACGAAAATAACTTTATGGTTGGGTCACAACATGAGGAACTGTATTTAAAGGGCCAGAAGGTTGAGAACCACTGCTTACACCCTCAGAACCCACAGGTCTCCTAGCAGGGGAACCCGAGGTGAGAAGGACCTGATCCTATACACCTTTCCGATGTATTACACCCTCTGCTTCTCTTTGCAGGCCCCTCTGCGATGTTTTACCTGGCTGCGGCCGTGTCAGATTTCTATGTTCCTGTCTCTGAAATGCCTGAACACAAGATCCAGTCATCTGGGGGCCCACTGCAGGTGATGGGCGCTGCTCTTCCAGAAATCTGATCCCCTGTAATCAATCTTGGGTTAACCTCCTGATCTGGAGACGGCCTTAATGCATTTCAAACGAACTAGGCACTAGGGATACGGAAATGAGTAAGACACCGTTCTCCCTCAAGGACCTCACCATGTAGTGAGGGACCGGGACGCAGACATAATTACAATACAGAGGGATAAGTGTTCTAGGAGAGGAACATACAGAGTGAGGTCAAAGCGGGGGGTGATTGAATCTTGGGAAGTCCGGGAAGGCTTTCTGGAGATAACCTGAACTGAGATTGAAAACATGAGCAGAGGGTATACCAGTCAAAGTGGGGAGGTCATTCCAGATAGAGAACACAACTGGAGTTTGGGGATGGGCAGTGACTATGAACTGAAGTTGTTCGATAAGCCCAGAGAGCAGGGAGAGCGTGGGAATGGAGAGAGAGCAGAAGCAGCAGCTTAATTCATAGAAGACTTTCTATTCCTTTTTAAGGAGCTAGGACTTTTTATCCTGTGGAGCCAAGGGAAACATAAGTAGGAGAATGAGAGTGTTTTTGTTTGAGAATGTTGTGGCATGCGTTGGAAAGGTGAATTAGAGAAGCAAGGGTTGATTAGATGGGGGCTATTGCTGTAGTTTAAGGAGGCGGTATAGGGAGTGTAGTAGGGTGATTGAGATAGGAGGTAATCTGGCTGCTTGTAACCTGAGGGAGTTCTTAGTCATTTACTGGATGATACAAATAGAATTTAAATAGGAGAAACTCTACCTGTGGGGCACTTACTGACTTTGTAGGATAGTTCATTTGTTTCTTCAACAAATGTTTCTTTATTGAGCACCAACTATATGCCAGGCACTGTTGTAGGACCTGGAGGTAAAACAGGGGAAAGAAATATACCATGTCTTTGTGTTGCTTATACTCTGTAGAGGAGACAGGACTATTTTAGGTAGTGATAAATGCTAAGGAGAAAAAGTGGAGAACGGGGTGTATGATCCCTATCACACTTTATAATTTTTTGAGGGGAAAACCTGATGATTTGTGATGTCATGCTATTTAAATTATGGGAGCTTTAGTTTATCTTTTATTTTTTAGTTCTATCTTGGAAGTGCACAAAACAACTCAACATTCTTTTTAGAAGGGACTGAGAATGGTATAGTAGACGTTGTGACCAAATGAAAATAAAGAAAATCAGTTATAAGTGCTAAGATGTGTTACAAGTGACAGTTTTGAAATGGAATAGCCATTCTGTCAGTGCAAGAAATATTTTAGGCTGAGGCTTAAAAAACCAACTTTATTTGAGCTTCTGCCTAAGTAACTTTTACCTGAGTAGATTATTTGTTTCCATGGGAGTTTGGCATAAACAATGAAGGGAGATGTTTGAGAAAGTGTAATGCTGTTCTGTGGGGTTCTATTAATGGCGAAGAGTACGGCAGAATAGGACTGATTCATTATATATGATTTGCCCATGGAATATGTATGAAGCTTTGAAATTAGGCATCCTTATGAACCCTACAGGGCCAGGGCTTTTAAGCTAAGCATTTCATATGCTTTGAAAAGTTTGACAATGAGAAGTCCCACTTAAATTGACATAGTCAAAAATCTGAGTCCCTGCTTCCTTAGTTTCCCATGAGATTGACCTGTTAGGTGGTGACCTTTGTTTGCTTATTAAGCTTTTCTTTTTCCAACACAGATAACAATGAAGATGGTGCCAAAAATGCTTTCTCCTTTGGTTAAAGACTGGGCTCCCAAAGCATTTATAATTTCCTTTAAGTTGGAGACTAATCCCTCCATCATAATTGACCGTGCACGGAATGCTTTGGAAATGTATCGACATCAAGTGGTGGTGGCTAATATCCTTGAGTCACAACGGTCCTTTGTCATTATTATAACCAAAGACTCAGAAACTAAGTTATTGCTATCAGAGGAAGAAATAGAAAAAGGCATGGAAATAGAAGAGAAGATAGTGGATGATCTTCAGTCCCGACACACAGCTTTTATACAAGACAAAAATTGAAGGATCAAAAACTATAGGGTCAAAAATTGTTCAGTGGACCAGGGCTCTTACAGATGGTGAGAACTAGAATAAGTCCTTTGCTTTCATAAAGATAGAGAAAATGAAGGGAAAAAGCAGTGAGTGGTGTGCAGGCGAATATGGTTTGCTATTTGTCTTTTAAAGGTCAATACCCATTAAAAATGAAAACAAAAGCAAAACAATTATGACTTACCCACCTGACACATTCACCTGGATGTCATCTTGATTTTAAAATGAGCATGAGCTGTTTCTCACCCTTAAAAAAAAGAGCTTGTTGGGAATTATATTCCTTAAAATATACATGTGGGGCCTGAATATCAACCATCTTCACTATAAAGTGGATTATGGTTTCATGAACGGCCATGCTTTGAAGATCAGTTGTTGATGCCTACTATGTAGTAGGCCTTAATGATTATGAGGATTAAAAAGATGAATAAACATGTCTAGTTTGGGAAATGGATATATAAAAAATTAAGTGCAATAAAGTGTGTGCCCAAAAGTTGACATTGTGGAAAGGATGTTGTTCTTTGGGGATTTATCAAAGATGGTAGTAGGAGAGAAGGACACCTCCCTGAAGATAGGTTGCCTGAGGAATAATGAGATTCCTACTGCTTTACTTTTTGCTTTCTTGTCCTAGAATTACTCCATGTTTGAGTTAACAATTTGCCTTTTAAGTATTTTAGGACTGCTCTTCAGGGAGAGAACCTGGGCTTCCGCCTAGAACCAGGCAGGGGCCAATTGATCATCTCTACCCTTGGGGAAGCATTACAGTGTGGTAAAGTGTATGGGCTTTGGAGTCATCTTAGCCAGATTTGACCTCTCCAAGCTATACTACCTGTTAGCTCAATAAATTCAGACACCTGACTTAATTTCCATTTTCTCATCTATAAAATGGAGATAATCTCTGGAAAACAATGCCATTTGTTGTGAGGATTAAGTAAAACAAGATAAAGCATTTGCCTCATGCCTGGAACATAATTTACACTCAATAAGTGGTTGCAATTGTTTTCTTCACTTAGTAAGGCAGTATTGGACTGGTGTCTTGCTGGATCCTTGAATCCTTGAGAAGTTTTCAAAGCACTGGCTGTCCTGGCACAAGAAGTATAGTCCAGAAAAATCCCCTAAATGATTCGTACAATGGTCCAGAGTACAATTTGGAAAACTACCATTAACAGCTAGGTAGAAGCAGGTACTGTGCTTCACACAGATATTTGATTTAAAATGTAATTGGTGATGTTTTATGGAGTGACTTGGGAAGAGTAGCCCAATGTGACTGATAATAGAGGTACAATAAACTTTAGTTGAAAAGATTTGAACAGAACTGCCAAGATGCACTGAAATAGTTCATTAATTAGGAAGTGTGACCTTGAGCAGAGGAAAAATAACCAGTAATCAGCAGCAGTCCCATTGAACAAAATTTTTTCATTAACTTTAGGTCCAGTGGGCAAAACCTTAAAAGCAATAGTTCAGTCAGCAATGGCTGCAATACTGAAGTGATAGGAAGTAAAAGATTGATTTTCTTCCCTATGTCTATAGCTTTATGCAGATGATGGCTGTCATCATCTTTGTATATACAATGAGGATAAATGGAATTAAAACTAGAAGTAATCTTAATGTTTTTATCTTAATGATTACTTCTCTTGGAAACCATTTCCTATCTTGTTTATGCTTGAAACAACCACCACTTCTCTCCATGGAGTTATTTAAAGTGTTTTGTAATTCTGTTTAGTCTCCATTCCAAACACTTAAACAGTATTTACACATGTTAAAATTCTAAGAGTTTTGGGGAAAAAATACCAATAGCAAATGGAAGTGAGCAAAGAAAGAAATAATGAAAAGGAACATGATTTCTCAGTGAGCAAATGAGAAAGAATGTGATCTAGACTGGAGAACCAAGGAATGCTTCCTTGAGGAAATGACCCTTGAACTGATACAGATCTAAGTGGGCTTGAGGTGATGGTGGTGAGCATTTTAGGTGAGAGAGAACTTCTAAGCCTTAGAATCTAAGGGCTCTGGTGCCAGAGTAGAGGTTGAAGCAGTTCTAGAAGTAAGGGATAAAATCCGTCCTGATAATGCATGTAGAACCGGCAGAGCTTTGGAAAGGATCCTATGGAAAACTAGAATAAGATTAAAAAATGTAAGTACGTGTTTGGGATACCAGAAAAGCCCTGTAAACATGAATAAAATCGAGCTTTAACTGGAGTCTTACAATAAAAGCATTTAAATAAAGATGATATAAATTGAGCTTGTGTTAAGTTCTATGTCATTTAGAAATTTTTATTTTGCATTACATAGGTGGAGGAATGGGTTACCTAAACCGAATTTCAGTGCTTAGAATTTTTTTTTTTCGGTGTCTTCATTTTGACAATAAGTCAGCTCCAAAATGTGATTTGTTTTAGGTGCCCCAGGTAGATCTAGGCCTAAAATTTATGACTCCTGGCGTAGCACCCTCTCCCTTTTAAGAATGAAGTTACTTCTAGAAAAATAAATGCAAGGTAATTATGCCGGGGCTCTAGATAAGGCCTGGTGAGAAGCTGTTTGAAAACTATAAATGCCTGGTGACAAGAAGTATCCTTTAAGTTGCAAACGCGCACCGTGGCGTTACCATGGTTACTACGAAGCCTAAGCAAAGCCATACCACCGTTCCTGCCAGAAAAGTCCCGCCCCACGACCTAAAGGCCAATGGTGTGCCCCGTAACGCTGGTCTCCGCAGGAAGAACAGCCCCTGAGCCAATGGAGCGCGTCGTCTCTATAGTTCCCGCCGGAAGAACGCCTTGGCGTCTCTGCGGCTGGCGCGGTTGCTATGACGCCCGGGACTCCAGGCACCTGCCTCTGGTTGCGGAGCGTCAGTGGAGTGGAGCGAAGCGACCCGGGACCCTCAACGCACCGTCAGAAGACAATTTCCGGCCTGCTTTCTGAGGTTCCCGCCGCAGCCCCGAGGAGGAAAGCACCTGTTCTCCGCTCTTTTCCACCATGCCAGGTCTTTCCCGCCTCTCTCCCCATATGGCTCGAAACTACAGGAGCAAAGCCTCTCCCTGGCTCGGCCTTTCTAGCCATGGGCTTGAGTGATTCTGTCTTAGGATTCTTAAGTCTCTGGGACCCAAAAGCCACGGGCACTTAGAATTAGGGTGCCGCTCTTATTTAGAGAGGGCTTAGAACACCCCCAGTTAGGTAGGCGTTCCATTTCTCACTTTTCAGGCAAAGATTCTGAAGCTCGCGGCCATTTATTAACAAAGTCCACCGAGCCACGGCTTTCCCGGGTTGTGAACAAAGAACTGCCGTTTTCTACTTTGTTGCCCCGTGTTCGCCACGCAGAACCTTAATTCCCGTTGGAGCTCTGGAGGCCTTTTGTATCCTCAACATCAGACATCATCAAGTCAGTTAACCTTCTGCCTTTCAAGCTACAGTCTCATCCACTTCTCTCATCACCCTGAGCGCCAGTTTTCTCATCCTGCTCCTTCCATGGCCATTTTCACCCTTTCTTGTCCACGCTGCACCTTACTGAGTGCCCATTCATCTCCACCACCTCTGTCATCTACAGACCCTCTCCTGTTTGTCTGCCATAGTACTTTGGGTAGCTAAATATTTCACGTTCTTCAGCCCAGGAATCATTTGGAAGATTTTCTCTGTTTCACTATGGAAAGCTTTTTGTCTTGGGTAAACTAGAGACTAGAAGCGCACATTGGTCAATACAAATAGTAATTACTACAAGCCTAGTGTGTTTTGAAAATGGAGAGGGAAAAATCAAAATGCAGTTTGGGGTCCATCTGAGACCTATATAAAGAAAGATTGTTCCTTGTTTAAGTGAATGCTTCATTGGGCATATATTTTAGTGATGTATTCATGCATGTGACAAGATCATTCAGAATGATCATTAACAGGATTCCAACTCTAAGCCATATGAACCCAACACTTTGATATGATAGAATTTTTGGAAAGAAGATGCTTGAAACAGTTCTTATGGCTCTTCTTCATGTCAGTTTCTTGATCAGAAAACATTCTTTGTGATGTGAGCCAAGAAACAAAAACAATGAGGAGGAATGATTGAAAATAAATATTTTTGGCAAGAGGCAGACTTAATAATCCTAAAAAGACTGGAACAGAAGGCCTTAAAAATAGAATAAGATTCATTTATATCCAATGCATTTGTGTTTTACCTTGGAAAACTTTGTCTTAAAGTATGTGTTCCTTATCGAATCTTAACCATTTCTTTGGCATTCAGATTAAAATGTAAACCTATTTTGAAGATATGTAAAGTGTACATTTTTACCAGGTATTTTGGGGCTAGAATGGTTTGGATATTTTTATTTCTCAGGCTGATTACAGCAGTTATTTGTGATATCTCATGCTTGATGCCAGGTCAGATTTCCAAATACTGACTGAGAAATTCAGCTTTCTCGTCAATAATAGATTGGAAAAGAAAAACAAGTTCTGTAGCCTCTTCATTTTTTTGCATTAAATGAGAACTGAATAAATTCTAACTCTTGAAAAAAAGGGCTGTTAGATATTGTATTATAAGGAGCTTTCCTTTCCCCATCCAATATGTATATACTGAACAAATATCATTATGGCCATGTAAACATAATTAAAATTTTTTTCTCTCACCCTAGTACAGTAGTTCCAAACTTGTAGGGCAGTTTTGCCTCCCAGGAGACATTTGGTAACATAAAGAGACATTTGTAGTTGTCACAACTGGAGATATGCTACTGGGACCTAGTTGGTAGAGGACAAGGATGCTGCGACACATCCCGCACAATAAAGAATTAGCCAGCCCAAGATGTGAGTAGTGCCAAGGCTGAGAAACCCTGTCCTAACATGTCAGCAGTTCCTTTTTTGTCATGTCAGCCTTTGCTCATGCATGTACATTTTTACATAGTTATTAGTATAGTGTGCATTATGCCTTAATTTTTTGCTTAATTTTATATTTTAAGCATTGATACATTGTTTTTTTACTTTAAAATTATTTTTCTCATTTGAGAATTGAAAAGGAAAAGACTGTGTATTATATATAGCCTGTAAGATGTCTATACATTTTTAAAATATATTTGTGTAGAAGGAAGAAAGAAGGATTAGGGTGAATAACCTCACTGGATATTTCCCTTTTTTGTGGCCATGCTATTTACTTTGTTCTCTGTGTCACTCAAAAGACCAAAGCTCATCCTTTGCTCAAAGCCAAGAGATGCGTTGTAGTATGAAGTATGGTCCTGGCTTCTGGAGGGCACCTGCCATAGGAGAAATAAGAACAAGTAGGAACGACTCTTCACCCACTCTCCTTGCTCTCTTCTCACTTAAAATTCTGTCTCGGTTTTCTTTGGCAGCTTTAGCACCTCATTCTTTACATCTAGAAGTTTCTGAACGCCCCCAAACACTATAGGATGTGCTTATTTTCAAAGAGTGGACTTTTAAGATACTTAATGAGCACTTTACTCAGTATCTACTTTGTAGAGAATAGTATATTTGCATACTTTGTTACGTGGGCAATTTTAGACACAGTTTAAATGTCAGAGCATTTATAATTCAAAGACTGGATTTGTATTACCTCAAGATCTGATTTTTTAGGATTTCCCATTTACTCAACCATTGGGCTTCAATAAGTCCACTGGAAAAAATATTAGTTCTGAGATGTCATAGCAGAACAGTCAAAGGTATGCAAATATTCAGAGTCATGGGAATATAAGCAGCATGATGGGGACCCATAAGTATACCGCATGAGGAGCTAATGTCAGCTGTGGCAGAAGATAAGACTGGAGAGACAGGCAGGAGTCATAGTGTGAAGAATCTCTGGTGCCAAGTTAAGGGGTTTGAAAGGGAAATTTAAGCAGCAAGTGACTTGTGTTCAGAAAGATCAGTCTGAAAGCTCCGTGGAATACAGATTGGATGGGAGCCAGCCTGGCAACAGGGAAATCAGTTAAGGGTGCTATTACACTAAACTGGGCAAATAGTGAGGAGAGCCTAAATGAAGACAGCAATTGTAGACATGGAGAGGATGAATTAGAAGATGATAAAAAGAGATAAAATCTACAAATTCAGGGACTGGTTGTACATGAAAGTGATATAAATAAATAAGCAGGAGGGACCAAGAATTTCTGGCTTTGGAAACCATGCTGATGGTGGTTTTATTAACTATGGAAAACAGAAGGAGGAACAGGTGTAAGAGAAAGAATGGATTATTCAAACTGAGTTGTTCTTTAGACAATGGATATGCATTGGTCTTAAATAGTTGACTCATTTTATATTGCTTTCCTAGCCTGCATTCTCCTTCTGAAACTTGTACCTCTCCACGAATCCTTGCTTTATGGCAAGGATTTGTACTACTACTTCCAGCCCATTCCAGCCACAACTGACTGAGGATTATGCAGCTAAACTTCAGAGCGGGGGTCACAAATTCATTGGGTGAGCAACTAATAATTTTCTCTTTTTCATAAAGTTGAACTAAGAAAAAAAGAATGGAAATGACAATCTGAAAAGTCACATAGATTTAGGATCTGAGTGGCTGTTTTCATTGTTGCAGAGGAGCAAGCAGAGAAAATCCAGCCTTATAGAGAAGAATTTATAGAGAAGCCGTATAGAGAAGCAGTTTAATAAGGCTGATTCCCAGAAAGACCCAGAGATGAAGGACCTCATAGATCAAGATAGACTAGTACTGCCTGTCCAGTTCCATATCCACTTCCAATGTTGCCACACGTAGTTTGCAGCATGTGCCCTTGTATCTTACTCTTTTGGTCGTTGAGATTGGTTGGCTATGAAGGACAGAAAGATAAAAAATAATGATGACTTTTAAAAGGTAGAAATTTATTTCTCTCACATAAAAGTCAAGAAGAGAGCAGTCCAGAACTGGTAGGACAGCATCTTGGAATAGTTCAAGATTCAGATTTCTTCTCTCATGATAGTGTTTCATCCGGGGCATGTGGCTTCCCCTCATGGTGTCCAGGATGGCTGCTCAAGCTTCAGTTATCTTGTCTGCATTCCAGCCAGTAGAAAGGAAGAAGAAGTGAGAACGAGGGTATCCTGTTCCTTTAAAGACACTTCCTAGAGGTGTCACACAACTGTATTTACATCTCATTGGTCAGAACTTAGTTATAAGGCTGTATCTAACAGGAAGGCAGGCAGCTGTGTGACTGGACAAAAAATTATATGTCTTTGTGGAAAAGGGGATGAATAAATATTGAAGGACAGCTTGCCAGTCTCTGCCACAATGTGCAGAATACAATGTGCTTGTATTTATTCTAACTTAAATGTGTTTCTGTTTCTTGCCACTTTTTCTAGATGGATCTGGAGCTCAGCAGAGATGAATTATGTAATCCTCCTAACAGGCCAATGACTTAATTATTACTATTATATCCATTTTTAAGGGAAATCAAAATGTAAAGAAATTAGATTACTTGTATAAGTCGCACAGCTAGAAAGTGGTAGAGCTAGGGTTTGAGCCAAGGTATGTCAGATTTCCATGCCCAAGCGATTAACCATGATAGGGAGAAGATCAGAGGGCCATAGGCAGGGTTTTTAGAAATGGCTGCATTTAAGGAGCCTATGGGAGAAAGGGGGCCCAGGAAGAACACAGACAAAGAAAGCCTGGAGAGATAAGAGTAAAAACAAGAGGAAGTGACATCACAGAACAGGGAAGGGATTACTTTCAAGACAGGAGTGAACAGATATAGAGAGATCAAATGTAAAAAGAACAGAAACATGTCCAGTTGGATCTGGCATTTTGAGTCATTGTTGACCGATTTTGAGCACAGTAGTAAGAGCAGAAGCCAAAATGCAGTGATTTGAGGAGTGGAGGAAATTAGAAAGGACAGTAGCTTGAGGGGAATGTGTTGGGATCAAAGGAGGGTTTTTTTTGCATCTTTATTTTTGAGATCAGAGACATCTTGAGCTAATGGCAAGACAGTAGAAAGGGAGATAATGAGCATACAGAAAAGACTCCCTTGAAGCAACATGGGGTGGGCTCTCGAACGCAGGTAAAGTGATTAGCTTAGGTCAGGAGGATGGAAAACTCTTCCGCTGGAAAAGGGAAAGAGGGTAGTTAGTGTCTAAAGATGAAGGTTATGTTGGTGATAGTGGAAGAAGCTGACAGAGTTGATGGTGACCTGAGTTTTACTAGTGCTGTGGGAGATGAGGTCATCTTTTGAAAGAGTGGAGAGGTGAAAGTTCTGAATAGTTGCGACGTAAAATCGTTGCAGAAGCTGGTAAAAAAAAACACGTAGATGCAAGTAGAGAACTCAGGCTGCAGACCATGAATTTGGAGTGGCTCCAGTCTGCATGTTTGTTTGTTTTCCTGTTAGCACTCAGCAAACTAAAATAGGTAAAGAAGAGTCAAATGGTTGAATTTTTCCAGGGTTGGGATTTTCAAGGAAGATGGGATAAGGAGCAAGATAATTGGAGTCATTGGTGAGAGATTGATTGAAATGAACAATAGTTTGAGGGGGAAAACCAGAGAGTATCTCATGGTCCAGGAACTAGAGGCCTCCCAGGAATTGTATTAATTATAGTTCCATAGAGTAGCCACTTCACATCTATTAATGTGGCTATTATGTATATTTTTATGGCAGTTCATCAAAAGGTTAAACATAGAATTATATGTCCAGCAGTTCTGCATATCTATTCTTAGGTATCTATCCAAAACAATTGAAAGCAGAGACTTGAACAGGTACTTGTATACTGGTGTTCATAGTAGTATTATGCACAATAGTTGAAAGGTAGAAATAACCCAAATATCTATCAACAGATGAATGGATAAACAAAATATATATGATGAAATATTAATCAGCCTTCGAAAGGAAGGGAATTCTGATAGATGCTATAAAATGGATAAATCTTGAAGACATTTTGCTAAGTGAAATAAGCCAGAAACAAAAGGACAAAATGTATGACTCCACCTATATGGGATACCTAGATTAGGTATATTTGTAGAGACAGACCGTAGGTTAGAGGTTACCAGGGGCTCGGGGAAGAGAGAAATGGGGACCTATTGTTTAATGGGTACAGAATAAATGTTTGGGATAATAAAAAAAAGTTTGGAAAATGGATAGTGGCAATGGTTTTACAACATTGTGAATGTACTTATCAATAATGCCATTGAATTGTACACTTAAGAATGGTTAATTTATGTGGTCCTAGTAACACAAATACCACTTCATCAATCAGCAGATATTCAACTTTTACACCACCATGTAGTGCAAGCTGTCATGTAGCATGACCACTTTCAACTTAAAAAAAAATTAAAGATGATATTGATGGCAGGCTTAGAGTAAGAAGTTTTAGAAGAGCACAGAATGACTTAGAAGTCAACAAAAATGATAAGACATATGTGAGCAAAATGATTCATTGATAGTACAGAATTAATGGGCTCTGTAGCTTCCAGAGGAGTCCTTTTATTTCTAAACTAGCGGCCTGGTGCATGAAATTTGTGCATGGGGTGGGGGGAGGGTGTCCCTCAGCCCCTCCTGCACTCTCTCTAACCTGGGACCCCACAGGGAACAGGCCTAAACCGGTAGTTGGACATCCCTCTCACAATCCGGGACTGCTGGCTCCTAACTGCTCACCTGCCTGCCTGCCTGATCGCCCCTAACCACTCTGCATGCTGGCCTGATCACCCCCAACTGCCCTCCCCTCCTGGCCTGATCATCCCTAACCGCCTCTGCCTTGGCCCCGCCACCATGGCTTTGTCCGGAAAGGTCTCCCGGTAGGTCTCCTGGTCTAATTAGCATATTACCCTTTTATTAGTATAGCTATTCACTAGAGGAGCCCTGACTGGTGTGGGTCAGTTAGTTAAAGCGTCATCCCATGCACCATAGGGTCACTGGTTTGATTCCCACTCAGGGCACATACCCAGGTTGCGGGTTTGATCCCGGGACAGGATTGATGTTTCTCTCATCAGTGTTTTCTCTCTCTCACCCTCTCTCTCTAGAATCAGTGAAAAACATACCTTCAGGTGAAGATGTTTTTAAAAAAATTCATTACAAGGAACAGAGGTTTCTTTGGTATTTATAACGTTGCAAAGGATCTCTGGGAGATTTTCAGATTATTAAATTGCAAACTTCAGAACTGAGCAGACAGAAAAGCTTGTATTTTTAAAGATAGTATCATACATTTGCATTTTATGTCATGTCATTTATTATTTTAGAAGATATGCAGCTGTTGAAAGCTTTGATATTTTGTGTGTTAGCTATTTCATGTAAGTGCACATAACTGGGTAGCATAACAATTAATAGGAAAACATCTTTGTGGAGAATCTAAACAATTCAGCAAAATACAATTCAGTTATTTTGGTAGGGCAAAAGTAGGTTTACAGTTGTGAGTATGTGAAACAGTTTATTCTTGTGTTATTTATTAGTTATTGTATTATTTATTATTATTAACCTACTTTGCCCACCCCAGTATATACATATCCGATTTCTTGCATGCTCAGTTCCATGTAGCATGTGTATGTGTATGTGTGTGTGTGCATACACATATGCCTCTCTCATCTATCAAGGGAGAAGTTCAATTAGGCATACTTCATCATCTTGAGAAAGAAAGAATTGAACCTCATGCTACTACAGGAGAACTACTCTATTTTATCTAGTACCTATTCCAGCACAGTGAAGACATGCTGAGGACTACTTCCAGAAATCTAGAAGAACTTTCAGTGAGAAACATGGAAAAATTGAAACAAGTAAGAGCTAATAACATAAAAAAATTTAAATACCTATTTTTTTTTCTTTGTCCATTAAATTAACACATTAAAAACCAACAACTGAATATCACTGTATAGTTTGCAAAGCACTCACCTATACATTTTTTAATGAAATGTATCTACAATCTGTATTGATTTCCAGTAGAGGACATGTACAGGATGACTGGTTGACTATCCAAATAGGCCTTCTCTTGTCTCAATAACTGACCCTCTAGATGACTCTCTTGCTTGTTGGCTTAGAAACCTAAGTGGATCTGCTTCTCAAAGGTACTCTTGTATTAACTAAACTCACATAGACGTGTTCAGGAAAATGGAAACCAGCTTTTTACAATAAAAAGTATAATTGCCAGAGGAACCAATCACATATGTCCTATGGCTTGATGGATTCACTCCCTACAAGCACACTACATAGGACAGGGAGGCAAATTTTGATCATATGTTTACTTGATGAACAAATGGTTCCAAAATTTTATAGTATATTTACACAACAGGGCTATATACCTGCCCTTATTTCTAGACCTGTTATACCCTAGGACCAGGTTACCTAGCCCTTAGATGAGTCAATAATAATATATTTTGACTCTCATCACTATTTGATGTTTCCTGATCAATCTTTTTTTTTTTAATATATTTTTATTGGTTTCAGAGAGGAAGGGAGAGGGATGAGAAATAGAAACATCAATGATGAGAGAGAATCAGCTGCCTCCTGCACACCCACTTCTGGGTATATGCCATTGACCGGATTCGAAACCAGGACCCTTCAGTCTGCAGGCTCTATCCACTGAGCCAAACCAGCTAAGGCTGATCAATGTACTTTCTGACATATTCTTTCTTTAAATGAGTTAATTCTCTCAGGTTGCTTGGGAACCATCACTCTGCAGTGTCTCCACATCTCAGTTCTGATAGGAAACTTGTTGATTTTTAAATTTAACTCTTAGAGGGCAATGTGATTTCCAAACTCTTAAAGAGGAATGCAGCTCCTTTAGAACAAAAGCAGTAGAGCTTATTAGACCAGGAACTTTAACATGAGGCAGACAGGGATGAAAAATTGCCCTTACCACTGTCTCGCTGTGTAACCCTGGGCAAGTAACTGACATCTTTGAGCCTGGAAAATGATAATAGTTTCTTCAAAGGGATTTGTGAGGTTTACCCAAAGGAATGTGAATAAACCTTTCACACACCGACTTGTCACCTAACAAGTATTTCATAAATTGTAGCTATTATTAGGAAATAGGTTATTGCTCTTATTGCCATTTTAAAGAGGAAGAAACTTACCACGAAGTTGTAAAGCTAGACTGCAATCCTGTTTTCCTTCTATATTATTATTCAGCTTTTTAGTCATATTCTGAAGAGTTGTTCAATAGGCTTCAAAACAATTGAGCAAAATGCAATTCCGTTATTTTGGTAGTCTACTTCTAAGCATTTTGGCACCAGGCAAGGGCCCCGTCTCTGGTTCTGGCCCACCTGAGTGTGCAGCCTAGCTCTTCCCCTTGTTCCTTAGCCTCTCTCAGCCTGCTTTATAGTTCCATAGGATTGTGGTAAAAATTAAGTACATGGTGGGGTAAAAGTAGGTTTACAGTTCATATGAAAAATAATATAATCAATAATAATACAAGAATAAGCTCTGTGTTTCCCATACTCACAACTGTAAACCTCCTTTTGCCCTGTATTTGATGTCCTTAACACCTTTGTGCCTGGAGCACATCGTTAGCTCTCAGTCTGTTATTATTAGCCATATAAAGTACCTTTTGTGAAGCTGCCATATTAACCAGAAACTATTTTTAAATAATACCCAACAATTTATTTTAATAGAATCTCCTATTAACATTTCAGGCATCTTAATTTTAGTATAGGAGTGTATACATATTTATGTAGATTTTCACTGCATGGTATCATGACCATGTTTCCTAAACCATAGATAAGAAGATTTGATTTGAAACCTTATATATTAATGGGAAAAATATTAGAGACAATGACTGTCTCATAAAATTTATGATTATGTGTCATCATACCTATGGGAAATGGTGTCTGATAACCCACATTTAAGGTGAGCTGAGTTTTCTGTTTATTTCTCAGATGGTAGCCTGGCCAGTGTTGCTCAGTGTTAGATTATCACCCTGTGCACAGAAGGGTCACAAGTTCGATTCCTGGTCAAAGGCAGGTACCTGGGTTTCAGGTTCTATACCCAGCCCCAGTCGGGGCATGTGTGGGAGGCAACCAATCAATGTGTCTCTCTCTCTTTCTCCCCTTCCCTTCCACTCTCTTTAAAAATCAATGGAAAAAATATCCTCAGGTAAGGATTAACAAAAAAAATATATTTCTCAGTTTGTAGACACAATAGTATGGTGATCTCTTAATGGCTCTTCGGCTTAATAGACTTTTAATATGAGTTAAAATATGAACCATGGACTAAGAGTAAGAAAGTGTATTATTTTCTTTTTAGGTGGGAAATGATGCAAGCTATGTCTGTAACTTACCAGAGGAAAGAGAAGCATTTTCTCATGGTTATGAAAAGGAAAACAAACATAGTATCCATGAGTTTAAAGAGCTCCAATTCAAACAAGGTAATTTCTCTTTTTGTAAAAATTAATTTTAATTTTTTAATTCTAAAAATTAATGTAACATTAGAAAATTTGGGAAATGTATAAAAGTAGACAGAAGGGGGAAAATACTGTATGTTGTCCACATTCCAAAAGTTTTAGATGTATTTTCTGCCTGCCTTCTTAAAGTATATATTCTGAAATATTCTAAAATGTCTGTGAGAGAGTGCAGAATGGCTATTTGCTTCAACATCTATTATGGTACTTACCACACTGTGTGATAATTACCTGTGTCAGCTCCTCTGGGACAGAGATTATGTCCTAGTCTTAGTGGTTCCCATGTTCCCCACAGACCTGCCTTATAAAGTAGCTAGCATAGTAAGGACTCGGAAAATATTTATTATAAGTTCTTTAAAGCTATAAGGGAAAATACAGATAGAACCATGTATATTATTATTCTACTTTGTTTAGCTCTACAAATTAATACCATTGTATGTGGTCAATGATTATATTTACCACACATTTCTTATTTTCTTTGTTCAGCATTTTTCCTTGCATCTCAGATATTCCATTTGGGATCATTTCCCTTTTTTCCTCTTTGGAATTTCCTTTTATGAAGTTGATGGACAAGTTTTTCCTTTATCGTGAAGCTCAAGTGCAGGGAAGGTTGAGTTAATCATAGGACATATTTCCACACTCTTGTTTTGTTTGTTTTTCCTTTCTTGTTTTCCATTGGATGCATTGAGTTTTCTCCTGCCAGTTTAAAAGTCTGCATTCTATTTGTTCATATAGTGGTTGCATTTTAAGAGTTTTCTTTAATTTCTTCCAACATTATTGTCATCATCATCATCATCATCATCATCATCATTATTTTGACTGTTTACAGCACAGGCTTTATTTAGTGGCCAGGAAATGGAGAAGTGGGAGTTTAAACTTTCAAATCTACTTCTCCTCTTCCAACACTTGTAGTTACTTTCTGCAGCGGGAATCTGAGTGGCTGATCTGAGTTTCACAAAAAAGCCCGGCCGATGCTGGCTGCGCTGAGCCTCACTGAAGAGTTTTTCATGTGGCAAGGAAGAGCCCTCTGGGATCCTCCTCCTCCCAGCCCATGGTCACTTCCTCTCCACCTGCTCCAGCAGTGGGTTGCTTTCTGAATCGGGGGTCTTAACACGGTCGGCCCTGACGATGCAAGTGGGGCGATGCCGGCTGAGCATTAGATGAGCTGCTGCCACTCCTGCTTCAGCTCCTCCATCTGGGGTTTCAGCTCCGCATTCATGAGCTCCAGCCACTCAGATTCCCGCTGCAGAAACTCCATCTGCTCCTTCTTCTTATTCCAGCATCAGGCTACCGCCACTTTGTTCTTTTTCCATCCCCCACTCCTCTTCCTGTCTAGCTCACTTTTCACAGGTTAAGGCCTCTTGCCCAGTTTCACCTCCAGGAAATGCACAGGAGCAATCATGGCCCCAGTGTTGTGGATGTCAGCGTATTTCAGCTCCTCTGCAGCAAGGGCCAAGCTGGGGAGTCCGGTTAGGGGTCTGAGCCCAGGCAGAGAGCCCACAGTCGTGGAAGGGTCCCGGATCTGCCCAGGCATCATAGCAGGAGGAGTGGCAGTCCAGCCCTGCAGAAGCCGCTGGTGGAGGCAGCGACCCCGTGGCCTGGGCCAGGCTGCAGGCGCAGTGCTCCCTCAGGAGCCACATTGGCTCCAGCCCTGCCCTGCAGCATCCACCGCCCAGCTCCTCCCGTCACAACTGCCGTGTCCCTCCTGCAGGCTATGGCAGCAGCCTGGGTCTACCTTTTTGAAGTGATTGATCCAGAGGCTTTGCCTGCCTGCCTCATTGCCCCTAGCCTCTCTGCCTGCCTGCGTCATCACCCCTAAGCACTCTGCCTGCCTGCCTGATCACCCCTAACTGCTCATCTGCCTGCCTGGTCGCCCCTAACCACTCCCCTGCCTGCCTGATCGCCCTTAACTGCTTGCTGGGGGTGGGGCCAGCCCAGGCCAGGGGCCGTGGTGGTTCTGGTCGTTCTGCCCTTTTGGTCACTGGGCTTTTATTATATAGGATTATATATAACAGGATACTGTAAAAATTAAGTCACAATTTTTATTAAAATGTTTCTTACATACCATTATATTGGCTGGGCTGCAAAAATATTCATTGTGGGCTGTGAGTTTGACATGCTTGACCTAGTGAGAGAAAAGAAGAAGAGAGAATTTAGGGTTGGCTTATTCAAGTGTTTAGAGGTTAGAAAGATGAGAAGTCAGCAAAGGAGTCTGAGAAAGAGTGACACTCAAAGGAGGAAACCAGGAGAGTGTGGTATCTCAGAAGAGAAATGACAAACATGTGTTAAGAAAAGGATGTGTCCCCTAGCCGGTTTGGCTCAGTGGATAGAGCGTCAGCCTGTGGACTGAAGGGTCCCGGGTTCGATTCCGGTCAAGGGCACATGCCCAGGTTTTGGGCTCAATCCCCAGTAGAGGGCATGCAGGAGGCAGCCAATCAATGATTCTCTCTCATCATTGATGTTTCTATCTCTTTCTCCCTCTCCCTTCCTCTCTGAAATCAATTAAAATATTTTTTTAAAAAAGAAAAGAATGTGAATGGACCTGGAGAGTATTATGCTGAGTGAAATAAGCCAGTCAGAGAAAGATAAGTATCACATGATCTATTATGTGGAATCTAATGAACCAAATAAACTGATGATCAAAAATAGACCCAGAGACATAGAAGGATGAACAGACTGTTGAACCTCAGAGGGAAGGCAGGGGAGGGTGAGTGGGAAGAGATCAACCAATGAACTTGTATGCATATATGCATAACCTGTGGACACAGACAGTGGGGTGGTGAGGGATGGTGGGCTGGAAGAGGTTAATGGGGAAGAAAAGGAAGATCTAGCTAATACTTTCAACAATAAAGATTTTTTAAAAATAAAAATAAAAACGGAAAAGGATGTGAACAACTGGGTCAAATGCCACTAATATCAGTGGTCGTCAAACTCATTAGTCAACAGAGCCAACTATCAACAGTACAACGACTGAAATTTCTTTTGAGAGCCAAATTTTTTAAACTTAAACTATATAGGTAGGTACATTGTTATTAACTTAATTAGGGTACTCCTGAGGCTTAGGAAGAGCCACACTCAAGGGGCCAAAGAGCCACATGTGGCTCACGAGCCGCAGTTTGCCGACTGCAGGGCTAGGTGGAATGAGGGCACATAATGGACCATTGGAGTTGGTCGCATAGAGGTCATCAGTGACTTTGATGAGAGCTGTTTCTGTGGAATGGTGGATATGAAAGCCTGATCGGAGTGGTAGGAGAGAAGGAGGGAACACGGGTGAGATTGATTTTTTTTCTTGAAGTTGTGCTGTAAAGGAGGATGAAGAAATAGTACAGAAGCTGGAGGGGGCCATGAGGGTGAAGGAAGGTGCTTTTCGTTCCAATTATACTGATTGTTGTTTTTAATGGGAGCTATAGCATGTTTCTGAGATTATTATAATGCTTAGATGGAAAGAAAGCTTGATGAGTCAATTGCAAGATTAGTATTTTTTGAGATAAGTGGGAGTGGGATCCACTGTGCAAGGGAAAGGACTGGCCTCAGGAGCCAGGATAGGTCCCTTCCACCTCACGAGAGGGGAGGGTGTGTGGGAGTTGGCAGATTTGGTCAGAGGGGCTTGTGGGTGTTCTCTTCGGAGTGCCTCTCTTCTCAGTGAAATAAGAGGCAGGGCATTTGTGATGGGGCAGGAGACTTGGGGAGAGAAAGGAATGAAATAATGGCCTAGGTCTCTAGAGAATGAGAGAGAGAAAGAGAGAGAGAGAGAGACAGAGAGACAGAGAGAGACAGAGACACTAGGGAAATGCAGGATTGCTAGTCCGCAGTATGAGCTCAGTTGAGGTCAATAGATATGAATTCAAAGTAAAATCAATGAGCACTGGCTGTACAGTTTTGTCCAGCCACATTCTGCTTCTGCAGGAAGGTGCAAAAGAGGTGGGAAGTTGTATTTAAACAGATTGGAGTTTTACCAATCAAGTCTAATGGAAGCAAACGGGGTAAGAGAGTGGTGAATGTTTTCAAGGAAGTGATTATAATGATGGATAATAAGAACCTGAGCTGGGTAAGAAACTGAATGAGAACAGGAGCAGGGCAAGGAACATTGAAAAGCATTTAAAGTCAATGGATTATAGTTCCCAGTATGGTTGAAAACTTGTTGAAATCATGCTACTAGAAGGAATAATTAGAGAATAGGATGCTTGCATTTAAGACTAGGAAGAGGCTATAGTTATTGCTAAACACAAGGCCTGCAGGGGTCCTCAAACTTTTTAAACAGGGGGCCAGTTCACTGTCCCTCAGACCGTTGGAGGGCCAGACTATAGTTTAAAAAAAAAAAATGAACAAATTCCTATGCACACGGCACATATCTTATTTTGAAGTAAAAAACAAAATGGGAACAAATATAATATTTGTATTTGCATGTGGCCCGCGGGCCGTAGTTTGAGGACCCCTGGTCTAGGGAGTTACTACGGAGTAGATAGCTGAGATAGGATAGAGTTCTAGATCTTTAGAAGTTAGCGGTGAGCCTAGCCTGTGTCGCTCAGTGGTTGAGCCGTTGATCTATAAATCAGGAGGTGATGGTTCAATTCTAGGTCAGGGCACATAACCGGGTTGTGAACTCGATCCCCAGTGTGGGCATGCAGGAGGCAGCTGATCAATGATTCTCTCTCATCAGTGATGTTTCTATCTCCCTCTCCCTCTCCTTTCCACTCTGAAATCAATAAAAATATATTTTTTAAAAAACTGGTGAAAGGACTGAAAAGGCAGGACACTAGAATGATCATCTACCTGAATATTGAAGTTACCAAGAATTTTGACAAGATTCGTTGAGTCACCTTGGAAAGTTATTTAGTTTTTTTGGTGCCTGAGTTCTCCTCTCATTAAACAATGATCATGGTTCCTACATCATTGGGTTGTAGTAAGTATTAAATGAGATAAATTTATCTCAAACATTAGTACAACACCTGTCACATCATAAGCACTCAATAAACAAATTTTAAAGTTACTCGAGAAAAAATTTTGAAGGTATACTCGTAAGAATACTTACTGCTTTTGAGAACTTTTCTCACTACTTTTTTGTTATAATTTTGAAAGTTTGCAAACACCCCGGAGAGATGGAGAGAGGCGTAATAGTATCAGTGTTGCTTACTTTTTAAATTAATGTGTTATCTAATTAAGATCTCATTTAGCATCTTATAGAGTAGTTATTTGCCTGCATTTCTTTTAACAGTTTGTTTCTGGTATTTCTTCCTAATAGAAGCACAAAGAAAGGAGGTTGGAGAAATGTTGTATCAAGAAGACTCTGAAATAGCTCTGAGCAGCCCCAGTGAACAGATCGCATACTTACTGGTGGACAGAAGTAAAATCCTGAGTAAATTGGAACGTGGGGACTCAAAGCCAGAGTCACAAAGATGTATGAGCAGTAACCTACTGAAAGAATTTGCCCAGGTATTCCAAAATTAGCTAGATAACCGAATAAGGGGCAATACTGAATAGTACCACCCAATGGCAAGTTAACTCTACCTTGGAAGTATTTTGTTTGAATATATTTAAATGTATGTAATGATGCTGCAAAAATGATCAGATTGTGCATTAAAGTATCTTAAACATATCACAAAAATTTAGGAAGAAGGAAAATCAATTACCCATTTAACACATAGTTGATTTGTTTTGAATATATCAAAATGTAATCCATGTGTACTATCTCCTTTGAAAAATCACATTAGAGACAATGCATACTTCTTTCCAAATATGAATGGAGCTCCTCTTTTGAGGAGTCCTTTAAAATGTAAAGCACATCATTTTAAATATAAGTTCTCATGGAATTAAATTTTTTGATCTGGGGAAATGTTATTAAGAGCTAAATCCAGCCTGATGGGCGTGGCTCAGTGCTTGAGCATCGATCTATCGACCGGGAGGTCAGGGTTCCATTTCTGATCAGGGCACATGTCCAGGTTGTGGGCTCGATCCCAAGTGGAGGGGCATGCAGGAGGCAGCCAATGAATGATTCTCTCTCATCATTGATGTTTCTATTTCTCTCTCCTTCTCCCTTCCTCTCTGAAATTAATTTAAAAAGCTAAATCCAGTGAATAAAGTACATACTGGGAATTTAAAGAAAAATATATATGGATAAAAGTGTATGTCATAGTATCATTTTCAATAGCAAAAATTGGAAATTACCAAAATGTTTCAATGATGAATTATGTTATGCCCACTCTGGGACATTACACAGGCTTTTTAAAATTATCATTGCAAAATCTGTTCAACAATGTGGGAAATGTTTCTCATAATGTCAATGAAAAAGTCACGCCCTAGCCAGCTTGGCTCAATGGATAGAGCATCAGCCCATGGACTGAAGGGTCCTGGGTTTGATTCTGGTCAAAGGGCATTTATCTGGGTTTCAGTCTCAAGGGGACATCTGTCATACTCTCAAAAATAAAGATTTTTTAAAATGAATGTGAAGAAAAAACACTTCAATGAAGTATACCAATATGTTATAGCTGATAATTTTGTCTTTTAGAAAAATTCATATAGTGATTATATTTATTTTAAATTAATGCATATTTGGGGGATTAAAAGCAAAATATAATTGAGATTGAATTTGTTCCTTAGCTTTTATAATGCTTTGAAAATAATTGCAGAAAATGAGCTGTAAACATGATTTGAGCTAGTGTGTTCATACCTTGAAATTCAGTGAAATGCTTCCTGTGAAAACATTTTACAAACTGTATTTAATGTTCATATAAGTGAGAAGAACGGTTTCTTTCTTGCCAGATGATACTCATTTTAATGATTAAATATCAAGTGTGTGTGTGTGTGTGTGTGTATTAATCCTCACCCAAGGACATGTTTTCATGGATTTTAGAGAGAAAGAAAGGGGGAAAGAGACATCAATTTGAGAGAGAAACAGGCATCTGTTGCCTCCCATATACACCCCGGCTGGGGATCCAACCTGCAACCTGGATATTGCCCTGACCGGGAATTGAATCTACAACCTTTTGGTGTATGGGACAATGCTCCAACCAACTGAGTCACCTGGCCAGGCCTAAATAGCTATCTTTAAAATAATCATATAACCAAAATTTTTTAGAAATGTTAGATTGAGCCATATGAAATTGCATGTTTATAGGTCAAAAATAACCAAATATCACCAATTGTATATAGTTCAACCTAGTAAAATGATGCACATACATGAAATATTCTGTTTGCTACTTTTATTTCTTGGTTTTTGAACACCTGGGAAATAGTACAGTGTCATAAGAGTACATTTACTTTTTGTTTTATTACTAACAATACTTTTATTTCAGTCCCATAATGAAGACATAGAAAAAGATAAAACATCACAAAACTGCATAGAGAGAAATGTGGAACAAATAGCAAAGAGGTTAAGGATGGTCCATGAAGAGATCCGCAGGCTCACTGATGAACTGCAGGGGAATGAGAAAGAACAGAGTAAACTAGGTAAGCTGTGGTTACAGAAGAACATTTCTGACTGTGTTTTAAGTGTAATGATCTTTTCTCAGGGTAGAACATGAGCGCCTTCAGAAAATAACTTTTTCAGAAAAACACGTAAACATCTGATAAAAAGCCTCATTTTCTTCAGTGTCCAGAAATTGTTATTAAAGCATAAGCATAACATCCCTACCAAGAAGTGTACACTCTTTTTTTTTTTTAATGTCTAGAAGAGAGTTTGGAATTTTTTTTTAAATATTTTTTATTGATTTTAGAGAGGAAGGGAGAGGGAGAGAGAGAGAGAAACATCAATGATGAGAGAGAATCATTGACCAGCTGCCTCCTAAATGCCCCCTACTGGGGATCAAGCCCGCAACTCAGGCATGTGTCCCCAACTGGAATCGAACCTGGGACCCTTCAGTCTGCAGGCCAACACTCTATCCACTGAGCCAAACCAGCCAAGGCAGATGTGCACAACTCTTAAGTGCAGACCACCCAGCAAGAAATCCTCAGCACCCCAGAGGGGCCTTGGTTTCTTCTCCCTATGTCTACACCCTCGCTCCTCCCCCAAAGTAACTACTGTCGTGACTTGCAACACGATTTCTGAGTTTTGACTAAGGCCGCACACATTCTTTAGTTGTTTCTCTTGTTCAGTCCTATGTTTGTGAGATTCATCCATGTTGTTGCCTATAGCAGTTTGTTCACTCGTGCTGTTTGTAGAGTATTTCATTGAATAAACATACTCAATGTTTATTAAAGTTAAAATAATTTATTTTGTTTATCCTTTATACTGTTGAATACTTCTGTTGTTTCCAGTTGTGGTCTATTATGAACAGTGCTGCTCTGGATATTCTTGTACTTACCTATACATTTTAACTGTGATATACCCAAGAGTAGAATTATTGCATCAACAGGTTATAAGTACATTCTACTTGGGCAGAACATATATAAAATAATAATGATTCTGTCAAATTGACTGTGGAATTAAAACCAAGAATGCATTTTAAACAGTGAATATTGTATTATTTTCCATATGAAAAGCTGTGAACCTACTTTTGCCCCATCCTGTATTTTGTTTTTTGGGTTTTTTTTTTTCTCTTTTAGATTCTGCACTTGAAAAGGCTCAACTAGAAATTGATGAGCTGAAAGAAAATCTGACAAAGTTGAAAGAAAATGGTGAGTCATTTTAGCAGATATAATATTTAATAATACGTTACATAATATAACAATGTTTGTTTTTTTTTAAATATATTTTATTGATTTTTTACAGAGAGGAAGGGAGAGGGATAGAGAGTTAGAAACATCGATGAGAGAGAAACATCGACCAGCTGCCTCCTGCACATCTCCTACTGGGGATGTGCCCACAACCCAGGTACATGCCCTTGACCGGAATTGAACCTGGGACCCTTCAGTCCGCAGGCCGACGCTCTATCCACTGAGCCAAACCGGTTTCGGCATAATGTTTTAAGATAATATTAATAATAATAATAATAGCACTACTATTGCTATTATTACTATTTTAACTATTATTGCTATTACTACTATTTGTTGCTTAGTAGTCACAGGTACTCTGCCAGGCACTTTATCTGCATTACCTCTAATCCTCACAACAGTTTCAAGTAGTGAGAATTATTATTACAATTTCATAGATAAAGAAGCTGAGTCATGGTGAGGTTAAGTGAATTAGCCAGTAGATACATTAATTATTTTAGCTGGTTTTTGAACCCAGATATGTCTTGACTCCAAAACCTGTGGCAAACACAAATAATACATATTTTACTGGGACAACTGGGATCAAGACACCTTCTAATGCACTTAATAGCACCTCACACACACTTGTTCACGGAGAAGCCAACAGACTTGGCATAGTGGTGAATTAGTTAATCTGACCCTCACTTGACTATGTAAAAATGCTACCAGCTATAAATAATATAATGAAATTTGAGTGTTGTAATGGAAGCAACTAGAAAAATAATTTAAAATGTGTTTATTGGTCCCTGGCCAGTGTTTCTTAGTGGTCAAAGTGTTAGCCTGTGCACCAAAGGGTAGAGGGTTGGATTTCCTCCAGGAGCAACTAATCAATGTACCTCTCTCACCTCTGTCTATCTGTCTGTGTGTCTCTCTCTCTTCCTCCCACTCCCCTCTTTCCACTTTCTCTAAAAACCAATGGAAAAAATATCCTCAGGTGAGGATTAACAACAACAAAAATTGCATAGGCCAAAGGTAGAACAAATCTTGTTTGCATACTCTATCTATCTATCTATCTATCTATCTATCTATCTATCTATCTATCATCCATCTATCTATCTACAGATTGTGAATATATATTATATATAAAGGGATTGTGAATGATTTGTTTTCTTTTTGGTATGTTTTCAGTATTTTTCAAATTTTGAAAATTTATATGCTAAAGAGGAAAAAGGAATGTAGCAAGGGAGAAAAAATGAAGAAAGAAAAAATTAATGCAAATTAAATACAAAACATGCAATGAAAAAGGAAAACAACGACTTTAAAGCAGCAAAAGAAAAATAAGAGAAATAAGTGAAAAATGGCTAAAAATAAACAGCTACAAATTCAGGAAAATTACAGTCAGCAAGTTTGTATTCATGAAACTTTGATGAGTGCCAGAAAGAGCAGGTCTTAAGATGAGGTGCTAAGCTGAGAATAGACTACCACTTTAATGGCAATGGAGCTACAGGCAGAAAAAATGGCTTCGATGAATTAACTTGCTTTAACATGGAAAATCTGTTCATTCACTGTCCCTAGCTCACTACTTCAGTCATCCATGGGGCACTTGCTGTTAATGAGTAGAAGTATCTAGAAGTCTGTTAGGTGTGTAAGAGAGACAGGACTACAAGGACTACAAGGAAGCCAGGAAGATCATTTTCTGTCCTTTAACCTTTACAAGGTAGGCTCAACTCTTTTAAAATTCCAGGTCCTAGAAAAACCTCTAATGGTGGAAATCCTGTACTCAAAAGTCCAATTCATTAGTCTTGGGGTGAGAAATAAAAATCATTCTGTTCTGTCTCATTAGGTTGGTGGAATATCCTAGAGCTGGACGTTAGAGTCTAGCAGCTCTTGTGCAGAGGATCACAGGCAGAGACATGACAAGAAGGTTAGGAAATCGCACTTCCTCAGCTTTTAGAGTCCATACCCTCACATTAAAACTTCTCTCCAGTTGAGTAGAGTGCATTATTCTCTCTGTTTTAGATTCAGTTGACCTAAAGAAAGCAAAGGAACACAATCAGAGACTGAATGAGGAGATTCTGGCTTTACGAACTCGGGTTCGATCACTTGACTCAGAAAAAAAAGTGCTTGGAGAAGTGGTAAACTGTTTAGTTTGTTCTTAGAATTTATTTAAATGTGAATAGAATAACAATCAGCAGTAGAGCAACATAGATACACATCACCTATTGGGCATTATTGTGGACTGATACTGGCGGTTCTAGCATCCCTGGAAAAAGCCATATTTTGACTTGGATGCATTCTATCAGTGTTTGCATTTTTACACATCTTAACTACCTATGCCAAACAGTATTCTTATTACTATTGTGTCAATTTAGGATCTCTTCTTTTTCATAGGGATTTGGATAATAGTTTATACTTAACACATTTACCAAATAGAAATTATTATTCTATTATACTGGATATGTTTGAGATTACTAATACTGCACCCTTCGTTGTATTACATTTTTCAATTATTTCTCCTTAGCAATTCATTGATTTTTAATATATACTTCCAAGTTCTGGATATATTATATATCCCTCCAATTTTATATTCATTTTACAATCATATCTCTAGTGTCTGGAGATGGATGGTGGTGATGATTGCACAATAATGTGAATGTACTTAATGCTACTGAACTGTACACTTAAAATGGTTAACATGATAAATTTTGTATTATGTATACTTTATCATAATGTAAAACTGTAATAAGAAAAAATGAATAAAACTGTTCAAGTTGTCTGAAAATTTATATATCTAATACTGGTATATATCTTATACAAATATATACATTATATATTTGATATATATGTATACATATATACATGGGAGATCAATTTCAGGAAGGGTATATTGTAAACAGTGTTACTTCTGGAAAGGGGAAATATTATTGGGGTAAGGTTATGTGATGGAAAAATCTCACTTTTTATTCTATATACTTATGTGTTGTGTGAATTTTTACATGAAGAAGGCATTCATATGTTATTTGTATATTTTAAAAACAAAGCAACTTCCCCACCCTTCCAACTTTTGTATTTAAAATACTTTTGTGTTTAAGGTTGAAAGGCTTAAAGGAGAGATTCGTGAATCTCAAGAGAATAAGCAACTTGGAAACCACTCCCCTTGGAAAACTGTGGGTGCTGAACAGAAAGTACAGGTATTTTAAAGTTCTCTTGTTTCCAATTTCTAATTTTTAAGAAGTCACATTTTTATAGAGTATACAGGTGCTGTTCATTTGCTACTCTCTTCTTTTTATTTATTTATTTATTAGGGTTTTTGGAGCATACACAATTTTTAAAAATATGTTCGTATTGATTTTTCAGAGAGAAGAAGGGAGAGGGAGAGACAGAAATATCAATGATGAGAATCACTGATCGGCTGCCTCCTGTATACGCCCCTTCCCCACTGGGGATCAAGACCACAACCCAGGCATGTGCCATGACCGGGAATTGAACTGTGACCTCCTGATTCATGGGTTGACACTTAACCACTGAGCCACATCAGCCAGGCTGCTACTCTCTTCTTATTGCTTGTCTTTTCCTATTGCTCAGCCAATTAGATTTTAGGAAGAAATTGAGGTACAGAGTCTGTGTTTCTGTTCACTTCTTTTTCACGGGGAACAACCAATATGAATATAATGGGTTGTTTCTTTAAAAAAAAAAAAGGATTTTACAAAGATGCAAGCATAGGGGGAATCTTTAATCATCAAAATGCAGTTGGTTTGTAGAATCAACCAGTGGTGGGAGAGTGGCTAATTGGAACCACACTAAGTGTAATAAAATATCGTAGAGAACCAGTAATACATTAGGCTCCAGTGCATACAGTATCTCGTCTTTCCAGCATGATCAGCCTCTGAAGTGGTGGGCGTAGTGGTCAATGATCAAATTGAAGCAAGAGCTGATGTGTTTTAGACAGGGCTATTTCAAACATTCAGGTCAAGGATCTATAGACTGCTTTTTTGTGGCAGCCCTTCCTCTTAAATACTTAAGTTGAGTGATAACCCTTGTTACTGAGGGATCTCGTTCACTGAGCTTGTTTTTATTGTAACTCCCTGGGCCCCATATTCCCGACTTTTTAGGTATCGAGGAAACTGTAGCCACAGGACCTCTTGATTTCAGCCAAAAAACTAGTATCCTTCCTGCCTTCCAAAACCCCCTTGCAAGTAAATAATTCATTTGTAGAAAGGGAAGGAAGGAAAGAAGGAGAAAAGAAGGTATTTCCAGGTAGGACTTAAAGAACTTTTACCAAAATTCTTCCCCAAAGACCCCAGTGTTGCTCTAATTTAAAGCATGTTGATTAATTAGTGACCATTTTTATTTACCCTTCTAGTAGTATTTATTTATTTACATATAAGCAATTGGAATGTTTATTCAGATTTTCTCCTTTCTTCGTCTTTATTTTTTAATAAAATGATCCTGGAGAGTCTTTCATATCATACAAAGGGATCTTCCTCACTCGGTAGAGCAGACTAGCATTCTATTATGTGGGTGTACTATAATTTATTCAGCCAGTCTCCCTTTGACGGACACATGGGTAGTTTCTTGTACTTTGCATATATATGCAAGTGTTTCTGTAGCATAGAGTCATAGAAATGGGATTGTGGGGTTTGGGATAGTGCGTTTGTAATTATAGTAGATATTGCCAGATACTATTCAGTGGAAATTATACCATTTTCCTCTCCCATCAGCAATGTATGAGCAAGCTAGTGTCCTAAAAAATTCACCAGTTGATACATGTCAAACTTTTATATTATTACCAAATGATAGATGAGTGTCTCAGTATAATTTTAATTTATCTATTTATAGTGAGATTGAGCATTTTTCATATTTAAAAGTTATCTGTATTTCTTCTTTAAATTAACTTTATTGAAATATTTACTATAATATAAACATACATATTTTAAGAGTTGAATTCAATGAGCTTTGACAAAAGCATATATCTGTATAATCACAACCACTGCAATCAAGGAAGAAAGCATTCATCAGACTAAAACGTTCCCACTCCCTTTGCTGTCAATCTCCCCAACTTCACCTTTCTAGAATTTCAGATACGTAGAATCATCTAGTATATACTCTTTTATATTGGTTTCTTTCACACATAATGCTTTTGAGATTTATCCATATTGTTGCCTCTATCAGTAGTTCATTTTTTATAATGCTGAGTGATATTCCTATATATGGATATACCACAAATTGTTTATTTACTCATTGGTTGAGAGACAATTAGGTTGTTACCAGGTTTCGATTGCTGTGAATAAAGCTGCTATTAGTATTCACATACCAGTTTTTTTCCACCTCTTGGATAAATACCTAGCTGTGAAATTAGCTGAGTATAGAGTAATTATGTGTTTAATTTTATAAGAAATTGCCAGACTTGTTTTCAAATTAGTTGTACTGTTTTACATTACTACCAACAATGGTATGGAACTTTTAGTTGCTCCTTGTCTCCGCCAATATTGTTATTGTCAGTCTTTTAAATTCTAGCAGACATATGGTGGTATCTTGTTCTTTTAATTTGACTTTTGAGAGTGTCTGATGACAATGAGTATATTTTGATGTGCCCATTTGGCCATTTGTGTACATTCATTGTGAGGCATCTCTTCAACTGTTTTGCTCTTTTTTTTCAATCCTCACACATACTTAGAGAGAGGAAGGAAGAGAGAGAGAGAGGCAGAGAGACAGAGAGAGAAAGACATCAATGTGAGAGAGAAACATCACTTGCTTTCCCTGTGTTCCCCAACTGGCAATCAAACCCAAAACCCAGGTATGTGCCCTGACCAGGAATCAAACTAGCAACCGTTCGGTGCATGGGATGATGCTCATATATTATATATCCCTCCAATTGAACCACTCTGGCTGGGCTGTTTAGTTTATTTTTCATTGAGTTATATGTATTCTTTATTTTGAGTTGTAGGAATTCCTTATATATTTTGGATACCAGTCCTTCATTAGATATATGTATTTCAAGTATTTTCTCTTAGTCTATGACTTGTCTTTTCATTTTCTTAACAGTGTTTTATAAAGAGTAGTTGTTTTGAAAATTTGATGGAGACCACTTCATCAGTGTGTTTTTTAAAATAATTTTATGATAGTACACAAAAAGCCTAGCTAAGAAATCTTTGTCTACAGCACAGGCACAAAATATTTTTCCTATCTTCTAAAGATTTTATAGTTATAGCTTCTACATTTAGGTTTATGTTCCATCAGATCATAATTCTTGTATTCTTGTATATAGTGTGAGGTAAGGGTTGGGGTTCACTTATTTCCAAATACGTACCTGGTTATTCCAGAATCATTCATTAAAAAGACAGTTAGGCCCTGGCCAGTTTTGCTTAGTGGATAGAGCATCAGCCTGGGGACTGAAGGGTCCCGGGTTCAATTCTGGTCAAGGGCACATGCCTGGGTTGCAGGCTCGATCCCCAGTAGGGGGCGTGCAGGAGGCAGCTGATCAATGATTCTCTCTCATCATTGATGTTTTTATCTCTTTCTCCCTCCCCCTTCCTCTCTGAAATCAATAAATATATATATATTTTTAAAAAGACAGTTCCTTATTTAATTACTTTGGCACCTTTATTAAAAATCAATTATGGAAGTCTATTTCTGGAGTTGATTCTGTTCCATTTTTCTCTGTGTTTGTTTTTAGGATAATACTATGCTCTTATTTTATTTTAAGTCTTGGAATCAGAAAGAAAACATCTCCCACTTTGTTTAATTTTCAAAGTTGTCTTCGCTATTCTAGGTCTTTTGCATTTCCATATACATTTTAGAATCTGCTTGTCAACTTTGACAAAAATGCCTGCTAGAATTTTTATTGGGATTTCATTAAATTTTTTATCAATTTAAGGAAAATTTGCATTTTAACAATATTGAATTCTCTAATGAGTAAACATGGCCTGTCTTTCCATTTATTTGGAACTTCTTTAATTTATACCAGCAATGTTTTACTGTTTTCAGCACATAGATCTCTTACATATTTAATTAAATTTTTTTTTAAAATAGAAATATAATTTGCACACTGTAAAATTCACCCTTTTAAGATATACAGTTCAGCCCAGCCAATGTGGCTCAGTGTTCGGGAATCAACCTGTGAACCAGGAGGTCACAGTTCAATTCCCGTTCAGGGCACATGCCCAGGTTGTGGGCTTGATCCCCAATGTGGGGCATGAAGGAGGCAGCCAATCAATGATTCTCATCATTGATGTTTCTCTCTTTCCCGCTCCCTTCCTCTCTGAAATCAATAAAAATACCTTTAAATAGATAAAATATACAGTTCAGTGATTTTTAGTATAAAAATTGCACAAGGTTGTACAATTCTAGAATATTTGTCTAATTCTAGAATATTTTCATCACCCTAAAAAGAAACCCCATACTTATTATACTTGTTTGTAGCCATTTCTCATACCCCCATGCCCGCAGCCCCTTGGCAACACTAATCTACTTTGTGTCTCAGTGAATTTGCCTATCCTGTACATTTCATATAAATGGAATCATACAATATGTGCATTTTGCATCTGGCTTCTTTCACTTAGCATAGTGTTTTCAAAATAAAACATATTGTAGCATGAATCAGTACTTTATCCCTTTCTGTGGCAGAATAATATTCTGTTATGTGAATATATACATTTTGTCTTTCTGCTCATCAGTTGATAGCCATTTGGTAGTTTCCATTTTGTGGCTGTTATGAATAATGCTGCTATGAGCATTCATATACAAACTTTTGTGTGAAAATGTTTTCATTTCTCTTGGGTATGTATCTAGGAATGGAATGTTTGGGTCATATGTTAACTCTGTGTTTAACCTCTTAAAGAACTGCCAGGCTATTTTCCATAAGGAGCTGTACCATTTATTAGCAGTGTATGAGAGTTTCAATTTCTCCACATCTTCACCAATATTTGATATAGTCTATCTTTCTTATAGCCATTCTATTGGGTGTGAGGTACTATCTCGATGTAGTTTTGATTTGCATTTCCTGAATGACATGATGTTAAGCATCTTTTCATGTGTTTATTGACCATTTATATATCTTCTTTGGAAAATGTCTTTCAAATCCTTGCCAATTTTTATTGGAGTTTGTCTTTTTATTGTTAAGTTGCAAGAGCTCTTTATATATTCTGTTTATTAGTCTCTGTTATAAACTAAATTGTGGTTCACCCCCCAAATATGTTAAAGTCCTAACTCCAGTACCTGTGAATGTGACCTAATTTGAAAACAGGGTCTTTGCAAATGCTATCAAGTTAGGATGAGGTCATTTTCTCTGACTACTTTATTTCTGGTTTCCTACAAAAAGGAAGTAAAAGAATGGAAACTAATGTTGTAGTAACTTTACTGCTGGGGATTTGCCATACCTCATTGAATGTTAACAGAAATGCTGAGAGGTAGGTATGGTTCACCCAGCTTTACAGTTGAGAAAACTAAGATCACAAATTCATAAAAGTGGAAGTCAAGATTTCAAATCTAAATGATTACAAAACCCATGTTTTTGCCACCTTGATTTTCAGGGAATCCTTGCTGTTCCATAGATGCAAATCTCTAGGTCTGCTACCTCACTGAGAACCAGAGAAGCCTCCACTTCCGGGCACTCTGCAGGCAGCTTCTTCATAAGAATTATTTTGAAAACATGGGCGGGGGACAGTCCCATGCCTTAAAAATGACAATTAAGAAAGGTACTCCCTTAAATCAAGCAGGCTCCTCAAGATATTACTGTGTTTCTTACCCATTTCTATATATAGACAGATTTAACAGTAAGTAGACCATCTCACTGCTGCTGTCCTCAGAAAAAAATGCTTAAAATATAAGAAATGTTAGATACCTGGCAGGAATAATAATAGCCACAATATTTTGGTCATCTGTCATACGCCACGATCTGTTCTAGGTGTTTTATAAACACAATCTCATGTAATCTCTGTAACAGCCCTTTTTAAGGTAAGTAGAGTATTCCTAGTTCATATTTGAGAGAATTTATAGGAACTTGACCAAAGTATAGAGGCAGAGCCAGGAATTGATCCAGGTTTGTCTGGCCCTAGAGCTCACTTACTGTAACATAGCAACTCTTGTGAAGATTTATATTAGGGATTTATTATAACTCGTGGGGCAATGGCATATGCTGCACAGAGCACATAAACCATCTCTACCTGGAAGTGATGACTGCGTAGTTTTTTATTCTCTACAGTGCCTGCATTCGCCATCTCATTTGGCTGTGCCTGTGATAGCGTACAGCACAATGCAAGCAACTAGGGTGGATGGCAGGAACCCTTCTCCAGCCATACTGTGTCTGGGAGATACAGTTTGGTTCAGAGCATAAGATGATCCCTACCTTTCAGATAGCAGAACACTGAGAGTGGAAAATTCTGAACTGTTACACAGTTCTCCAGAGTCTTTGGCCGCTACCCCATGCCAATGAGGCTACTCTCTAGCAAGTCCATTAGTCTTCCTCCTTGTTTACTTGCTGGCTGACAGGTGAGGTAGACTCTCTTTAGCTACTCAGAGGTTTCTATATCCCGTTACTCATTTCTCACATTATTTGCTTCGCCTTTCCTGTGTTTTTCTGTTTTAAACTTTGGTCGCCAGACTTAAGAAGTGCATAAATTGCCTAAATACATAACTATATTTAATATCCTATGGTGATAATAAATTTTAAATATGTATTTTTTAAGTTATGGTATTAAAATACATGACATTCTTTTATTGAGAAAACACAAAGGACGCAAGAGGGGTTTTCATTTTTGAGTTGAAATGTTTCTTGCACTTGGTACTGAGGCATCTCAGATGCTGTCAGGGTAGGGCCTTAGTTGTTGAGTGCATCAACATGATATGTGTGGATGTACAAAAACGCTTTCCACTGCGATGGCGGCTGGTAAAGAAGGAGAAGCTGCTCTGGGGAAGAAAAATCCTTCCCTGTGAACTTGTACACTGCTGCTAAGAAGTCAGCATGGTTCTTAAATAGGTCTTTTGTCCATTTCACCAGACAGGATTTGTAAAAGTTACACTTGGGATTTAGCACACATTTTCCCAGTAGTGTTCCTCTTTCTTTCCAACTCACCAGTTTAGGATTGCTATTCCTGTTTTATTGATATTAAACATATGAAAGGCACATTATTGATAATCAACTTTACTAAACTAATGAATTTTTTTAATCTATAGGTTTAATACACATCTGGCAGTAAGTTATGAATCTACAAATATAAGCAAAACTCCAGAATACTTCCCCCAAAATTTAATTCAATAAAACACTTTGATCAATCAACCCTTTCCTTTCTTCAGCAAAAGTAAATGAATATTTTTATGTCCAAATTAAACTAAAAACTTAATTGAAGTTTCTATTGAAACCTAGTTCTGAATAAAAGTAATATCAATGGTGTCTTTATAAATTACATCTAAATACTTACAAACTTTTTTGCATATAATTTTGTTATTGGGCCAATCCACAATAAAAACTTACATTTGGAAATTTTTATAGGTAAATTATCAGTTTAAGTCATTTAGATCCATCAGGATTCCGCAGTGTCTTTTTCTAGCACTTGTTCCCTTTGGTTCAGTTGCCAGATTGCAGCCAGGGCTCATAATGAAGCAATTCTCCAAAAGATCCAAGACCAGATAAGAGACAAAAGTTGTTGGTAGGGAGAGATTTCAGGGATACAACCTCCAGGAAAGATACTTAAGAAATATAGCTTAACTTTTCAGTATTTTTTAAAATAAAAATAACACAAGCATGTATGTATTTTACCTGGTGACTTATTAGGGCTAAGGTTTCCAACTTACAGCCTGAATTATCAGGAACATAAGGAGAAAGACGAGAAATCAGTATGAAAGGTCAAAAGATAGTGAAGTACAAGATTTGAATGAAGTAAGGAATAAAAAGATTGTTTTTAGTTGCATTTTCTAATACAGGTCAGGCAGACTTCAAGAGGATGCTTTACACTTACTGGAAATAGGCAAAAGGAGAAAATATACTCCCAGAAATGGGTAAATCTATTTCCTAATATTGTGATCAGTGGTTACAGAGCAGCAGGAAGTCAGGAAGAGGCCCATTAAAAAATGTATTTAGGATAAACTAATGTACATCCTAGAGACTATAGTTAATAGTACTGTGTTGCATATTTGTAAGTAGCTAGGAGAGCGGATCTTGAAAGTTTTCATCACAAGGAAAATAAAAATGTTTAACTATCTAGGGCGGGGTGGGCAAACATTTTGACTCGAGGGCCACAACGGGTTCTTAAACTGGACCGGAGGGCCAGAACAAAAGCATGGATGGAGTGTTTGTGTGAACTAATATAAATTCAAAGTAAACATCATTACATAAAAGGGTACGGTCTTTTTTTTTTTAGTTTTATTCATTTCAAACGGGCCGGATCCTGCCCGCGGGCCGTAGTTTGCCCACGGCTGATCGAGGGTGATGGTTGTTAACTGAACTATTGTGATCATTTTGCGAAATACACAAATATCAAATCATGTTTTACACCTGAAACTAATATAATGTTATATGTCAATTATTCTTATGTCAAAAATTCAATGAAAATAAAATAAGGCAAGGGTTTATAAGTTAGACTTGGTTTGAATCCCAGTGTTGGCTGTGTATCTCTAGGCAAAGTATCTAATATATCTGAGCCTCATCTATGTTCTCTGTTAAAATAATGTAATAATAGTTACAATCTCATAGGAATACTGGGAAAACAAAGTGAGGTAATGCATTTACCATAATGCCTGACATATGTAAGCACTAAATAAATAGTAAGTGACAACATTTTTGCAATGATCATCAAATCGGTAAGATTTCAACATACCTTATATTTGGTGGGTACTTAAAATATACAAAATACTTTCAAAATCACATTTTACTCTTATCTGATGGCTCTAATGTACATAGGGCAAATATTAGCTCCATTTTATTGTTGAGAAAACAGGCTTAGAGAGAAAAAAGTGTATTTTATGAGCTATGGTACCATGAACTATTTTTCTCAGCTTTCTGTCTCCCCAAGATGACTGTATAATTGAGTTAGGCAGATACTTTTTGATTATCAGAATTTATAGAAACATTATTATATAAAGGATTACTTATGTAAAAATTCTTTTGCAGATATTGAAAATGAGCCAAGAAAAAATTGAAATATTTGTAAGTGAGTTGTCAGAGGAGAGAGAACGGAGAAAGGAATTGACATCTAATAATAACACTATACAGAAGGCTTTAAAAGCTGAAAGTGAGGTATTTTGTTATTTAGGATGTTGTTTTCCTCTTTTCACATTTCTAATTTAGGGATTTCATATTGTCATTTACTTTTTATTTTAAAATAAATAATAAATGTAGATTATCTATATATATAAAAAGGCAGCTACCATAACGGCCATAACTAGCTAACAACTGGTTGCTATGCCGCCCACTGTGGCCAGCGAACCTGCCTGATCAGGGGGTGGAGCCAGTGGCCAACCTCGTGGCCCCTCCCCCCTGCCGGCCTGCCCCTGATTGGACCCTCCCACCCCCAGAAAGAGCCGGGCCTGCAGCCAAACGCCCCTCCCTTCCCCCCCCAGCTATACCCCCATCAGCCCACCCCACCACAATAGGCCCGCAGCCTCTCTCCCCCCTCACTGCGGCCTGCCCCTGATCACACCCTCTACCCAAATACAGGGTGGGGCTGGCCAGCCAACCTCCTGCAGCTCCTACCCCCTGCCGGCCCCACCCCTGATTGCCCACCCAAATACATGGTGGGGCTGGCCAGCCAATCTCCCACAGTCCTCTGCACCCCCACCCCCCACCCCGCCACCCCCCTTCCAGTCGGCCATGGCCCCTTCTCCCAGCCAGCCCGGCCCTGATCGGGGGCTCTGATGGGGCCTGATCCAGGCGGGCTGGCTGGCCAACCTCCCACCATCTCCTCTTCCTGACAGGCCCAGCCCTGATTTGCCCTAATTGGGGCCAGGCTGGCCAGGCCCCACCCATGCATGAATCCGTGCACTGGGCCTCTAGTGTATTTATATTATTAATAATTGGGTGACTTTCCCCAAGCTGAGTTCTAACACTAGCCAAGAACAGCCCGTTAAGAAGCAGGTATTTACTATGGTCGTCATAGCGTCAGGGACTTGGTTCTCCCTTTAACCACTTGTCCTGCCATCTTGGAAAGGTCTAGCAGGGGACATAACCAGGCTATTTTTGGAAAAGAGACCTGAAAGTGGGTTCATGGGAGTTTGGATTACCACTTTAGAGGATGGTGACGATCTGTTTGCCTGGTGGGTGAAAGCTAATGCATTGGTTCAAATCCCATCCTCCTGACCTATGGGAGTTTTCCATGAAATGAGAGAGGAAATGGAGATCACTTGCCCGATGCCTGTGTTTTTGTTTTGGTGGCCACTCCTTACCTCCTCTCCTTTTTGCCCAGTGCCTTCCCCATCAAGATTCTCCTCCCTCTCTGATTTCAAGGCTTTGGGAATATAACGTAGCTCCTCTCCTAAAGTGAATTTACTAGTAGATCACCTATTCCTTTCATAGAGCACCACTAACTGACTCTCAGGCCCCAGTCATCCACCAGACAAATACTGCATATTCATGTCATCAAAGTAGAAATTATTAAGAATCTACATCTAACTAAAGTATTTTCTCTCATGGAAAAAATATCAGAGAATTAGAGGAAACCTTAGTTGATTAAGTCACTGCATATACATTATTAAGTACGGCAGCATACTTTGTAGTTAATAACACAATTTGAATCTCAGTTTTACCACTTGCAGACTAGGTGAATTTAAACAGGTCACTTAAGTTCTCTGAGCCTCAGTTTCAATAACCCTACTTCATGGGTAGTCACAAGATTAAAGTAAATTGTGCAGCTGCAGTGTTCTGTAAGAGACAAATTTTAAAAAAGATACATTTAGAAACAGGTACTATAACTAATGCAGGAATTGCTGCAGAATTTACCTCTATATAAGCCTTGCATAAAGTAGAAATGAGTCTCAAAACCCAGGCTTTCAACCTGTGAATGATGGAAATTACAAATGCTCAAGAAAAAGAATGCTCAGTTTAATTAACTAATTTAAATAACCTTTATTTTTACTACTAAGAAAGGAGCCTGCTGCCAGAGGATAGGTTGAAATACAGGGGTGGGCAAAAGTAGATTTAGAGTTTTTCAAGTGGAAAAAGACATGCAGGTTATGATTATTACTGTAACTTTATTAACTCTGTTTTACATACTCACAACTGTAAACCTACTTTTGCCCATCCCCTGTATTTAAGACAAATTTGGCAGGATCATTTCAGAGATTCCTTTTTAGATATATTAAACTTCTTATGGCAAAGTCTTATTTTATTCTACTAAATATCTTCCTTTCTTCATCAGGATTTGCAAAAATCAAAGTCAGAACTTACATATCTTTATAATGAAATTCACAGTTTTCCAGGGACAACAGAAGACCATTTGTTGATAGTATATAACCTGCTCCAAAAAGAAAATTCTGATTTAGAAACAAAGGTGAGACTGAATTATGAAGTATTTAAATGTTCAGTGTATGACATATCTTTTATGAGAATAAGATAAAAGGAAGTTAATTTTCAGAAAGAGATGGCTTGGAAATTGGAGTTTCTTTTATTATTATAAAATCTCTCTCTTATTAAAAAAATTTAAAAAACTGTTTTGAAATAATTAAAGACTTACTGAAAAGTTGCAAAAATAGTACAAAGAATTGTCATATACATTCATTTCTCGAAATGTTAATATGGTACCATGTTGCTTTATCATTCTCTCTCTTTCTGCACACATACACACACTTTATTTTCTGAACACTTCAAGAATGAGTTGGAGTCATAGTTAATACTCCTTTACCACTAAATATTTCCATGTATGTTTGCTAAGAAAATTATCTCTTTGTCATAGTAGACCTCAAAATCAAGAAATCAACCTTAATGTAGTATACTAGAGGCTTGGGGCACAAAATTTGTGCACGGGGGGTGGGGGGGGCCTCAACCTAGCCTGCACCCTCTCCAATTCAGGACCCCTCAGGGGATGTCTGACTGCTGGTTTAGGCCCAATCCCCGGGAGTGGGCCTAAACCAGCAGTCGGATATCCCGCTCACAATCCTGGACCGCTGGCTCCTAATCGCTCACCTGCCTGCCTGCCTGCCTGGTTGCCCCTAACTGTCCTGCACCCCCCGCCGGCCTGATTGCCCCTCACTGCCTCTGTGTGCCGGCCTGATCACCCCTAACTGCCCCCCTCTGCCGGCCTGGTCACCTCTAAGTGCCCCCCCGCCCCCGCTGGCCTGGTTGCCCTCAACTGCCCCCCTGCTGGCTGGTTGCCCCCAATTGCCCCCCCAGCCAGCCTGGTTGCCCCTCACAGCCTGCTGTTCAGTCATTTGGTCATCCCTCACTAACCCCCCTGCTGGCCTGGTTGTAGGCAGCCATCTTGTGAGGGCATGAGGGTTAATTTGCATATCCTTTATTATATAGGATTGTATAATCTCCAGCTCATATTCAAATTTCACCAATTGTTCTACTCTCTTGCAAAAGAAGAACAATTTTTCTAGTCCAGGACTCAATCCAGGAGCATACATAACATCTCTATCTTCTTTAATCTGTAACAGTTCCTCAGTCTTTGTTGTTCATGACATTGAAATTTTTGGAGAGTACAGATCATTTACTTTTTTTTTTTTAACCTTCACCTGAGGATATTTCTCCATTGATTTTTAGAGAGAGTGGAAGAGAGAGGGAAAGACAGAGAGAAGTATCAATGTGAGAGAAACAGATTGATCGGTTGTCTCCTGCACACACCCAAGCAGGAGGTATGACGTGCCCTTAACCAGAATCGAACCCAGAACCCTTCCGTCTTCAGGCTGACACTCTATCCAGTGAACCAAACCGGCCAGGGCTGTAATGGTTAAATTTTTACATTGACCCCCATAAAAAAAGGATTAAGTAGCCTTTTGAAACTTTTTTTCCAGCTTACAAAAGTAATGCAGACCTATTAAGAATTCTTCTCTTTCAAGTCCATTCATAAAGTGACTACACCTCTCAATCTTACCTTATTTCCTCAGCTCCTTATTTTGTAGTCTCTACTCCATTAAGACCATTCTCCTTCCTTCTGCTCAAATACCACACCAATGCCTTTGATCATATTGCTCATCCTTAAAATGCTTTAAATGTGTTATAGTCTCTCACCTATCCATATCTTCCCATCCCCTAAGGATCAGTTCAAGATTATAGTTTATATCTTCAGAGAAGTGAAAAAGCCTAGGAAACCAAACAAAGGAATCTCATAAAGTAACTTAAATTGATCTTTAGAATTGCATTCATTGTGTTCTTAGAATCAAACACATCCTTATGCCTGTGGTAAAAATGGATTTGATTATACAGTAATAACTGCAAAGTATTAAATTGAAAGAACACTTCAACTAGGATGTCCATTTCTATTACTTAAGGCAATACCTACTCAATCATTTAATGGAATCAATATATTTTTTCACAGTTATACATAAGAATATGCAAAATAGAATATTTGTCTTTTTAATTCACAGGTCTTGAAGCTTGCAGAAGAATTTGAACAATTAAATCATTTTACTGTAGACACAAATATTGCAGCTGCTAATTTTTTTACAAGTGAAAATATTTATAAAGATCTCATGTCTAATTTACCAGTTTTGGAAGTAGAGGTTCAAAGCCCAAAGGAAGAGAGAGAGGAACTCTGGTAAATTGAGAAAATCACATATTACATTAATAATTTGGGGGGTATGTTTTATTTGACTTTATCATTGAATTCCAAATAATGTGAGTGGAAAAATTAGTTACAAGCAAGCATTCCCCAAAGTTTATCTTCTGGTATATTGTTACATTTTAAAACTTTTTCTTTTAAAAATAATAATATATGCTTTTCTTTTAAAAAAATAATTTAATTAATTTCAGAGGGGAAGGGAGAGGGAGAGAAAGATAGAAAAATCAATGATGAGAGAGAATCATTGATCGGCTGCCTCCTGCTTGCCCCCTATTGGAGGTCGAGCCCACAACCCGGGCATGTGCCCTTGATCAGAATTGAACCCAGGACCCTGAATCAAACCCAGGACCCTTCAGTCCGCAAGCCAACGCTCTATCCACCAAGCCAAACCAGCCAGGGTAAATATATGCTTTTCATAGAAAAATTTTAAAGCATGAAGTATTATAAGGAAATTATAATAATCCATAATTCCCACCATGGAGAGATATTAACATCTTAAATTTTCTTTCTTGTCTTCTTTTTCTGTATACAAATATATATGTATTTTTTATATAATTAAGACTCTGCAGAGAGATTTGTGTTTTTTCTGTTTTATTTAACATTATATCTGATCATTGTTTTATTTTGAAAACCTTTTTCTTTCTGGTCTTTCTTTTGTTCTTTTGCTTTTTGTTAACCTTGTCTTCTAACTCTAGTATTTCTACTTTTTCACCAGAAGTATCTTTTGAGGGTCGGGTAAATGCACTACTCTATTTTTGCATACAAACTAATAGATGCAATAAAATTTTGCATGGGCAAAAGCCTAAAACCAGATCATCGAAAGGAAATAATAGTTGTCAGTTTTTACTTATATGCCATACTAAAGGATATAGCATCAATGAACTGGGAAAATATTGTGTAGGTGTAGCCACATTTATATCTTGATAAATGTTCTAAGAGAGGAGATTGCTTTGCCAGTTTGGGGCCCCTGAATTTCATGTTCTCTTAAAAACTGGGTTTTAAATTTAGAGTGAGCTCTGAGTCAAGGTTCACCATCATGAAACCTACCTAGTTGCAGAAGGGTGAAGAACATATTGGAGGGATGGTGATGAACAGGTGTGTGAGTGGTCACAAGAGCAAAGAGCCAAGAAGCTAATCACAGCATTTGGGTTTGCTTGTGGGGGAGGGGAGAAAAATATAGTTTTGAGCTCTAGAATAGTGTACAGTAAAACCTCCATATAATGAACTGATTCAGGCGAGCAGGTGTCTGTTAAAGCCGAATGTCCATTATGTAATAAAGTAGTTTTTCCAAATGTGTATGTTAAAAAATTGACAGATTAGTTAAGTTACCTGTTTTTACTTATATAGACATGTTTGTGTAATTAAAGTTAAGAATGTATGAAAAGTTTAATTTCACAGAAAAGTTTTCTATATGTATTACTGTAATTTTAAATTTATACTGAATAGCTTATTGAGGGTTTATAAAATTTTTTCACAAGCTCCGTCTGCCCAGTGCCATACTAAAAGTTGAAAAAGTGAAAAACTCACTTAAACTGGTTGTTTGGGTGTAGACAAAAGTCTATGCTGTCTCATCTTCCTGAATGTGAGTAAGAAAATAAGACTCGATGTTTTTAAGGTTTAATTATAAGATAACTGATCTATAGAATTCAAGTTGAAAATCTTTCTTGCAATACTTTCTTGACTGGTAGATTTTTTTCCCCTCTATATTCTTCCAGCAGAATGAGCATTTTGATAGTTTTTTATTGTTATATTTAACCAAGTTCTGGACTAGGAGAAAGTAAGCTGAAAGAAACTCCAGAGGAGTCAGTAGAGGGCACTTTTCCAAGAAAGAGGCAGAAAGAGGAGGACTTACAACAGAACCAAGATATGAAAAGGGAAGAACAGCAATTGACCTGGAAGCCTGAGGAAGCTGTGAGGCTTAAGGAAGAGGTGAGCCATCTACATTAGAGCCCCCCTCAGTCTCAGAGATATGGGGTAATGCCAAGGCAGGTGCCATTTCCTCTGATCAGCTGTGGATTAAAAAATATATGTATATTTGTTGAACTATATCATAACCACAGCCTGAGGGGTAATAAGATAGCAGCTAAAATCTGAACTAAGTCCCTCATTTGATGCACCTTATTATAAAGGGTTCATAGGCTCCAGTGAGGCTCAACAGGGGGAAAAAAAAACAAAACTAATTATTGCTATCTGTCCTGGCAGGTAAGATAGGGAATGGCAGGATTTGGGCCACATTTTCTATTCCTGGCACCTAGTTTAGATGTATAAAATACTTTTTTTTGGAGAAAAAAGACCATGATTATAGAATTGTTTTAAATATGGCTTTTGCTATTTACCAGAGATCTGCCTCCAGGAAAAATGAAGGAAATGACTGTTGGCCACACTTCAGTTCTTACACCTCAATTTTACAGGTTCTTTTTTTTTTCTTCTTATTTATTTATTTATTTATTTATTTATTTATTTATTTATTTATTTTCTCGCCTGAGGATATTTTTCCATTGATTTTTAGAGATAGAAGAAGAGAGAGGGAGAGACAAAGAGAAATATGTGAGAGAAACGCATCGATTGGTTGCCTCCTGCACGTGCCCCTAGCAGGGCCTGGGCTGGTCGGGGAGGAGCCTACAACCAAGGTACATGCCCTTGGCCAGAATCGAACCCGGGATCCTTAATTTGCAGTCCGATGCTCTATCACTGAGCCAAACTGGCTAGGGCTACAGGTTAATTCTTGTACAAGTTAAGATTTCCCTGCACACACCTTTCTGACAACAATTTTGAGATCCAATAAACAAAATAGATGTGGGTCTTATGGGAAAGAAATAACATTTTTATTTTGAACTTTACATTTCCCAAAGCACTGTGACACACACACACACACACACGCGCGCGCGCGCTATTTCATTTACTTCTTTAAGCAGGCAAGGAAGGAAATGCATTTTAGACTGATTTTTTTTTTTCTGCAGTGAACTGTGCAGTAGTATTTCAGAATCTTTTTCTGTGTATAGAGTTCTTTGACCTACTGATGAGTATAGGTTGTTCTTGTGTGTGTACAAATGGTTTTTTGTTTTTGTTTTATGTTTTCTGTTAATCCTTACCTGAGGATATTTTCCCACTCATTCATTTATTCACTCATTCATTTAGAGTGGAAGGGAGGGGGAGAGACAGAGAGAGGAAAATATCAATGTGAGAGAGACACATCCTTTTGTTGCCTTCTGCATGTGCCCAAACCTGGGTTAGGGATTGAGCCTGCAGTCGAGGTACGAGGTACATGTCCTTGATCGGAATTGAACCTGGGACCCTTCAGTTTCTAATCTGTTGTCAGATTAGAGTGTCTAGTATCTAGCGCTTATCCATATATGTTGTGTCATCTTAATCATGTGCACATTTAAGCACCTGTAGGCTGAGACCAGACACCAAACTTTAAAGAATGCTTTTAATGGTAAATATATAGAAGAAAGAACTGTGAGAGCCTCTTGAATATGTGAGCTCTGTTGTTCATAAGTATTTGTGGCTGCTGATGGCCTTTGGGGGCTTAATTTCTGCTGTTCAACATGGATGTTGTAATAGCTAAATTCTAGGTATCACTTTCCCTATATTCTTGAAACACATTCAAACCACCATGAATATCTCAATTTTATTAAAAATAAAATTAAAGACATATGATATCTGAATGGATAAAGAAAACAAAACCTAGCTTAAAACCTAGCCTCATGGGTTTTTAATAACATTATTGAATATTTACAATGTTCTAAGCACTCTACTAATTCAGCAGTATATATTCAGCAGTACAATGAGGCAGGAATATTATTGTTTCTACTTTATAGGTGAGGAAACTGAGGCTTTACAGAGGTTAAATAGTTTGCCCAGAGTGATCATTTGTGGTAAAATCTGGGTCTGTCTACCCTAGAACTTGACCTTTAAACATTTTTTTTATTATAGTTTACATTCAATATTATTTTGTATTAAGTCCAGGTGTACAGCATAGTGATTAGACAATAATCTACTGTACAAAGTGTTCCCCCTGGTATTTCTAGTGCCCATCTGTCACCACACATGGTTATTACAATATTATTGACTATATTTCCTATGCTGTACTTTACATTCCCATGACTTGTCTAACTACCGATCTGTACTTTGCATTCCCTTCACCTTTTTCACCCTGCCCCTCTCCCCCCTGGCAACCATCAGTCTGTTCTCTGTTCTATGAGCTGTTTCTGTTTTGTTGGTTTGTGTTGTTCTTTAGATTCCACATGTAAGTGAAATCATATGTGTCTTTCTCTGACCGACTTATTTCACTTAGCATAGTACTCTCCAGGTTCTCTCTGTTTTTTCCTTAATGAATCTGGTTAAAGATTTATCAGTCTTGTTTATCTTTTCAAAGAACCATCTCTTGGTTTCATTGAACGTTTGTTTCTGTTTTTTAGTTGCTGTTTTGTTTATTTACACTCTGATATTTTTTAAATATATTTTTATTTGTTTCAAAGAGGAAGGGAGAGGGAGAAAGAGATGGAAATATCAATGATGACAGAGAATCATTGATTGGCTGCCTCCTGCAGGCCCCACACTGGGGATCGAGCCTCAACCCAGGCATGTGCCCTTACTGGGAATCGAACTGTGACCTCTTAGTTTATAGTTTGATGCTTAACCACTGAGCCATGCCAGGCAGGCTACACTCTGATCTTTATTATTTCCTTTCTTCTATTCACTTTGGACTTTGTTTGTTGTTCTTTTTCTAATTCCTTTAGGTGTGAGATTAGGTTATTTATTTGAGATTTTTCTTGTTTCTTAAGGTAGGCCTGTAATGCTATGAATTTCCCTCTGCTTTCACTGTGTCCCAGAGATTTGGGGTTGTGTTCCCATTTTCATTGACCTATCTAATTTCTTCCTTTATCTCCTTGATCTCCTTGTTAATCCATTCATTGTTTAGTAACATATTATTTAGCCTCCATGACTGTATTTTTAATTTTTTTTCTTGTAATTGATTTACAGTTTCATATCATTTGGTCAGAGAAGATCCTTGATATGATTTCAGTCTTTTTAAATTTATTGAGACTTGATTTGTGTCCTAACATGTTGTCTATCCTAGAAAATGTTCCATGTGCACTTGAAAAGAATGTATATTCTGCTGCTTTGAGGTGAAATGCTCTGAAAATATCCATTAATCCATCTGATCTAGAGTGTCATTTAAGGCTGCCATTTTTTTGTTGATTTCTGTGTAGAAGATCTAGCCATCGATGTCAATGGATATTAAAATCCCCTACTATAAGGGTACTAGAGGCCCAGTGCACAAAAATTTGTGCACTCGCAGGGGAAGGTGGTACCTCAGCCCAGCCTGAGCCCATTCACAGTCCAGGACCCCTTGGGGGATGGCCACCTGTCAACTTAGGCCCACTCCCTGGGGGATCAGGCCTAAGCTTGCAGTCAGACATCCTTCTGGCAGCCAGGGAGCCCTCAGGGGATGTCCGACTAAAGGCTTAGGTCCCCAAGGGATTGGGTCTAAACCATTAGTTGGACATTCTTAGTGCTGCCACGGAGGTAGGAGAGGCTCCTGCCACCACTGCGCTGGCCAGCCATGAGCCAGCTTCTGGCTGAGTGGCACTCCCCATATGGAAGTGCACTGACCACCAGGGGGCAGCTCCTGCATTGAGCATCTTCCCTCTTGTGGCCAGTGCGCATCATAGCAACCAGTCATTCTGCCGTTCAGTCAATGTGCATATTAGCCTTTTATTATTATTATATAGGATGTCCCTATTTCCCCCCTTTTGCCCCCTCTACCCAGCTCTTGTCCCCCACTTCTCTCTGGCCATCACCATACTGTTGTCTGTGTCCATGGGTTGTGCATATATTTCCTTTGGCTAATCCCTTCTTTAAATTCACTTCTTTAAATTTTTATTTTCAGATAAGTGCTTATAACTGCACTATTATATATTTTCTATTATATCATTTAGAATTAAGATATTTTTTAATTGAACCCTTGTAAATTTTAGCACAATTTAATAAATTATGCTAGAAGCAATTAGGAGATTTTTTCATGTAATGCAGATATATTTCAATTAATATTTTATTAATTTTTAATTTTTTAATATTTTAATTTGAAATAATCTCATACATGTAAAAAAAAACTATAAAATACTACAGCATATTATATGTACCCTTCACCCAATTTCTTAGGTGTTAATAATTTAAACATAACCATTATACAGCTAACAAAATTTGGAATATATTTTTCTTATAATCTCTTTAATGTTTCTTAATCCATTTACTTTGTTTTTGTTAATCTTCACCCAAGGATATTTTTCCATTGAATTTTAGAGAGAGTGAAGGGAAAGGGAGAGACACATTGATTGGTTGCCTCCTGCACATGCTTTGATAAGGACTGGGGATCAAGCCAGCAACTGAGGTACATGCCCTTGACGGGAATCGAACCTGGGACCCTTCAGTCCACGGGCTAATGCTCTATCCACTGAGCAAAACAGGCTGCAGCTTAATTCATTTACTTTTAATCTATATGTGTCTTTATATTTAAAGTGGGTTTTGTTTTTGATTCACTCTCATAATCTGTCTTGGCTTCTGTGGCTTCTGGGCCCCGCCTGCCTTGCTGCCCCCGATGATCGGGTCCTGGGCGGCAAGGCGGGGCTGGCTCCTGGGGCTTCTGGGGCGGGGCTGCCTTGCGGCCCGGGACCCACCGATGGGGTCCTGGGCAGCAAGGTGGGGCCGGGCCTTCCCTGGATGGCAGTGGCACTGGCGGCTCTCGCTGTCCCACCCTGCCTGCAGTATGCAAATTAGCCGCCATCTTTGTTGGTGGTTAATTTGCATATCATGCTGATTAGCCAGTAGGAGGCATAGCTAAGGTACCGTCAATTACCATGTTTGTCTATTAGCTAGGATTCTGTCAATCTGTCCTTTTAAGTCCATCAAGATTTGCTTTATATGTTTAGGTACTCCTATGTTGAGTTCATAAATGTTTACAAGGGGATTGCTCCCCTTATCATTATGTAGTGTCCTTTGTCTCTTAATAGAGCCTTTGTTTTAAAGTCAATTTTGTCTGATAAAAGTATTTTCATTTCCATTTGCATGAAATATCTTTTCATCCTTTTACTTTTAGTCTGTGTAAATCTTTCATTCTGAAGTGGATCTTTTGTAGACAGCATCTATATATGGATCTTGTTTTCTTTATCCATTCAGATATCATATGTCTTTTGATTAAAGCATTTAATCCATTTACATTTGGAGTGACTATTAATAGGTACATATTTATTGCCATTTTATTCTTTCTAACTATGTACCTCTTTTTTAAAATATCTTCTTCTTAAAGAAGACCCTTGAATATTTCTTATAAACTGATTTGGTAATAATGAATTCCTTTAACTTTTTCTTGTCTGTGAGGCTCTTTATTTCTCCTTCAATTTTAAATGATAGCCTTGCTGTGTAAAGTAGCCTTGATTGTAGGTCCTTGCTTTTCATCACTTTCAATATTTGGTGCCAATCACTTCTGGCCTGAAATATTTCTCTTGAGGAATGAGCTGACAGTCTTATGGGAGCTCCTTTTTAGGTAACTTTTTCTCTTGCTGCCTTTAAGATTATCTCTTGGTCTTTAACCTTTGGCATTTTAGTTAGGATGTGTCTTGGTGTGGGTCTCTTTGAGTTTATCTAGTTTGGGACTCTCTGCGCTCCCTGGACTTGTGTATCTATGTTTAACTGCTTTTGTTCACATAATTTCTTTGATATTTTACTCTAATATAATGGGAGTTAAAATACATAAACATGTACCAACTAACATGTGAATAACCACATTCTGACAATTCTGGTTATGACAGCTGGAACCCATGTCTCACCAATATTCTTTCAAATTGTCCATGTTTCTCTTTTCAAATGTTTGTTTTAGAATCTATCATCTAAAGAAAAACTGAAATACCAGCAGCAGCAAGAAGAAGTACAACAACTTCGCCAGAATTTGCACCGGCTCCAGATTCTCTGCAGCTCAGCTGAAAAAGAGCTCCGATATGAGCGGGGAAGGAACTTGGACCTAAAGCAACATAATAGCTTACTTCAGGAAGAAAGCATTAAGGTAACTCTAGTGGGCACATCCTTTAGTGACGGGTCTCAATTATTCAATTGGCCCTGGGGAAAAAATGAATCAGAATTTCTCAACTTTATAATTCATGATAGTGTCCATAGGTGGTGGACAGGTTAACGTTTTTAACTTTTCCCTACCAAGTAGGTACACAGCTCAGTTGTTTCTCTGCTGCTGAAGGTGTATGTATGTTGTCAACCTGTAAATATGAAAAGTTTTAAAGTAACACAATCTTTTGAAATTATCCCCTAAAATTGTAGCAGTTATTAAATTTCAGTGACCTGAGCCCAAACCCTGGTTGTTCTGCTCTAGTTCTATGTCTAGGCTTATTTATCTCTAATAAATAAGATATTGGTTGACTCAAATATCAGCTGCACCAAGGTATAATTCATAGGAGGGCAGAGCTGTTCTTCCGCACAAGAGCATCTAAAGTTAGAGACCATCCCCCAAACATGCTTGTTTGAAAATATTAAACTGCCATCCACATATTCATCTAAATTGTATAAACCACATAAATGTTCAATTTGAACCACCATGTAAAATAGTCATACTTCCTTTTTATTGTGCTTCAATTCTGTAAATATATAAGTATCTAGTTTCTGTGAGCTCCTAGCTAAGATTTTTGTTTTCAGTAAATATCTATTGAGCATCAGTCATGCACTGGGTAGGATCTTGTTGATATGACGGTTTAATGATAGGCAAACAGACACAGTCCTTATCCCCTGGTGCAGGGGTCAGCAAACTTTGGCCGTTGGGTCAAATCCTATCTGCCTTCTGTTTTTGTAGATAAAAATTTATTTACAAAACAACCATATCTGTTTGTTTACATGTTATCAATGGATTCTTCTGTACTACAATAGCAGATTTTAGTAGTTCTGATAAGATTACAGTATTTACTATCTGGCAGCCCTTTATAGGAAAAATTTGCCCACCCCTGGTGTTGTAGGATAAAAGCCCGGCTGGCGTGGCTCAGTGGTTGAGTGTCAACCTATGAACCAGGAGATCATGGTTAGATTCCCTGTCAGGGCATATGCCCAGGTTGTGGGCTTGATCACCAGTGTGGGGTGTGCAGAATGCAACTGGTCAATGATTCTCTCTCATTATTGATGTTTCTCTATCTCTCTCCCTCTCCCTTCCTCTCTGAAATCAATTTTTTAAAAAGTGACATAAAGATAGATTAAGAAAGATCCATACTTTTTAGGAGCTCACAGTCTAGTAGGGCAGATGTAGAGGAAAACGAATAGTCATTTATTCTAAACTTCAAGGGAAGCTCTTCTAGGAGTTCTGGTATTTCAGGGTTATTTGAATAAACCTCATGATCTTTTTAATATTGGTCATATTCCCTCAAGCCTTTATAGTTTTAAATTAAATTCTTCATCACATTTCCTTATAAGACAGCCTTTTAACTTTCCCTTCAACCACATTTCTTATACTATTTTAATTGTCCAACTTTAAACATATTCAAGCCTACTACATCTTTTTTAAGGTGCAATGATCAGAAAAACACAGATCATGATGCTTTACATATGTTTGGCATCCTATAAATATTTTTTGAATTAATGAACAAGTTTTTCAGGTGTAGGTAAATGATAGTTTGGTGAAAGGAGAAGATACTTTTTGTCCTGTTTCAAATCTCCTTCATGGTGGGGTAAAATATTGGCCTTTTCAGTAATGAGATATCAGTCTTTGTCCTGGTGCCCTAGGCCAGGTACCTATGCAAAGTACATAATAGCCAGTTACCTTTTATTGATAGTTTGTTCACTTTGTCCCTTATAAACTTCCCACAACCCTGAAAGGCCAGCATTTTGTGGATGGGAAAACTGTTCAAGATTGAAAAGCTAACAAATTATGGAATCAGATGTAAATCCACATTTAGTTCTCTCTTTCCTCTATCGAGTTATTCCTCTCTTCATCTTGAGGTCATTTTGAAACCTCAGCTTTGCAAATGTAGAGCTCACTTTTTAAAATCCACTCAGAGATGTTCAAACTCTGTGTCTGGCTAAGTTAAGCATATGTATGAAACTAATTTAAAAAGCATAGCCGAAACCGGTTTGGCTCAGTGGATAGAGCGTCGGCCTGCGGACTGAAAGGTCCCAGGTTCAATTCCAGTCAAGGGCATGTACCTGGGTTGCGGGAACTTCCCCAGTAGGAGATGTGCAGGAGGCAACTGATCGATGTTTCTCTCTCATCGATGTTTCTGACTCTCTCCCTTCCTCTCTGTGGAAAATCAATAAAATATATTTAAATAAATAAATAAATAAATAAATAAATAAATAAAATAAAAAGCATAATACGCCGGGACAATACGCCGGGACCGGTTTGGCTCAGTGGATAGAGCGTCGGCCTGCGGACTGAAGGGTCCCGGGTTCGATTCCGGTCAGGGGCATGTACCTTGGTTGCGGGCACGTCTCCAGTGGGGGGTGTGCAGGAGGCAGCTGATCGATGTTTCTCTCTCATCGATGTTTCTAACTCTCTATCTCTCTCCTTTCCTCTCTGTAAAAAATCAATAAAATATAAAAAAAATAAAATAAAAAAATAAAATAAAATAAAAAGCATAATACAGTACAGGCAGTCCTCGGGTTACGTCGGACTCGACGCACGTCGTTTCGTGGTTACGTCGCCATCTCCCATTTACTGTATTTATATTTTAAAAAGTTCCGTCATTTTGACATATGTGCATATGTGCTTTATGTTTTTTATTATTTATTTACCACAAGTAAAGGTCAGGAATTGTTATCTTTCTTTAAAATTTTTTTTTCACTGTTTCACTTCATTACTGCTGTGTATGTGCTCCATGTGGTGACGTAGGTACTTATGTAGGGGGGTTCCGACTTACGGCGAAGATCGCATTATGTCGCCCTAGAAACAAATCTCTGATGTAACCCGAGGATCTACTATACTTGTTAATTGCTTTTAAACCATTTTATTGTGAAATATAGCACTCAGAAAGTACATAAAACATAAATAAATAGTTTAATAAGTTGTTGTAAAGTGATTATCCATGTAACCACCACCCAGGAAAAGAAATAGCACATTGCCCGTGTGCCAGCAGCCCCTGAATGCTTCTTGTATTAACTTTGGCACATCTTATTTTTCTAAAATATTTTCTTTTTCATTTAAATTGAAAATTTTTTATATAAACTTATTCATAAAAATTTTAAATATAGCAATGGTCCTTTTTAATTTCATGATACTAGTTACCCTTTGTTTTCTTTTAATCAGTTTCACTAGTTTATCCATTTTATTAGACTTTTCAAGAACTAGCTTTGTTGATAAATAAAAAATACAGGCATTTCACCTGGCTGATGGGACTCAGTGGTTGAGTGTTGACCTAGGAACCAGGAGGTCACAGTTTGATTTCCGGTTGGGGCACATGCCCAGGTTGTGGACTTGATCCCCAGTGTAGGGAGTACAGGAAGCAGCCAATTGATGATTCTCTCTCATCATTGAGGTTTCTCTCTCGTTCCCTCTCCCTTCCTCTCTGAAATCAATAAAAATATTTTATTAAAAATACAGGCATTTCACAATTGTGAGGCAGTTTAGTATTAAATACTGGGCTAGAATCAGAAATCTGTATTCAGACCATGTTTCTATCATTTGCCAACTATATTTGAGACTTAGTTTTTTCATTTAAAATGAAGTAAAGTACAAATCTCAACTACTTCATTGATATGAAAGCCTAACCAGCATACAGTAGTTATAGTAGTATCTGCCTCAGTTCTGTACTTCAAATACAGTAGATATTCTGTAAGTGATTCTTTTTTTTAATTATCTAAATTCTTTATTGTTTAAAGTATTAACATACGTCTCCTTGTAAGTGATTCTTGAAGTACAATAGCTAGCTTGTATTAGGTATTACATATGTGGCTATTTCTATTCTTGATGCTTTCATTGCTTTATTTTATTAAGTGTAGCTTTCCAACTGTCCTATGAGTTAAGTAGTTATCTCCATATTACAGATGAAGAAACATACTTAGAGAGGTTAAACATTATTAACTTTTAATTCATTTGATAAAATCTGAATGGTTAATATGCAGAAGTTACAAGTGGAGGAAATTACAGTTATAATCCCTATTAATTAGTTGAAAAGCTTTGAGCCCAGGAAATTCTGTTTTACATAAAGTGAAGTAAGTTCTGGCTCAGCATTTTTGTCTGTGAGTCCTACCTACTATGTCCATTTACCAGGTTCTAATATTCCTTAGAATGTCATTCATTCATTCATTTGTTCAGTAAATATTAATTAATCACCTACTTTAGGCACATTGATAGGCGTTGGATACTAAGAAATGAATAAAACACATGGGAATTTAGAGTGAGGAGGAAGGATGTGAAAGAGTAGATAAATACATGTTTAATTATAAATGGTGATAAATTCTCTGAAGGAAATAAATGTGGTATAATAAGTGAGTAAGTAAGTAAGGAGACCTCTTCAGATTAAATGATCATGGAGGTTTTCTCTTACAGAGTGCCTTTTAAGCTAAGACCTGGGAAATAGACAGGAACCAACCGGACCATGAGGAGAGGGGGAAGGGAATACATTTCTCGCAGAGGGAAGAGTGGAGTCTGGTGTGTTGGAGACTCTAAATAGAAACCAGCAGGACAGGAGGTCAGTGGAAGAAGGGGGAATGACAGGATGGTTTTTAAGAAGTTGGCAAGGGCTGGATCACACAAGGCCAGGCAAACTGCTGGCGTTTGTTCCTGGAGTGATGGGAAGCCACTGAAATATTTAAGGAGGGGTGTCAAGTCGTTCAATTTATGTTTTGAAAAGAACACTTTGGCTGCTGTGCAGAGAACAGATTAGAAGGGAGTAAACATGGAAATGGCAGGACCGGGTTGAGGCTCTTGCTATGGTCAGGGCTAGAGCTGATGATCTAGACTAGAGTCGTGACACAAACGACTCAGATGGATTGATGCAAGATCTGTTGTGGAGGCAGAGTGACAGCTTGCGCTGAATTGGCTCATAATGGAAAAGGAAGACTCGAGGATAACTCTCAGGTTATTGGCCTACATGGGGTAGATGGTGACATCATTGACTATAGTCAGGAAGACTGAGAGAAAAACCATCCTGGAAATGTGGGCAGATCAAGGAATTTCACTTAGGCAGTTACTTGGCAGAAAGGTGGTGTTTTATTTTAAATCATGAGGATGAACCAAGAGAGAGTGATCCACTCTCAAGGCCCAGTTTGATCCAATAGCATTTAGAAGTTGGGTGGCATTAGAACAGTCAACAAAAGAGACCAATAAGGAACAGAAGAGCGGTAAATGGAAATCATGGGAGTTTGGTATCACGGGCTCCAAGAGAGGAGGGGAACTTTCTGAGAGGGAAGGAGTGGATGCCACTGAGAGGTCAACTGTCCATTGGCTCTACTTTGGCAATAGTGCCCTTAGCAAAAGCAGCTCCCCAGAGTAGCGGGAATGAAAGCCAGCCTGGAGTGATAGAAAAAAGGATGGAAAAATATCTAGACCATGCATGTATCGACACTCAGGAAAATCCCTTTGTCCAGCTGCCATGTGGAGAGATAGACCTTGGGAAACCTTACTGACACGTGGCAGCTCCAGAGAGGAAATCAGCCACATGACACTGGTGTTCGTCAGCTCTTGGGGGACAGCATTCCTCTGAAAGCTGCTTACTCTGGCTCACCATCACATTCGCCCCATGCTTATTCCCTCCGCTGTTATTTATTCCCCACCTCTAGCTCAAAATTGAACTCAGGCAGGCCCAGCAGAAGTTATCGGACAGCGCAAGGCTGTGCTCTCCACCCCCAGCAGAGTGGAAGCACTGTCAGCAGAAAATCAAGGAGCTGGAGCTGGAAGTACTGACACAGGCTGAGAGCATTAAATCACAGAACACCCTGAAAGAAAAGCTGGCTCAGGAGAAATCCAAAGTTGCTGATGCAGAGGAAAAGGTAATTACCCACACACGTAGTAAGTAGCATGCGCTGGATACTACTACTGAAATCCGTTTCCCTAAGGACTGTAAGAAGTAGGTACGGTGCAAACTTGATAGAATTCTAGGGTTTTTCTTTACTCCCTCATGCTTTCCTCCCTTCACCTTCATCTGCTCCTATAATTCCAGTAAATTTTGTGTATTTTTTCAAACTGCATAAACCTATAAAGGTGTTTCACCCAATGACTTTCCTTTTACACATGCAAATTTTAAAAGCCTAGTCTCTTCTCATTTGGATTGGTGTTTACATGATTTTTATTTTGTAATTTCTGGAATGACTTGTGTTGTGAAATGAGCCATTTTGGAATGTTGCCCCTGCATTTTGGACTGCCTAACGCCAGGTGGCAGTAGGATGTAACAGGTGCACATTTTGATCTGTAAGTTTGTCTGAGTTGAATTTTATATTTTAAAAAAATGTCATTTATCTAACTCTGTAAATATAAAACTAATACCAAGAAGTAGACGATAGCAATCTGAATTAAACTCAAAAGCCTAATATTCACTAAAGAAGCCAGTACGAAAGAGTTCATACTGTGTAATTTCATTTATATGAGGTTCCAGAACAGAGAAACTAAGCTATGGTGATAGGTTCATGGCTGTCTCTGTACGGCCTTTTATCTGGGCGGGGACGTGCGGAAATCTTCTGTGGTGCTTACAAGTATTCTATATGTTAGCCTGAGAGGTGATCCTATAAGTAAAAGTGTATTGCATTTACACTTTACTGCATGTGTTATTGCTCCATAAAAAAGTAATTGATAAAGATTGGTAAAATTTAAAATTTAGACACTACTGAATATTGGTGAGGGTTTTGTGCGGTAGGAGCTCATACTGACTACGGTTGGAAGAGTAAATCCAAATAAACACTTTGGAAACCAGTTTGATGGTGGTTTCTAGTTAAGTTCAAAATGTATATACTGTACAACCCCACACTTCTACTACTAGGCATAAACACTAGAGAAGCTATTATACGGCACATATGCATCCGAAGGCAGGAATTCAGCCATTTTCATGTAACAGTGTTTGGAAAAGCAGAAAATTGGAAACAACCCAAGTGCCCACTAATATGAGATTGAATAAATACATTATATATTTACACAACAGCATGCAACAGCGAAACTTAATTAATTACAGGTACATGCTGAGTTCAGTGTAATATTGAATAAAAACCAGGTCAGGAAAATCATAGTATGATTCCACTGATATAAAGGTCAAAATAGTACAAAATGAAAGCCATGTCACATAGAGAGATATATTGTTAAAAGAAAAAACAAAGAAATGATTGACACACAAGTCAAGATATTGGTTTTCTCAGCTGGAGCAGGAAGGAATATAATTAACGAGGGTCACAGAATGGACTTCAGAAGTTTTGGAAATGTTCTTTCTTAAATTGGGTGGCGAGTTCAAAAGTTTGGCATCTGTCCTTGACAGAGAAGCCAGTGGGGTGATACTTTCTTCTGCGGAATTAAGACTGAATATCTTTAAGTTAGTATTTCCCCTGAGCAGTTCAGAGGAACTAGACCGTGCCTCTGCCATTGTCCTGAATCATTCTGCTTCTTCACCTCTCCTGTGGTGTATGGGTTTTGCAAAGGGCTTAGGGCCAGGGCTTAGGCTGATGCAGAAAGATCTTCTCTTAGAAAAGGTCTGCCATACACTGGCATTCACTGAATGTTTGTGGGGAATGTGGTGTCAAACTATTGTAGGGGACTCATTGGTGGGTCAGGAATATAATAGAGGGAGAACAGCTATTCTGCTGAAATCTAGTCATTCAGCAAATATTTATTAAATACTTACTATGTACCAGTTACAAATTTAGGTGACACAAAGGCTTATCAAAATAAATAAACAAGTCTTGCCAGGCCGGTGTGACTCAGTGGTTGAGTGTCGACCCAGGAACCAAGAGGTCGCCAGTTTGATTCCCGGTCAGGACACATCCCTGGGTTGCAGTTCAGTCCCCAGTAGAGGATATGCAGAAGGCAGCCCATCAATGATGTTCCCCTCTCTTCGATGTTTCTATCTTTCTATCCCTCTCTCTTCCTCTCTTTCTAAAAATCAATAAAAAATATATTTTTAAAAAAGTAAACAAGTTTAAAAGGATATTTACCTAACAAAAATATTTTAATGACACTTTTAATCTAACATGTAAATTCTAAAATAAAATTATGTATCTCTCTTTCACATTATAAATCTTATTTTGAGAATGACCAGGGTATTAAAGAACCTATTACTGGTGCTAGGCAATATGCTAATTGATACTTGCTTTGTAAGAGACTTTGACTTTGTTCTGAGATATCCATGAATGTAGCCACACTGTGAGAAACCAGACACTCTCACACATTGCTGTTAGAAGTGTAAACTGGTCTAATATCTATAGGGACAGTTTGGCCTTATCTATCAAACAAACAAATAATAACCTTTGCCCTGGCAAATCCACACCTCATAAAGTATTCCAGAGACATTGTTTATAGTAGCAAGAGATTGGAATTAACCTAAATGTCCACCAGTAGGAGGTTAATTAAATAAGTTATGGTATATTCTTATAGTGGGATGGTATATGGCTGTAAAAGAGAGCACACATATATATTCAGGATTGGGCAAAGGTAAGTTTATAGTTGTGAGTATGCAGTGCACAAAGCTTTTTCTTATATTATTATTTATTAATTATTCTTTTCCATACAAACAATTATAAACCTACTTTTGTCATATGCTGTACTTATAATATGGAAAAATCATTGAATGATCAGATTGTGTGCCAGTACTATTGTGTTTGTTATTTATATCATATTTCCCTAATTGGAAAATAGGTCACATTTTTCTTTAAAGTTTTATTTGTAAACTTTTTTTATTCAAGATTTTGGATCTACAGCAGAAATTAAAACAGGCTCATAAAGTCTGTCTCACAGATGCTTGTATTTTGGGAAAGAAGCAACTAGAAGAAAGGATAAAAGAAGAACAACAAGAGAGGTAAGAGGAGCAAAGATGTCAGCTTCTCATGGGCTAATCTTGGTTGAGTTTACCAGCAGTGTCTACTTACCAGTGTTTCTTCTTGTCCCCCCCGCTGAAATAAACTCACACTCTTACCAGTATATATTGCACTTACCACCTTGTGTACTAATAATTTCTTTCCTTGTTTGCTTTTCACACTAGAGTATAAGATTCTTTTTTTTTTTTAAGAATTTTACTGATTTTTAGAGGGAGGGAGAGAGAGAAACATTGCTGTGTGAGACCAAAACATCAATCAGCTGCCTCCTGCAAGCCCCCACCAGGGATCGAGCCCACAGCCCAGGCATATGTCCCAGCTGCAAATCAAACCGCAACCTTTCAGTGCAAGGGACAACAGCCAGCCAACCAACCAACCAACACACCAGCCAGGCAAGTGTGGGATTCTTAAGGCAGGGGTTCTTTCTTGTTGTTCAGGAACACACTCGGTGCACCAGTATATTTTCTTGAATGACTGAATTGCCTAGGAAATAGCATACTCTGGGATTTGCTTTTCTAATTCTAACATGATTAGCACAAAATACAGACTAGAATGAAGTTGGTGTTTTGTATTTATGAGCTGATTTTCTTCAAAGAAGTTCCAAGTACGTTACAAGCATCTTAATCATCAACAAGTTGCTACCAGATATGAGCTGTCATACTTTTTTCTAAAATTATTAGATTATTAGGATCTCACTTAAATTACCTTAGATGCCCTAAACTCCAGTAATTGATGCTTCCTACTTCTGTAGCACTCAGTGTGATTTACATATATTTTAAGAAAAATATTATTTTAGACAGTGAAAAGATATACAGACATCCACATATACTATGAAGCTCAGAAACTTACTTTCACCTCCAATTAAAAGCTCTAGCACAGGGCTTGACACTCAGTAGGTATTCAGTAAATATTTAGTGAACAAAAAAATGTTTGAGTAAGTGAATGAATGAATGAAGGTGAAGATGAATAATGAATTCACTTAGTGAGGTATAGTAGAAAAATAGTTGTCCGACTGTCACTTCTAGCAGGATGATAGGCTATCCTCCTGTTATAATACAACTAAATTCTGAATAAACTACAATAAGAATGCCTTTTTAAACATTACTCACAAAGCAAGAGAAAGCCTGAAAGGCAAACATACAATGAGGTAAAACAAAAATAATGAATGGTAAAAAACAAACACAAAACTCCTACCTCATAGGATCATTGTGTAAATTAAATGAGTTATAAGCAGTTGGCTTGTATCAGTGTCTAGCGCATAGTAAGCACTTATATCAGTCAGGGTTCAATTGGAGAAGTACAACTGTTAGTGGTAATATTGGCCCTCAGTTCTTGACTTTATGCAGGAAAGATTCACAGCACAAGTCCAGATGATTTTGAGAGTTTAAAGCTAGGGACAGTGAGACAGAGGAAGAGCTTAACATAGAAGAGGCAAGATCATAGCAACAGGAGTGAGCCTGGGTAAGTGTGCCTTGACCCTCTAGAAGGAAAGTTCACAGACGCAGAAGAAGTGAGCTACAAGAGCACATATTCCAACTTTCCAAGAGAAAAAAACAAAATGCTTCTCTTCTGCCCTCCAAATCTTCTACAAAATATGTCTTGTAGCCCACTCTAACCAGAAACATGCATGGACAGAATTCCTAGCCAAGTTGACACATTAGGAAGACTCTACTAAAAAGTGTTGTTGTTGTTGTTGTTGTTGCATTATCTGATGTAATTATTACCGTTGCCCTAACCAGTTTGGCTCAGTGGATAGAGCGTCGGCCTGAGGACTCAAGGGTCCCAGGTTCGATTCCAGTCAAGGGCATGTACCTTGGTTGCGGGCACATCCCCAGTAGGGAGTGTGCAGGAGGCAGCTAATCAATGTTTCTCTCTCATCGATGTTTCTAACTCTCTATCCCTCTCCCTTCCTCTCTGTAAAAAATCAATAAAATATATTTTAAAAAATTAAAAAAATAATTATTACTGTTATCGTCATCATCACCATCATTATCAGTGAAGTGAAAAATGTTCGTTTTGGCTAGAACAAAATGGGGGTTAGGAGAGTGACAAGAAAATGAAGCTAGAAGGGTAAGCTAGGCCTGGTCGTGATGAGCCTACCTGGCCACATTGAATTTGGACATGTTCATGGGAGATAATGGTCTGCAGTTTTCCTATTTGAAATATCCTTATCTGGGTTTGGTATTAGTATATAATGCTGCCTATTAGAATTAGTTAGAAAGTATCCCCTCTTCAATTTTTCTGGAAGAGATTATAGATAATTGGTATCATTTTGAAACCGTACAGCCAATGGTTCTGGGCTGCCTTTCACTACTTGAGCCAATTAAGCAGAGACAGGGTTGAATCATGTATGTGTGTTTATGCCAATAATGGGAGAGCAGCAGGTCATCCACAAAAATCTGCTCTGCACTCCTTCCCCCCATACGCCAGTTGTTATATGGAGTAGGACAAAGATTACATGGGAAAGTAGGCAGAAGGAATAAGAATGGGTATGCAAAATAAAAATGGGCAAGCAGGGATGGGGAATAGGGAAAAGGAATAAAATTGGGTGTAATGGTTACAGGTTACAGACAATGCCTGCTGGGGATTTGCAAAGGATGGTGTCTCCAGTCTCGCCTGGCAACAAGGTTGTTAATCTTTCCATGATAATAGGCAGCTCTCTAATGAGGAAGATGGGCCGCATTTCCAGGTTAGCTCCAAGGTCCAGGGGACTTACCATTCCCAGCCAGCATAGAATGTGCTTTCTTTAATCAGAACAAAACAATCACGATTAACAGAGCATAATTAATATTTCTTATAACTATAGCTAGTTTCCACTATTCTATTTCTTCCTCCCATCCCTAACAATTGTTAATGTAAGAAATACATTATTCAAACCTATAAAGAATTTTTGTGAGTTTATTTGAGCCAAACTGTCAACTATTTCCAGGAAGCAGAATCTCAACACATTGCGACAATACCATGCTCCAGAGAATGGTGGGTTTTCACCTGTTTTTATAAATTACCATCAAAGAAGGAGAAAGTGGGTTACATGAAATCCATTGGTGATAGATTAGGGAGGTGGGAGAAAGCAAAGGGGAGGGTGTTACTTCTGGGATTGGATAAAAAGTAAAATGATAGACACATGCTTCTTTTACCTAGGTGAGCATAGGATAGTTAACAGTTAACAATTAACACATAACAATTAACACAAATAGCAATAACAATGAGGGAATTTGTGGCCCTTGGTGCATTGGTTGTGCTCTGAGGGGTCCGGAATAAAGGGAAATTACAAGTTACCCCAACATTCCAAAGGCATGTTATCTAGATGCAAAAAGACAATAGGCTCAATTAAGATCAAAGTTGATCTTTGTGGAGGATGATACCAGCCTTGGACATGAACTACCCACCAAAGACTGTTTGTTTTTTAAATTGATTTTGGAGGGGAAAGGAAAGGGAGACAAAGCAAGAAACAATGATGTGAGAGAATCATTGATTGGCTGCCCCCTGCACACTTCTACTGAGGATTGAGCCTGCAACCTGGGCATGTGGCCCTGACCAGGAATCAAACCATGATCTCCTAGTTTATAGGTTGATGGTCAACCACTGAGCCACGCCAGCCAGGCTGCTCTTTAATTAAAAAGTTTAATTTCATGCCCGCTGATGTGGCTCAGTGGTTGAATGTCTACCTATGAACCAGGAGGTCATGGTTTGATTCCCGGTCAGGGCCTAGGCCCGGGTTGCAGGCTCAATCCTCAGTAGGGGCATGCAGGAGGCAGCCGATTAATGATTCTCTCTCATCATTGATGTTTCTCTCTCTCCCTCTCCCTTCCCCTCTGAAGTCAATAAAAATAACTTTCTTTTTTTTTTTTAAGTTTTAATTTCAGACCATTCTTTTTTTTCTTTTTTAAAAAAATATATTTTATTGATTTTTTACAGAGAGGAAGGGAGAGGGATAGAGAGCCAGAAACATCGATGAGAGAGATCAATCAGCTGCCTCCTGCATGCCCCCCACTTGGGGATGTGCCCGAAACCAGGGTACATGCCCTTGACCGGAATCGAACCCGGGACCCTTGAGTCCGCAGGCTGACGCTCTATCCACTGAGCCAAACCGGTTCGGCTCAGACCATTCTTTGTGGTTATTTTAGGTCTCTGAGTTTACAAGGCCACCTGCAGGCCTTTCCTGAGCTTGTCAGGTTAGCATGTGGCCCCATTTAGTCCACATTTGTTATTAAATTTGTGGGCATAGAGTTGTTCATAATATTCCCTTACTGTCTTTTTTTTTTTTTAAGTAACAAATGCAGTTTTAATTGATCTATAGATAAAAACTACTCTGCAAGGTGAGTAACCATTTCTGCTCCTCAATCTGTTAGAGCCATATCCTGGACAGTGTTCAGGAAGAAGGTAATTTCATTATTTCACTTCATCCGTGGTATTAGAAAAACAAGGCATGATTATCAGTTTAGATGACATGCGTAGCTGGCAGCCAAATCCAGTCCCTATATTCCATATTTTTTCTTTAGTTCTCCTCCTTCGTTGATGTACACTTTCATGGCATCTTCCTTGGACGTTCCTTTCAGCTCACTCCAGGCATCCACTTGGCCTTGCCTTTGAGGTCCAACATCCAAGGCCGTTCTGTCTTTATGTCACCCACAGTTGCTTGTTTGTAGCGGTTGTAGATGAACAGCATCTCATCACCTGCTGGCTTGGTCTTGAGTTGCTTAACATCCTCAGCAGCTTTGTCAAACTCAGCCTGAGACATGCCTGTGGGTGCAAGGACTGCAGGAAGCTGGCGGAGGTGGTGAGGAGCTGGGAGAAGTCCCCTTACTGTCTCTTAATGTCCAGAGGATCAATAGAGGAGGGGAGCAGAGTTTGCTACCTCAAAATATGCCTCTTTGGGATATTGAGTATTTTATTTACGCTGGTTAATTTTAAGAAACAGAAGACAAGGGAGAACCTCTGAAAAACAAGTAGAAGTTACTCTTTGTAAAAGGGCATTTACATTTGTAAGGGTGTTTCCCTCACTATACCATGAAGAGAAGGATATCTCTAGAAATGATCAATGGAGAAGGTGTGGACAATAATATTATGCTTGTTTACTGTGCTTTTCCTGGTAACCTTCCATAACTGACTCCCCACTGCCACCATCTTTTTTTTTTTTTTTTTGTCTTCAGCTGAAGATAAAGGTGAAGGCTTTTGTCATCTTGGCAAGTTCTTCAGTGTTCCTGCATCTCTCCCTTTTGTGCAGGAAGTATGTTATTAAACTTTAGTTTGTTTTTCCCCTGCTAATCTGTTTCATGTTAATTTAACTATTAGACCAACCAGAAGAACCTAGAAGAGTTGGTGGTGAAATGGCACCAGGTATTTGACCAGTGGAGTCAGACCTTCAGTACTTGAGTTCTGGCTAAGAATTCAGAGCCAAGACTCAAACTATAAGAGCAAGTGTATTAGAAAGCTACAGAGATAGAGGAAGTGAGCTGTAGAAGAAATGGGCTCAGGAAACAAGTTACAAAGACAAAAGAAGTGTCCTTGGAGAGAGAAAGGTAACTCATCTTGGGGGTTAAGGCACCGGCCTGCTCCTGGAGGGAGAGCAGCACTGGGTCCTCTGTCTTAAGGGTATTTATCTGGAGGTCTCAGGAGAGGACCCCAATAGCATATTCATCATTTTTCCAGGTATGTCCTTTCAGGGTGTGGTCTCTACTGTTTGGTCAGTGCCAGGGCTGGGGGTCATTAGTCATGCAAGTGGTCCTGATGTCAGTTATGGTATTGCTTGTCTGGTTTTGCAGCTTTTCTGAGCCTGGAACTGAACACAACTGAGGCCTAGATGTTATCTGTGGGGTTAAATGCTTAAAGGAGTGGTCATGCAAGGGCCTGCCTGGGAGTTGCACGAAGCCACTCTTCAGCGCTTTGTTCCTCCTCCAAGGGGGTCTACCACATGACTATCGACATGCCAGGGGAGGAAAGGTCAGGGGAGGATCCAACCCGCATGACCATCAATATGCCACGGGAGGAAAGGTTACACAGGGCAAGATCCTTGTTTTCCCAGTTTTGCCTGTTGCTAGTGACCTGGGGCTTTTTGCCCTGGTGACCTTCTGTACCTGGCCTATCAGTCCTACTCTGCTCCCCTCTGGGAAGAGGAAAAATTTTTCTCCCTGACAATAGTGATGATCCCTCTTTCACCTCTGATATTAGTAATTTATGTTTTCTGTTTCTTGGTTAGCCTAGTTAGAGGTTTATCGATATTATTGATCTTTTCAAAGAGCCAGCTTTAGTTTCATGGTTTCTCTGTTGTTTTCCTGTTTTCAATTTCATGGTTTTCTCATCTAATATTTATTGTTTCTCTTAGTCTGCTCAATTTAGGCTTATATTGGTCTCTTTCTCTAGTTTTCCTAAGGTGGAAACTTAGATTGTTGATTTTTTTTTTCATCTTTTATAATATTTGCACTTAATGCTATAAATTTCCCTCTAAGCACTATTTTTGATGCACTTCATGAATTTTGTAAGTTGTATTTTCATTTTCATGTCAAATAAGCATAGTTCAAAATATTTTTTAATTTCTTGAGACTTCTTTTTTGACAAATGCATTTTTTAGAACTGTTTGTTTAATCACTAAATATTTTGGGATTTTCCAGCTATCTTTCTGTTACTGATTTATTTCATACTATCCTTTTAAATATATGTACAGCATCCTGTTACATCTATCATTATTCATGTAAAATGCTTTTTAGACACTTTTGTTTTTATAAATAACTAGAGGCCTGGGGCACGAAATTCGTGCACAGAAGGGAGGGGGATTGGGAGGGGGAAGGGATATCCCTCAGCCCGGCCTGCACCCTCTTGCAATCCAGGACCCCTCAGGGGATGTCTGACTGCCAGTAAGACATCCCTCTTGCAGACATCCCTCTCACAATCCGGGACCACTGGCTCCTAACTGCTCACCTGCCTGCCTGCCTGATTACCCCTAACCACTCTGCCTGCCTGCCTGATCACCCCTAACTGCTCTGCCTGCCTGCCTGATCACCCCTAACCACCTCTGCCTTGGCCCCCACCGCTGCAGCTTCATCCGGAAGGACATCTGAATGACATCTGGAAGGTCGTTTGGCTGTCTGGTCTAATTAGCATATTATGCTTTTATTATTATAGATGGTATTGTTATCGAACAGAAAAAGTGCAGCCACCTGGCACTAGCAGAGCCAAACACTAAACACCAAGAATTGCTGTGGGGAAATATTTGCTAACTTATTATAAGTGGCAACACCCCAGAGAATGGGGAGCTAATGCTTAAAACCCTAAACACTCCAATGGCATGTAGGTTACAGACTATACAGGCCAAATCACAAGACACTGTGGGTTAGGGGTTCGAAACTGTGCAGACAGCTCTGGCATCCCTCTGCCCAGTTTTATGGGAAAGTAGCCAGGGAGTCATTCCACCTTAGGACACAGGAGCTGAAACATAACTTAGGTCAAGATATTATCTTTAGCTTAACAGAAACCCATACCTTGTGACCTTTAGTGAAGGTGTGGCCATTGTTTTTGTTGCCTCAGGGGGTTAATGACTAGTAAGGGGAGAACTAAGGTTTATGGGGCAGGCTGTGAAGAAACTGAATAGAATGCTGGGGCTACACAGTCAACAGAAATCATACGCTAAATCAGGGCTCTCGGTTTCACTATAAAGAATACCCTCTACATAAGACTTTGCAACTGCAATGAAATATGTGTTATACTGAGGCGAGTTTATGATGCTGTGATAGCAGGTAGCAAGGACAGCTAATCTGGCCTAGAGAGCTCAAGAAAGCCTTCCTCTAAGGAAGCTATTAAGCTGAGACTAAAGCAGTTGGCATGGGCAAGCTAAGTAGAGAATATTAGGCAAAGGAAGGCCTGGACAAGGAAGATAGGGAAAAGGCTGGCGTTGCAGAGGAAGAGTAAGTGTGGAGAATGACTTGTTTCATTTTGGGGGATGGGGGAGTTCATTTTGGCTGGCACAAAATGTTTGTGGGTATAGGGAGTGGCACGAAAATGAGGCTAGAAAAGTAAGCTAAAATGAGGCTAGCTAGCAAGCTATATTTAAGAGTTTGAACTTTATCTTAAAAGTAATGGGGAACGCCCTGGCCAAGTGGCGTAGTTGGTAGGAGTGCTGTCCCTTGCTCTGAAGAGCCACGGGTTCCATTCTTGGTCCCGGCACATACCCAGGTTGCAGGTTTGATCCCATTTTGGGGCACATACAGGAGGCAACCAATCGATGTTTCTCTCTCACATGAATGTTTCTCTCTCCCTCTCTCTGATCAATGAAAAACATATCCTTGGATAAGGATTTTAAAAAACACAATTTTACCTCAAAGAGTCTTATTTGCAAAGCTTTGCAATTCACGGTGTGATTTAATGTATATTAATTGCCCTCAGGAAACTCCTAGATCAAAATATAAATGAGCTACAACAAAAAGTGAAAATCTTACTAGATAAAGAGAATATACTAGAAATGACCAGTTCTCAGCAACAACACAGAATTCAGCAACAAGAGGCCCAACTTAAACAACTGGAAAATGAAAAAAGAAAATCTGATGAGGTAAGAAAGTAAATAGACATGCTTCTCAGTTTTCCAGTTCCCAAAGAGCAGCGGTTTTCAGTCGGTGTGCCACAAAACATTTTTAAACATTCAGTACCTCACTGTTTAGTGAGGGGCATTGACTTCTTTTCCGTTAGATTGTCAAATAAAAAAATGACTACAGCCAACATAACAGTAGCCATCTGGTATAAACGAATCAAAATTACACTTTTTTTGTGTGTCAGATCAGCAAAAACGATAATATATTTTGTTGTGCCACAGAATTTTAGTAACTAGTGTATATGTTCCATGAGATGAAAAAGGTTGCAGATCGCTCCCATCAATCAATAGCTAATACTTATGGAGCGCCTAGCACTTTACCCATTCGTTTAGTCAGGGTTCAGCCAGGAAAGCAGAATTTACTGTAGGTATTTTGAGCAAGAAGGGATTTAACACAAGTAGTAACATGCCTAGAAAACTGTTGGGAGGGAGAGTTAGGGATGAGTAGAAGATCAGGAAGAACTGCTATGGCTAGGCCACCCCAAACTCCTTGTACTTCTCAATTCTGCTATAACATTCTTTATACCAATCAGGTGGTCTCCCAAAGTACTTCAAGGACAGGCAACTATAAACTATAACCTAATCGACCCTTACGTCATGGATATCTAATACTAGTGACAAGATTATACTGCCTTTACATCTAACCTGGTCAGATAACCAATCTTTGAGCTTCCTATATTTGAGGAGCCATTTCTAGAACCAGATACTTTATTAGTCAGGGTTAGCTCAGGAAAACAGCTTTCACTTTATAGACTTCGAGCTGGAAGACTTTTTTTTTCCTTCTTTTGTTAATCCTCACCTGAGGATATTTTTCCATTGATTCTTTAGGACGAGTGGGAGAGGGAAAGTCAGAGGGAAACATCAACGTGAGAGAAACACATTGATTGGTTGCCTCCTGCACGAGACCCAACCAGGGCCCCGACCAGGGAGGAGCCTTCAACCAAGGTGCCCTTGACCCGAGACTCTATCCACTGAGCCAAACCGGCTAGGGTGAGCTGGAAGACTTTTTATATAGGTAATTAGATGCTTGCAAAACTATTGGAAAGGCTGGTGGAGCAAAAGTCAAGGCAAAGAGCTGCAGAAAATCTGAAATAGCAGAAATCATAGGAAGCTACTACAGTGTCAGAAGCTGGAGCCACTGTAAGCTTTTTTCGGCAGAAAGGCTTTGTCAATTTACATTCCATCAACATCATTCCTTTATTCGGTACGGAATATTCTCATTTTAAAAAATGTTTTTCACCCCTAGCTGATTTGGCTCAATGGATAGAACATCAGCCTGCAGACTGAAAGGTCCCAGGTTCCATTCTGGTCAAGGGCACACACCAGGGTTGCAGGCTCGATCCCCAGTAGGGGGCATGCAGGAGGCAGCCAATCAATGATTCTCTCTCATCATGGATGTTTTGATCTCTCTCCCTCTCCCTTACTCTCTGAAATCAATGTTTTTCAGTATCTCAAGAGCTACCAGGAATTGTCAGAGAAGGTGTCTGGGTTGCAGCAAGAAAAGGAAGCTCTATATAAAGAATATGGGAAATTTTTGAAGCAGCTTGATGTCCATGTGAGGTAAACAAAAACAAGTTCTCTCTGGGAGGGAAATGTTTGCTTTGCCTCCAATACACCCTTCTCACTTGCCTTCAGGCTTTTTTTCCTCACTGTTTTCCTCAACCTGGACCACCCTCTCCCCATTTCAACTCTTCATTTCAAATCATACTTCTTAGACCTTCTCTAAGAAGCCTTTCTTGACACCACCAGCCTGGGCTGGGAGAAGTGTTCATTCTCTGTCTTCCTATATCGCTTAGTATATGCCTCTCTGTACTTATTTAAGAATTTGCCATGTTGTTTTGAAATAATGTGACTTATTGCCTGTCTTCCTCACCATACTGTTGACTTTTCAGGGGCATGGGCCACAGTCTCACTCATCTTTTTATCCATAGTTCCTGGTACATAGTAGGTGCTCAATAAAAATGAGTGTTCCTGGAATTCCTGCTCTTTCATTCCATTTCCTGGTCATTCCACCAGATTCCTCCCACTCTCCTCTGCCCTGGAATGTAGTACCGTAGTTCGAGTATGGACTCTCGAGCCATACTGCCTGTTACAAATCTTCGTTCTACTAGAAAGTAGCCGTGTGACCTTGGGTGAGTTATGTAAACTCCCTGTGTCTGAGGGCTCTCATCTGTAAAATGGGCAAAATAACAGTTATCTCGTAAAGTCAGTGTAAGAATTAAATGAATAAACATGCAAAGTACTTACTTAGAACAGTATCTAGCACACAACCATTATTATATCTATTCATTTGTTGTGTTTTCTCTATGACCAACCTCTCTGCTCTCATCTCTTAGTCTTGTTTTATTCCTTTATAGATTGAAGTTTCTTATTCTTTTATGTTCTTACCTACTATGTTGATGATGCTAATGATAATAACTTAAAAACTATTATTTACTGCTGTCTAGCAGAGAGTATTTTTCAGGTCAATAGTATTCATTATCTTGCTTTGATCATCATATTACTGAGAAATGTAGAAATCATGGTTAAGGGAGTATATGTTGTTCAGTTCATGCTGCTTACAAATCTTAGACGAGAACTCAGTCCTCTGATAACCTATGCAGTGCTCTTACTACATTAGAGGAGGTAAGAGAATGAAGTGATGGATCTATATGTAAAATGCCACAATGCTTGTCAGAGGAATTGACATTTAATATATAATGCTGATACATGTCAGGTTAATATCAAACTCCAAAAGTAAAATTACATTTGGTTTTTAGGAGTTACATTTTCTTTAAAAATATATTTTTATTGATTTCAGAGAGGAAGGGAGAATGAGAGAGAGATAGAAACATCAATGATGAGAGAGAATCATTGATCAGTTGCCTCCTGCATGCCCCACACTAGGGATTGAGCCCACAACCCAGGCATATGGCCTGACAAGGAATTGAACTGTGACCTCCTGGTTCATAGGTTGACGCTCAACCACTGAGCCATGCCGGCCAGGCAACAATGCAAATTTTTGGAAAACACACACACCTAGAATCCATCCCATGTTCACTCCTTGATTTTATTATCATAGGAAGAAAAATGGTTATATTCTCTTTCTCTTAATATCATCTCATAAGCATTGTTCACTGTGGCTACAGTCTTGCAGTTTGCTTATTTTTTAAAGTATAATATTTCATCAAGTTGATATGTCCTTGCACTAACAGTGCCAGTTAAATTGGGTTTGATTGCTGAAGAAGACTAACAGAACCCCAGCGACAGAGCTTACAAAGGTACAGCTCTGCAGAAGGCACAATGTGGCAACAGAATGGAGTCAGGATACGCACCACACCCATGGCTCTCTCACAGCAGGCAGTCTGAGCAGTTAGGCAGGAGCCCCAGGGGTCTTCCCTCTGTAAGGGCCCTGCCCGGAAGCAACTCCTCTCGTGGGTCACAAACCACAGACATGCACTGAACACCTCACAACCAGGGATCCCAAAATGGAATCTCAACTAAGATTTTTTTTAAATGCTCTGCTGGTCATGTGAGTATATCTCTGCTATGTAACCAGCCTCAAGAGCAGAGCCTTCCCGGGTTCGCCCTGAGACTGGTGAAAATCATCAGTCTCATTGTTACCAATAAACAGTGCTGACAAGGTGGTGCAAACTGCCATGAAACTCCTTGGACCTACGGTTTCAAAGCAACACACTTGTAATCAGTATTTTCATTCCTTGACCAGTGGTCAGTGCCAAGAACTTTAGCAAAACAGCTCAGAGCAATTCTAGGTCTGCTGGAGTCAACTCTCACAACACGGTCCTAATTTAGTGAAAATTACTCACAGGCCTGTGATCGATGTTTTTATTAGAAATAACACTGAAAAGCGTTTTTTCATTTAAAATTATTTTTATAGCCCGACCGATGTGGCTCAGCGGTTGAGCATTGACCCAGGAACTCAGAGGTCACTGGTTCAATTCCCAGTCAGGGCACAGGCCCAGGTTGTGGGCTCCATCCCCAGTGCGGGGCACGCAGGAGGCAGCATATAGATGATATTCCTTTCTCATCGATGTTTCTCTCTCTCTATCCCTCTCTTTTCCTCTCTCTCTAAAAAAATCAATAAAAACATATTTTTTAAAATTAATTTTTGTAGAATATATTCCCAGAAATGGAATTACTGGTCAAAAAGCTGTAATAACAGCTTGACAAACATTCAGAAGCATCCTACCAAAATTTTGCCATCATTATATAAGAGAAGCAATTTTACCAATCCTCATTAGTATTGGGTGCTACCATTGATGAAATTTTTGCAATATTCTTTTTTTAAATTGAGGTATAACTTACTTATAATAAATGCATAGATTTCAAATGTACAATTTGATGAATTTCCACAAATGTATACACCGACATAACCACTACTTCAGTCAAGATTCAGAACATTTCCATTACCCCTTGAAGTTCTCTCCGACTTTTTTGCAGTCGATCTGTATCTCTTGCTCCCTCACCCACTCACAGGCATTCACTCTTCCAGTTTCTGTCTCTCCTAAAACATCTAGGAGGAATCATACTGCATGGAATCTTTTGTGTCTGAACTTCTTTTGCTTAACATGTGCTATGAATTTTAATGCTTACATGGTCATAAATTACTTCATTATTATTTTATTTTGAGTTTCCTTAATGGGCAGTGAGGCTGAATATTTTTCCATGTTATTTGTCCAGTGGATCCTAACCCTAGCTGCATATGCCTGGGCCCAACATAGATTAATGAAAGCATTATCTTCAGATAAGGCTTGGGGATTAATATTCTGCTAAAAGCTTCCCCGTGTGATGCTGATGTACATGCAGGCTGGAAACTACAGCTTTGGGAATGAAAATGGAAGGATCTGTCAAAACTCTAGGTTCAAAAAGTACAAAAACAAAAAAAAATTCCCATCAACAACAACAACAAAAACCCTCTAGGTTCATTTCTGTTTTCATTCCCCTGGTCCCCCAGTCCTGACCTTTACAGACAATGCTCATTTTTTCCATGTTTTCCCAACCACTCTTCCAGAGAAACAAATTCCTTGCTTCTTTGAGGTAAAAATAATAGAAAGACCATCTGGTTTTACTTAAACATGAGCTAAAAGCTGTCCCTAAATTTTAGAGCATCAGTATTGTGCTGCCTCAAGTGCTAGTAGTTAACAAAGCACATTTCCAACAGGCAAGTTGGCCAACAGAACTTCTGACCAAACCCAGAGGTGTGCCAAACATCGAGCCAGCAACGGCAAGGGAAGGGCTAAGCCCTCACTTGAACTGCATCAGCATACTCTTCAGACCATGCATAACACTACAGGAGGAAACCTGAACACCCAGCAATAGGAGCTAGTTAGGACTAGTATAATACATTCATGGAACATATTATAACTGTAAGAGATGGTGGCTTTGAAGACTAGATAGCATGGGAAAATAATTATGATATAATCAATGACAAGAGCATAAGATAAAAATTTCAATGTAGACTATGTTTAAACAAAAGATGCTTACAAAAAGACTAACAGGAAATACAACAGTCTTATAATACTGATCATATTGGAAGTTGGATTTCCAAATTTTCTATAATGTAGCATGTATCAAATTTTCCTTTCTTTAAAAAAATGTATTTTTATTGATTTCAGAGAGGAAGAGAGCCATAGAAACATCAGTGATGAGAGAGAATCATTGATCGGCTGCCTCCTGCATCCCCCTACTGGGAATCAAGCCCACAACCCAGGCATGTGCCCTGACCAGGAATCGAACCGTGACCTTCTGGTTCATGGGTTGACGCTCAACCACTGAACCACACTGGCCAGGCAAAATTTTCTTTTTAAGGCTGAATAATATTCCATTATATGTACACACCATATCTTGTTTATCTATTCATCAGTTGGTGGAAATGTGGGTTGTTTCCACCTATTGGCTTTTGTGAATAGTGTTACTATGAACATTCATATACACGTTTTTATCCACATGTTTTCTTTTTTAAAAAATATGTTTTTATTTATTGAGAGAGAGAGAGAGAGAGAGAGAGAGAGAGAGAGAGAAACATTGATGAGAAAGAAGAACATCAATACTCTGCCTTCTGTGCGTCCCCTACTGGGGATTGAGCCCACAACCTGGGCATGAGCCCCGACTGGGAATTGAACCAGTGACCTCTTAGTGCATGTGAAGATGCTCAACCAACTGAGCCACACCAGCTGGGCCATATGTTTTCATTTTCTTAGACTTTCTCTAGGAGTGGAACTGCTGGGTCATATGGCTCTATATTTACTCATTTAAGGAACTGCCAGGCTTTGTCCAAAGAGGCTGTACCATTTGATATTCCTAATATCAGTGTATGAGAGTTCCAATTTTTCCACATCCTTGTCAGCACTTGTTATTATCTTTCTTTTTTTATCTTACCCATCCTAGTGGCTGTGAAGTTATATTTCATTGTAGTTTTCATTTGCATTTCCTTAATAGCTAATAATGTTGAACATTTTTTCCTGTGCTTATTGGCGGTAAGATTTATGTCAGAATCAGAATAAAAGTCTTGAGCAGAGCAGAGACCTATATAGAATTTGCATTTAAAAGTCCAGACTCAAGGTAAGGACTGAGAGCAGACCTAGTTATCTGGAAAATAGACAGTATTGAAGTGGGTTATATTACTGTACAAGGGCATAGCTAAGAACTAGAAAATTTAAAATTGATGACGGAATCAGTGGAGCAGGGATCAGAAGTCAAGGAGTTTCCAAAATTAAACTTGTAAGCATAGCTTACACTCATCAGCTCAAGACCAAGATAAGCCAGAGACTTGAGTCCATGGTGATGAATAAAAGTTGGTGTTCTCTAGGTCCATTCCCCTACTTGAGGGCAAAAAGTACTGCAGAGCTGAGGCAGGACAAGTATCCCTGTCTGGTTCCAGGCCCTGACAAAGCAAGAAGAGGAAACCCAAGAGAGGTGCATATTGAGGAGGCAAAATAAAATTTCACTGTGTTCAAGTGTGCCTGTTTTCAAATTTATTTTTATAGAAACTATAATAAAAAATATTATCATCACAAAACCAAGCTTCATAGAGTCAAGAGTCGTTTCGTTCACGAAGTAGAGCTTCGAGATGAGAGAATTAAACTACTTGAAAATGACATTGGAATACTGCGGCAAAAATTAGAAAAGGTGAGAGAGAAAAAGGTGACGAGCTCACTGATGGTGCTGGTGGTCAGTCATGGAAAACCCCCTCATTTAAAAAAATTTATTTGTGGCCTCTTCATAGCCCATGTTTTCATGTCTTTTCTTGCACCTTCTTTCAATAACTGTTTAAGCTCTGCCAAAAAGGAATTTAAGACTCATAGTGATGTTCAAACTGGACACTGAAAATAGTCTGCACTGTCTGCTTATAATTGTGTCTTGCCTTCAAGTGAAAATATATTTTCTTAAACACCTGTTAGCAAAGAGTGCCGAAACACCTTCAGTAACTCATTCCTTCCTAATTTCTATAAGCCCTCATTTGCCTCAAACTCCTGTTAGTTTTAAATGGCTGTGAAACTAGGTCATCCCTATTCCTTTCTCAACCCTTAATTAGTGCCCACAAGCTTATTTCTAAATACCTATGGTTTTCTTATGTTTGCCTTATTGCCATTATGACTTGCTGGTGTGTGGGTAGGGAGGACATGGGGCAGGTGGATAGAATCCAAGGCAGAATGGTCTTGAGATCATTAAACTACATAAATTCAAAATGGAGAGCAATGGACTCTGCCAGTAATGTTTTCCCTTCATTTTCCTCATCTGTGAAGTGGGGGAAATATATCCCTCCCTCACCAGGATTAAAATATGAAATGCCTAAAGTGGTACCTGGCACATACAAATTTTGTAGCCTTCTTTTTGGTGTAAAATCTCTTGGGCTCATGTTAACCAGTGGGTGCACAGTTCGCAAGAGAACTTATTACTAGAATTGGAAATCACCCAGAGAAGACCCACAGTGGTACAAACCTGGTGGTCCAGAGTTTACTTATTTTAGGGCCCATGGACCAGAGCCCTGAGCATTAAAAAGCTGGGCTCACTTTCTAAGCACCGAATGTCCAGAAAATAATGTCACCTTTTTGGGCTTAATTTTTCAGCCTTCTCTATATACAGTGAACCAGTTGAGTCCTCTGACTGTTGTGACCATCCAAACCAGATGTCCCCAAATATTTTACCCTATTATTGGAGCAAGTGTCCTGATTTTTTTGGTTCAAAGAAGTATGGTATTTCCAAAGGACAGGGTGTCAATAGCCTGCCCCACTCAATTTCCTCACTAATCCAGTTGTGGCTGCATAGAGTATTATTTTGGGATGGCTCCTTCTATTCTCAATCCTAACCATAAATGTATTATTTAAATAATATCAGGGGAGACTACTGTTAGACATTGAAGGGTTCTGGATGAAAGACTAAAATCTGGTTTTGTTTCAGAACCTAATATAATCTCCTTCTTTATAACTCTCTGATGGACAGTTTTTTCCTTTTCTTTCTTTTTTTTTTGAGATATAATTGACATATAACATTATATTCGTTTCAGGTATACAACATAATGATTCTGTATTTGTATATATTACAAAATGATCCCCACAATAAGTCTAGCTACCATCCAGCACCATACATCATTATGCATTTTTTGTGATAAGAACTTTTTAAAATGTACTCTTAGCAACTTTGAAATATAAAATGTAATATTGTTGACTATAGTCACCATGCCAGACATTGCATCTCCATGGCTTATTTATTTATAACTGGAACTTTGTGCCTTTTGACTCCCTTCACCCATTTTGCCCACTTCCCCTCTTGTCTCTGGCAACCACCAATTTGTTCTCTGTATCTATGAGTCTGTCTGTTTGTTTTTTTATTTAAGATTCCACATATACGGACAGTCTTTTCTGAATGTTCTATATTAGTGTATTATTTTAAAGAAAGAAAGAAACCCCACTTAACTCTGTGATTCACCCCTCTGCCAGAGCTCATTCTTCTCCCACCCCCACTTCCTCCACCCTTGGCAGGTGAGGAACACACATGAAAAGGTGAAAGCTCTTGCCTGCTACTATTTTGTTGTTGTTAATCCTCACCAAGGATATTTTTCCATTGATTTTTAGAGAGAGTGGAAGGGAGGGGGAGAGACACAGAGAGAGAAACATTGATGTGTCATCAATTGGTTGCCTCTTGCACGCACCCTGGCCACGGCCGGGATGGAGCCTGCAACCGACCGAGGTATGTGCCTAACCGGAATTGAACCTGGGCTGACACTCTATCCACTGAGCCAAACTGGCGAGGGCCTTGCTACTATTGACAGTAACTGGTGAAGTGAGAAGGGAACTTTTACACTTTTGAGCTGCTAAAGTCTTCAACAACAGATATTTACTAATATCTACTGACTCACTATAAGAATGTTAGTGCTTTTTTCACAAAAAATACTCCTTTTTCGTTTTAACTACTTCACTGCTATTGTTTTCAGGGGAAATCATTGGTAGAAAATGAAGCATGGTGCCCAGCTAGAGATCATTTCAGCATCCTCACTGCAGGAATCCTATTAGTGCCTGGCTCACATGCTTGACTTGCCAACCCAACTGAGATCCTGATACTGGTTGCCAAGTCAGGTGGCTGAATTCCCATCTTCCTCTCTTTGCCTTAAAAATACTATAACTACAAAGCAAGAGGAAATCCAATATGGGGAAATTTTTTTTTCAATCTGGAGCTTCAAAGAATTCAATTGTATTTGTCTGTGATTTGATATTAATGTAGTTAGAATATAGTTGAGATCTTTGGGACCTTATTAGAAGTTGAGTGCTCAGATAATCCCAAAGAATGAGTAAATATCCAAACAAAATACATGACATAAGTACCCAAAATATATGGAACAATCTAGCTGACAATGTCAGCAAAAAGGTGAAAACAGCCTAGACCACAAGAGAGAAAAAGTAAATAAGGGAAATTTGCTATCGGAGTTATAACCAGGCTGATATTCTTAAACTGATCATTTTTCCTCCTGGGTAATGAGGGGACTTTTGCTTTTACTCATAGGAGAAGGCATTCCAGGACCAGGTCACTGCCCAAAATGATAACCTGCTCCTAGAAAATAGGAAGCTTCTGGAGCAGCTCATGGAGCAAGAAAAATTGATCCATGACAACAAAGGCACGATAGCGTCTGTTCAGCACAGGTGGGTGTGGTCCTGCCACAGTTGCCAGTGAATCCAAAGGAGATGTTTCTCCCTCAACAGAGAGATGCTTCCTGAGACTGTCCTTTGAGCTTATGTCCTATCTCATCACTGTTGCTCTGCTGTCTGCTGTTTTCAGCAGTTCATACAATGGGCAGAAGTTGTGAAACCACAGAGAAAAATATGATGGAGAAGGTGGGCTGGCCATTCAGGTAGGCTCATTCATGATGGCATTGCCTCCTTGAGGACCCACTATGCTCATTCTGGCTTATCACTTTGTGTGTGTTGACACTCATTTTTATCATTTGATACCTATGGAATCAAGGTAGACCAAGAGAGAAACGGGCTCACACTAGTAACATAAATTCATGAAACTCACAGGCTACCAATGTATTAATTTGTGAGGAGACTATTCTCAGCAGATAAGAATTCACAGATCAGCTAGCTCAAACATTCTCTCCTCTATAGGAAACTTTAATTACCATCAAAAGTTTCCTCAGAGCACAGAGTCAGAGCAAAGAGTGTGGGTTGATCTTAACAGACAGTATCACCAATAATACCTATAATAATTAACACTTTGAGCATTTGCTATATGCTAGGCACTGTTTTAAGCTATCTCTAAATATATTTATTTTGTCTTCATACCAATCCCAGGAGGGAGACACTATTATAACCTATTTTATGGGTGAGAAGCTGAGGTCCAAATTGGTTAGGGTACTCACCCAGTTTAGTCAGTGTCATGGCAGCATGATACCAGAACTCACGGCACTGAAGCCTGAGGAGAAATCTGCCAAGCAAACTAGAACTTTCCTTTCCACTGATTATGGATACATGCTGCTCCAGGCAGGCATGGAGAAGTTCTGATTATCTTTTACTATCTATTTACCCCCTTTTATATATTCCACATAATTTATTGCCCTTCTCAAACTATGCCATTGCTTCTGACCGTCTCAACACAATTGACTCTTTAAAATGCAACTCAGCTCACTGAAGTTCCTCTTGCTATGTCTCCCTATTAATAATGTCCGTGTCTTGCCCTCCTGAAGACACACTTGGTCACCTGGACTGGACTTATGTTTTCCTTAGAGCAGTGGTTCTCAAACTTCCTAATGCCGCGACCCTTTAATACAGTTCCTTATGTTGTGGTGACCCCCAACCATAAAATTATTTTCGTTGCTACTTCATAACTGTAATTTTGCTACTGTTATGAATCGTCATGTAAATATCTGATACGCAGGATGTATTTTCATTGTTACAAATTGAACATAATTAAAGCATAGTGATTAATCACAAAAACAATATGTAATTATATATGTGTTTTCCGATGGTCTTAGGCGACCCCTGTGAAAGGGTCGTTCGACCCCCAAAGGGATTGCGACCCACAGGTTGAGAACCGCTGCCTTAGAGTAAGCTTCTCTACAGGAGTTTTCGTCATTTTACAGATGAGGAAACTGAGACTCATATTTAGTAATTTGCCCTGGTTGCACAGCTAGTAAGTGGCAAAACTCAAACATAAACCTCTGATTAAAACGATTGCACTCTCATGTGTCCTGTATAAACTGCAGCCCTGCAGAGTGGGCCTGGCAAAGCAGTGAGGACCTCGGGCTTTACAAGTTTGAAAGTTCTGGGTTGGCATCCCAGCTCTATGACTTTCTAGTTTTAATCTTCTTACACAAATTACTGTCCCCTCTCTGAGCTCAGTTTCATCACCTGTAAAATAGGCTTCATAACAATATCTTGTGAGGTTGTTGTGATTATATGAGATAATTAGAGGCCCAGTGCACAAATTTGTGCACCAGTGGGGTCCCTCGGCCTGGTCTGCAGAATCGGGCTGAAACTGGCTCTCCAACATCCCCCGAGGGGTCCCGGATTGCGAGAGGGCGCAGGCCAGGCCGAGGGACCCCAGAGGTGCACATTGGGGCCGGGAAGTGACACGGGAGGGTTCCAGTGAGTGTCCGGCCGGTCTTGCTCATTCCTGATCGGCTGGACCCCAGCAGCAAGCTAACCTACCAGTCGGAGCATCTGCCCCCTGGTAGTCAGTGCACGTCATAGCGAGCAGTTGAGCTGCCTTAGCATATCATTAGCATATTATGCTTTGATTGGTTGAATGGATGACTGGCCGACCAGACACTTAGCATATTAGGCTTTTATTATATAGGATACATGAAAAGTTTGGAGTGCTTTCTATGTGGATAGGTTCCAGTGCCTAAGTACATGGTAAGTGCTCAGTAAATGGTTGCTGCTGCTGCTACTAATGTATGGGATGACTGCATGAGATCAAACCAGATTCAGGCTGTGTAGTTACTGTATCTGAAGGGATGCAGAGTCTCTTCTTTCAGTTCCACTCCTAAATGGGATCATATCCTTCCTGATGTGACTAGAACACAGGGCTAGAACTATGCCTTTCATTCTCTTGCACATAGTATGTCCCTGTAGGTATTGAATGACTATGTACAGGCCAGAAGCTTATTAATTTTCACTTGGTATGCTAAAGTTGGTTCTAAAATCTGAACAGTGGGCAAAGACCCAGAGCTAGTGGGAAGTGGGACATAGTTTTTAATAATAATGTAGAAATTTTTAGTCATGCCTCTGATTTATCCCATTCTTAGAGTACTTTTCCTGGATAAAGAAAATAAGCAATTACAGGAAAACAGTCTCCAGCTCACAGAGCAGGTTGGCCTCTTAGAACGCATTATAAGAAGCGTCCAGATTTGCAGAGGAGAGGTAAGATATGAGCTTCCTGGTGGATGTTTAATATGAAGTTTAGGTTGTTACGGTTGCTCTGTTCTCTCTTCCCTTCATCTTCTCTATATAGTTGTCGCCTGAACTTGGCTTCATGGTGGACTGTGGTAGAGAGGCTCATTGCCTGCACACCAGGGCAGCAGCCCCTGAGTCTGTTCTTGGCCAGCTTTGCTCTTTATTGGATCAGCTTTTACTAAACACTCTCCTTCTGTGTGGTCCCCGGGCAAGTTGTGCACACCTCATAACTCCTTCCTTAACATACTCTATTGTCATTGCCTTTTTACTTCTTCTCCAGCTCATCAACTCAGCGATGAGATCCTGGATCAAAGATTGTATCTTATCTGTAATTGTATCTATGCACAGGTGCTCCGTAAATATTTGAGAATGAATTAATGTTAAATGTCTTCACATGTATGCCTCATTCTCGACAACCCTGTTTGTCATGTAAAGTTCCAGTCCAATCCGAGAGAGGAGCAAATCTGAGGTTCAGAGAGGTAAAGTGAAGCTAGTCTGGTCTGGCAAGAAGTCAAACCTAAGGAAAACATCTGAGTCAGAAAAAAGCAATTATGTTACAAAAATCCAAGCAGACAGGTAGTATAGGTTCAGACAAGGTCCAGTGTCTGGTTGGTGAGCGAGTCAGCAAGAGGAATTTCAATGAGCTGAGTTGCATTTTAAATCCAGGACAGAGACTTGCTTGCTTTCTTCCCTGGCTTGTATCTTAGGTTATATGTTTCTTCCCAGGGTACTTATGATATTATTCCTAATCATGAAAACTTTAAGATCTATTCTCTTAACAACTTTCAAATATACAGTATTGTTAACTATAGTCATCATGTTGTACATTACATCCCAGAATTTATCTTGTAACTGCAAGTGTGTACCTTTTGACCATCTTTACCTAATTCCCCCACCCCCTACCTCTAGCAACCACAGAGCTTATCTCTGTTGCTGTGAGTTTGTCCATGAGATTTCACATACAAGTGAGATCATATGGTATTTGTTTTTCTCTGACTTATTCCACTTAGCATAATGTCCTTAAAGTCTACCCATGGTATCACAAATGGCAGGATTTCCTTCTTTTTTATGGCTGGATAGTATTCCACATTGTGTGTGTGCTTAACAATTTCTTTATTAATTCATCCACAATGGATACTTGGTGGCTTCCATGTCTTGGCTATTGTAAATAATGCTGCACTTAACATGGAGTGCAGATGTGTCTTCAGGGTAGTGATTTTGATTCCTTTGGATAAATACCCAGAGTGGAATTGCTGGGTCATATAGTTCTATTTTTAATTTTTTAAAATATTTTTTTATTGATTTTAGAGAGGAAGGGAGAGGGAGAGATAGAAACATTGGTGAGAGAAAATCATTGATAGGCTGCCTTCTGCACACCTCACACTGGGGATCAAGCCCATAACATGGGCAGTGCCCTTGACCGGAATCGAACTTGGGACCCTTCAGTCTGCAGGCTGATGCTCTATCCACTGAGCCAAACAAGCTAGGGCTATTTTTAATTTTTTGAGGAACCTCCAAACTGTTTTCCATAGTAGCTACCCCAGTTTATATTCCTACAAATAGTGCACGAGGGTTCCTTTTTCTCCACATCCTCATCAGCATTTACCACCTCTTGTCTAACAGGTGTGAGGCGAGGAGATTACATTTTTAACAAAAAAATCTATAATAATAAAAGCATAGTATGCTAATTAGACCAGACATCCTTCCGGACGACCTTCTGAATGAAGCCAGGGCTGCAGCCACAGATTGAGGCAGCTGCCGCAGCTGCAAGGGAGGGAGGGGTAGAAAGAAGGAGGGGTCCAGGCAGCCGCTGTGGCTGGGAAGGCCTACTCTTGTACGAATTTTGTGCATTGAGCCTCTAGTATATATACAAAGCATAGTTCTAGGATCATAGTGCCAATGGTTTATCATTACAAATTTTAAATTAATGCTTTCTTGTCTTTTAGGAAACAATACTGACTGGCATCTCTGAATATGACCCATTGAATAAAATCTTGCCCCTACCAAACTCCAGGTTAGTAAAGTCAAGACAATCATCTGTATGACTGAGAGTCATGGCTGACTAACCAGTTGTGAGTTGCTGGCTTGAGAAAGCATCGCATTTAGGGGTAACTTCCTCTATATGGTATTTAAACCTTCCAGTTCCTTCTCTCCTCACCACCGCTTCACCCCCACACCTAATAGAATCCTGACTCACGGTAGAAGATAATCCATAAACATAAATTAAAGGTAATTTTATTTGGCTGTCTTTGTGTTTGGCAATTGTCAAAACTGAAATCCTATTGAAGCCTTATCCCTGTTACCCCAAAATGCTGTCAAGAGACCCCATGCACCTAAAGTTCTCATAGGTGGCCTTTCTTAGTTTTTCTGTAACAGGTTTGGTAGAGTCAGTTGGAAGTCTTTAAGAAACTAAAGAACACAAGTCAGAAGAAGCAGTGGCAAACCCCAAGTCCCTCGAGTCTTTTCTGTTCACAGAATTCTGAAGGTGGATACATACATACACTGTGGCTTCTCTGAAAAAAGATATATCACATCTATGAACAAGTCCAAAAGTCAGAACTATAAAATCACTGATGTCTAAAACTAGACTAATCAAAGCTGCTCACTTAAAGCTTGGACATGAAGGTGGAACATGACATGGAGAAGTTATAATAGATTTCCTGCTGGACATCAACCAGGAATCTTCAAAATTGCTGATAAATTCATTAAACCAGTTCTAAATATGGATTTTTCAAGTTCATTTGATATTGATCAATATAGTGACTTAAGCTGGTGCTTTAATTAGGTTTCTATTCAGCAGAACACATACATGGCTAATTCAGCATTCTTTTCTATTTTCATGGGTATTTCCTTACTTTTTAAAGTTAAAAACAATGTAATCACATTAAAACAAGTATTTTAAAAAGAAGAAAAAAACCCTTTTATAATCCCACATTCTTAACACTACTATTTTCATTTTGGAGTTATTCCCTTCTGGTTCTTATTCATGTATCTTAATGGTTATTATATTATATTTTCATAGTCTTATTTTTAATTTAATATACCATAAAACATTCTCCCATATTTAAATACTTTACAATTATTCTTTCAATAGCCAGGATATTCTATCATGTTCATGGTCTGTAAATTTTCTTGTTATTTGACATCCAAGTTGTCATCTACTTTTTCACTATTTAAAGATTATGCTGCAGTGAAAGTCTTTGTGAAGTTAGCTCCTTTCTTCTCTTAAGTTAATCCAGAAAATAAATTTACAAGGTTGGCATGATTGGGTTAAAGGATATAAATGTTATATAGTTTTGGTACAACACTTAATCTTCATTGCTTTTTTTAAAAAAAGATTGTATCAATATACTGTTTCTACAGTCAACCTCTTTAAGCCTCAATTTTATTAATTTTTTTTATTGATTTCAGAGAGGAAGGGAGAGAGGGAGACAGAAACATCAATGATGAGAGAATCATTGACCAGCTGCCTCCTCCTGCACGCCCCCCCAACTGGGGACCAAGCCCACAACCCAAGCATGTGCTCTGACCGGTAATTGAACCAGTGACCTCCTGGTTCCAAAGTTGACGCTCAACCTTTGAGCCACACTGCCAGGCAAGCTTCAATTTCTTGATGCATAAAATGGAACAATAGTAGTTCCTATCTCATAGGGTTGTGAGGACCAAATGAAATGAAGTGTGTATTTTGCACTGAATAATTGCTTAATAAGTACTAGAGATCATTTATGTTTACTTGCAGTTTGAGTGTACTAGTTTTTCTATAGTCTCATCAACATTGGATATTCTCAATTAAAATTTTTATTCTAAAATACTTGGTATAGCCCAGCCAGTGTGGCTCAGAGGTTGAGCATTGACCTATGAACCAGTAGGTCATGGTTTGAATCCCGGTCAGGGCATATGCCCAGGTTTGGGGCTCGAATCCTTGTGTGGGGTGTGCAGGAGGCAGCTGATCAATAATTCTCTCTCATCACTGATTTTTTTTCTCTCTCCCTCTCCCTCCCTCTCTGAAATCAATAAAAATATATTAAAAATACTTAGTATAAAACTATACTGAAGGCCGAACCGGTTTGGCTCAGTGGATAGAGCGTCAGCCTGCGGACTCAAGGGTCCCAGGTTCGATTCCGGTCAAGGGCATGTGCCTTGGTTGCGGGCACATCCCCAGTGGGGGGCGTGCAGGAGGCAGCTGGTCGATGTTTCTCTCTCATCGATGTTTCTAACTCTCTATCCCTCTCTCTTCTTTTCTGTGGAAAATCAATAAAATATATTTTTAAAAAAACTATCCTGAAGGGTGATTTAAAGATTATACTGCTGTGAAAGTCTACTATTCAATAGTAGACACTAGGCACACCTGTGAAGACAGAAAAGGAGAGCCTCTGCTTTCATAGTTAATATGCTCTTAGGTTGGAAGGTGTGCTTGTGTGGCAGGGGGTGAGGTGGAGAAACTGACCATATAATTTTGGATGGTTAAGTGGCATGAAGAAAATAAATCACTGCTGTATTTGTATAAGTGACTGAAGACTACTTTAGATTGGATGCAACGTTCCCATCTAAGTGACATCTGAGTGAGACGTAAACTACAAGGCGCACTCCCCGCCCCCATTAGGATCTAGAAAAGTATTAAAGACAGTTAACAGCTAGTACCAGGTCCTTAAGAGAGGACAATAGTTCCCCTTACCCGAGGTGGATACATTCCAAAACCCCCAGTGGATGCCTGAAACCATGAATGGTACTGAACTCTGTATGGTACTGCAACCCAGGCATGTGCCCTTGACCAGAGTCGAACCTGGGACCCCCCCAGTCCACAGGCCAACGTCCTATCCACTGAGCCAATCCAGGCAGGGCTCATTTACTATTTTTAAGTTATGATTCACACTGTATATACTACCTGCCCATTAGTCACTTAATAGGTGTCTTGGTTATCAGATCAACTGTCAAACTGTAGTTGATAGCAAACAACTGAAAGGAGGAAGGTGAAAACTCAAGATAAGCGGGGGAATGACTGTATCCACCCCATGACTTTGAGGAACAGAAAGGCCAGAGTATAGCAACTGTGGACAAACAATACAAAATGAGGCCCAGTCGGTGGCAGCCAGATAATCTAATGTAGGCCTTCCTACGTGAGGAATTGGATTTTATTCTAAATACGGGAAGCCAGGAGTGATTTAGCAGACTTATTTTGAAAGCTCTAGCTACTCTGCTGAGAACGAATTGGAAGTGACAAAAATGGAAGCTGTGGCAGAACTGGGAACAAACATTCTAGTTCACTGCCTTCGAGGAAGGGGCGTGTTTGCTGAGCACACCTTGCTTGCCTGGCTGCTCTGAGTGCTGAGGCTGAACAGAGTTCCTGCCTTCCTGGGGCCGACAGAGAAGTGGGCAGGGGCAAGAAGCAGCACGTGTGATGGTGCCGATATCTCAGCGGCAAGGGCCAAGGACCCGGGAGACTGCCTCGTCCAACGCCCTAGCCTGAGCGAGAATAATCTGTAGCCATGTGTGTGGGATGCCCACCGACTTGGAGCAAAAAAAGGCCCAGGCATTCCTCCTCTTCCTTCCTCCTCCATTTGCACCCGTGTCCCCCTCTTCCCCCACCCCGTTCCTCATCCCCGGCTCCGGGGAGAGTCAAGTGAACAAGTCTCATGGTCAGGACCGAAAGAACCCGCCGCCACCGAAGCATCACCCAGTTTCCCAGAGGAAACCCGAGAGTCCTCCGCGGCGGGGGCGGGGCGGGGCTCCAGGGGGCGGGGCCCAGTCTCCAGCGGCTCTTCCCGCGCTTGCGCGGGATACCCAACCGGCGGAGCTGGGATGAGATTCGCCGGAAGCCCAAGCTTCTGCTTCCGGGTCAGAGCCATGGCGGTGGCAAATTCAAGCCCTGTCAACCCCGTGGTGTTCTTTGATGTCAGCATTGGCGGCCAGGTGAGGTCCAGGGAGCCACCAGCCCTTCGCCGAAAGGAAACTGCACCGGGCCAGGCAGGCAGAACCCACCCGCCTGGGGATAGCGGGCTCGGGAAGCCAGAAAGTGAATTTGTGCCAGAACCTACCGAATTGCGGGGCGTGGTGAGAGGAATAGGATGAGTCTTGCCCTTCCCAGCGCCCCGCGTGTGGTAGGGCTGGGAGGAACGAAAGGATAGGCTGAGGAGGCGGAGAGATCAGGTACCTGCGGGAGGGAGGGGTCGGCCCTTCGTGGTCCCTGCTCCGCGAGGCCTTCTGACCGTCTCCCGCCGGTTGCAGGAAGTTGGCCGAATGAAGATCGAGCTCTTTGCAGACGTTGTGCCTAAGACAGCCGAGAACTTTAGGTGAGGATGAACTCCAGCTCTGCCTGAGAAACCGAACCAGAACGCGGCCTGCGGAGTGGATCTGACTCCTCTGTGTTGACTGTCCCATGTCAGTTTATGTTGTTAATCTGTGTGGCCGGGGGGCTGCACGTCTGGCTGGCCGATGGGTGGGCTTGCTGGCGACCGTGTCGGTGCTCTCCCCCCGGAGGGGAGGGGCGCTCGCAGCTGTGATGTCATGGTGACCGAGCCCTTCACTCTTTTTCCCTTTCAGGCAGTTCTGCACTGGGGAATTCAGGTCAGTCTCAGACGTGGTTGCCTTATCTGTTTGCTCCTGAGGGGTGTCCTGGGGCTGCAGTGAGGGTATTGGGGAACCGAAGGCCTTGCATGATTGCTGGTGACTGACTGAAGGTAATCCCCCGCGGGTCTATCTTCAGTTCAGTTGCCTTCCTCTCTCTGGTCCCTGCCATCTTTAGGAGACTCCCTTTGGTTCACATGTGTGGCAAACTGGAAAGGCCCATGGGTACCTGACATCATTCCCAATCTTTCTTTTTGGTTATAGAAAAGATGGGGTTCCTATAGGATACAAAGGAAGCACTTTCCACAGGTAAGGCCCATGGCAAACATCCTGGGGGCTTTTAGAATTACTTCCTTGGGGGATTGGTCTCTAGAGGAAAATAAAACCGTAGGAAAGTTCTTAGATATTGAGAAGGAATGTTTTTGTGAGCTCAAGGATTGATTGATTTAAATTACAATGACCAAGTCAATGTTTCTCTTTCTCTTTTCTTTTTTTAAGTCAATGTTTTTCTGAACCTGAGTCTTAGCTCAGAATCTTTTGTTCTCTGTTTCAGAGTCATAAAGGATTTCATGATTCAGGGTGGAGATTTTGTTAATGTAAGTACTGTTCTTTCCTAACAAGGGCTTGTAAAGTTGTTTTGTGTTTTTGTTTGTTTGGTTAGTTGGTTATTGCTAGGTCTACTGTTTTTACTACAGGAACTCAGTCTTAAGGCTTGAGAACAACAGCCAGGCTTGATGGGGGGGTGGGAACAGGGGAATGGGGATGGGAATGGGAATGCCCTTGAATGTTGCTGGCTATACTACTCACTGTACCATTAGATGACAGACACCAGCACTTTGATCAGCCTTTTAGAGCCAGAAACTGAACTTTCCCAGCATACCTGTAGAGGATGCAGGACAGATCCAAATTACTTAATTACATGAAACTTAGCTAGGAATCAGATGCAATTTATTTTAACTAAATAGTAATAAGTCCTGCCCAGCTGGCGTAACTCAGTTTTGAGCTTCAACCTATGAACCAGATCACGGTTCGATGTCAGGGCACATGCCCGGGTTTTGGGCTCCATCCCTAATGTGGGGCATGCAGGGGGCAGCTGATTGGTGATTCTCTCTCATCATTGACGTTTCTACCTCTCTCTCCCTCTCCCTTCTCTGAAATCAATAAAAATACATTTTAGCCGAAACCGGTTTGGCTCAGTGGATAGAGCATTGGCCTGCGGACTGAGGGGTCCCAGGTTCGATTCCGGTCAAGGGCATGTGCCTGGGTTGCAGGCACATCCCCAGTGGGAGATGTGCAGGAGGCTGCTGATCGATGTTTCTCTCTCATCAATGTTTCTAACTCTCTATCTCTCTCCCTTCCTCTCTGTAAAAAATCATCAATAAAATATATTTTAAAAAAATAAAAATACATTTTAAAAAAATAGTAGTAAGTTCCTTTCCAACGAGCTAAGTGCTTATGTCCCATTTTCCCTTCCACTTCTGCCATCGCAGTGCCTGGAAAACTGAGTTTTTAATCAGAAGTTGATTAGTGGACAAGGAGTCAGCAAGAGAGGTAGATAATTCTGGAGGGATGTTTCCTCTAATCACTGGGAGAGCCCAATGGAATAGTCCTCTATTAAGCATGACTTTCTTTTGAAATTGTGTGTGTATTCCCAATATTAAGTCTTCTGCCCTCCCCCTGACCTTAGAGGTTGCTATATAAACCACATTTTTTCTTTTTCTTTAAAAAATGTTTTTATTCATTTTAGAGAGAGAGAGAAATATTGATGTGAGATAGAACCATCAATCAGCTGCCTTCTGCACCCCCCACTGGAGCCCGTAACTAGGTACATGCCCTGACCAGGAATCCAACCAGCAGTCTTTTGGTTCATGGGTTGACGCTCAACCAACTGAGCCACATCAGCCAGGGGCATTTTTTCTTTCTTAAACCTACTTTTGTCCAAACCCACCCACTTCTATACAGGGTCTTTCTTATTAGTATCATTTAAGTAGCCATGTTGCTGTTTTCTTGGAACTGGGAGACATTCTATCTCTTTCACGTGTATACTTATTTATTGACTTAGGAGTTTTTAAAGATCTCTCTCTTTCCTATCTAGGGAAGGTTACAAAGTGGCAGATTTTAGGGAAAATCAGGCTTTCAGATATGTTTTGTTTCATCTGTATGATGTTGTAAAAGTGGTAAATTTCACCAAAAAATTCTGGAGTTTTGTTTTCTCTCTAAATAATGGAAAATGCACTAGGCTTCTGTTTCTCATGCAGTGACAATTGGTTGGAATTAAATAACTGCTCCTTTTAGGCAAGGTGTGTCCTTGCCATTTCACCATAGTCCCTACCATCTGCTTCCCTTACTATGTAACCTGCTCCATAGGCAATTAAGTTTGCAACCCTTTACCACTACTGATGGTAGTAGGACTCAGAGTGGCCATGTGCTTTTTTTTGTTAGCTGGTAAGAAGTGCTGTGAAGCTATTCTGCCTTTCTCCTTTCTTACCATAGGCTCCTATATTGCCATATTGGCCTAGTAGGGACAGGACCAACTTTTTACTGATCATTGCTAGGCACATCCAATCACTTGCTGATAGCCCCAGGATTAGACAATAATTGATCAGCCAGAAGGCTGAGTATCAGAAGCAATTGCTCAGAGCCACCCTTAGATAATTAAAAATACAATGAGCAAGAGGCAAAAGAAGCAGGATTTAAGACATTCTAAAGTTAAACCAAGAATATTTGTTTATTTTAGTCATACTTGTTTTTCTTTCTGGTTGTAAAAGAAAAGTGCAAAAAATAAAATGTCATCTCTCAAAGTATAAACTCTTGTCATTTTAGTTTACAGTTGCCAGTCTTTGCAAATGTATGTGTGTCAAATGTAATTTTTAACAGACTTACATCATATATGTTTTAATATTTTGTACTTTTTGTCTGAATTTTCTTTTGTCGTAAAGTCTTCTTCCAAAACATTTTTTTTTTATGGCTACCTAATAGTCCATAATGAATAGACAGTGAATTTATTTGGTCAGTTCACTATCGTTAAAGATTTAAGTTGCTTTCTGTTGTTTGTTCTGAAAATCAATTTTGTCATTTTCCCTACTCTGGCTTCTGGAGAGCAATAGATAGTTTGATTACAGAGAGTGATGTGGTAACTGATATGTCCCCTGGGTTTATTGGCAAATTAGAGTCCTCCCCTAGACCAATCAACTTTGGCCAGGGGGGTAGTATCACATTGTACACTCTAGACTTCTAAGAACCCACCCACCCACATATTTTGGGGAGAGGGTAACAGTCAGTTAGGTGGGAATTTCTATATGCTGCAGGCATGGGAGTCTCTCGGAATGGCAAGGATTATATATGAGGTCACTATGGTTCCCTACTTTGCCACAGTCTTAACCTATCTTTCTAGAGGCCCAGCTGTGACCTCTTTTACCCAATCTGTGAGAAGGCCTGACCAGTTTGTGGGCTGCACGTGCCTTGAAAGGGGCTTGCTTTGATTGCAGGATAGGATCAAAGAGGTGTGGCTCCCAAAGTGGCCTAGTGGACTTTAAGGAAGTCCACTAGGATCTAGGTGCAGCAGCTGTCTTTTTCCAGCCTCTGGGGGGCCCAGCACTTACAAGTTACTAACACTTCCCTTCTGTTTGCTCAGGGAGATGGTACTGGAGTTGCCAGTATTTACCGGGGGCCATTTGCAGATGAAAATTTTAAACTTAGACACTCAGCTCCAGGCCTGCTTTCCATGGTAAGTGAGGTCCTATCAAGATTTTGGGTTAGATGTATAGCCAGCTGGTTTCTGGGCCCCTCTTGAGGCTCAGTGCTGCGTCTTTAAATGGAAGCAAATGCTTTTCTTTTCTTGCTCAACCCAGGATTCACCTCTGTCATGCTTACATTTTTCATCAGTCTGATTTTGTTGGGCTGGGAAGTGAAACTGAACTCTGCTGTGTTTCCTTTGTTTTTTAAAAAATGTTTTTATTGATTTCCTAAAAGAGAGAGAGGGCGGGAGAGAGAGAGAGAGAGAGAAACATTGATGGGAGAGAAACATCCATCAGCTGCCTCCTGTATGACTCCCAACGGGGATCAAGCCTATAACCTGGGCATGTGCCCTGACCAGGAATCGAACTGGCATCCTCTTGGTGCATGGGTTGATGCTCAACCAACTGAGCCACAAGGCCTTTTGTTTTGAGTCAAAACATGTGGCTGGGCATTTAGCCTTGCTGCTCAGAATGCATCCAGTCGTGCTTTCAAGATCCAATGTTCATTCGTTCATTGCTTGGCTTGCAAAGACTCTCAGTGCCATTCACTCACACTGCCTACTGGCTGATCACTCCCTTCCATTCACTTACCTCTCCTTGCTCGCCACTCCTACTCCTTTGTCCTTGCATTCCCTCCCTACATATAACACTCACACATGTCACTCTGCTTTCACAGTCCCCCTGCCCACTTCACTTGAAACCCCTCATGTACCCTACCCCTGCTCACTCTCCTTCATGCTCATTCACCCTTCACTCCTCCTTTTCCCTTACCCCTCCCACCTTGCTTCTCTCTCACTCTCCTGCCTTCTCCCTCCTCCCTGCTCATCACCCATTTCCCTCTCAGTGTCCCAACTGTTAATCCCCTAGACCAGTGGTCAGCAAACTGTGGCCCCTTGAGTGTGGCTCTTCCAAAAATACCACGTGCGGGCACGCACGTACAGTGCAATTGAAACTTCATGGCCACACTCAAGGGGCCAAAGAGCCGCATGTGGCTCGCGAGCCGCAGTTTGCCAACCACTGCCCTAGACCCAATATTTACATGCACATTCTCTGTCCTGCTTGCCTGCTCTACCACTCATCTACTCAGGCATTCATCAAGTAAAGATTTGTCGATATCCACTCTGTTCCAGGCGTCATGGTAAGGCATAAGATCTGATCCCTGCCTTTGTGTCACTTAATATCTAATGGCTTCATATGTGCAAAATGATAAGTCTAGTATAGTGTAATCCATGCCATCACTGTATTAAGGTAAGGGCACCTTACTGCATGTAAAAATCCCGTGAGAGCCCCAAGGAATGAGCATAATTGCTGCAGTGGGTTGGGCAAGGCTGTTTCACAGAAGAGGGGACATTTGAGTTCTTGAAAGAGTTCTATACCAGATGACATGAGACATAGTCAAGGGACAGCAAGTGAGGAAGATGCTGAAAACAGGATGCGAATGATGGACACATTGGCCAGTAGAGACGACTGCAGAGGCAGGTTATCTGGCTCTTGATGGGCTTCAAGTGGCAGGATAAGATAAGGTGTGTGGATTTTCTTTCATTGGTTATGGAGAGCCATACACACTTTTGAGGAGGGTTGATCAACTTTGTGTTTTAGAACAAAAACCCTAGCTGCATTGTGATGGCAGGTGGGAATGGAGAGGCTGGGGCAGAGAACCAGTCAGGAGGCTGAGGGAGACTAGCACAGCAGACAATATACAAGCTCCCTTTTAGGAAAGCCAGGCTGGGCAAGTGCAGGTAAGGAGTGGAGAAGTGGCTTGGATCTTCCCTAGGATTAGAACCCCCCTAAGTGCATGCCACTATGTTAGCATCTATGGAAGAGTCAGGAAAATGGAAGGAGGTCTTGGTCTATGCACCTTTGAGGCTTACATTGGTTGAGTTGTGCTGCCACATACATTTTTTAAAAAATCTTCACCCAAGAATATATTCATTGGTTTTGAGAGAGAGAAACATTGATGTGAGAGAGAAACATCCATCGGTTGCCTCCCCCTATGTGCCCGACTGCAACCTGGGTATGTGTCTGAGATCTTTCCGTGTGCAGAAGGATGCTCCAACTAAGCCACACTGGCCAGGGCCCGCCACATACCTTGTAGCGTAATTGTTTTTGCTTCTATTTTCCACTAAATCATGAGTTTCTCAAGGGCAGAGACTGGGTCTTGTTGATCTTTAAGCCTTATGCCTGATACAGAAAGGTGTTGAGCAGATTTTAATGAGTGGAAGATAATCAGAATAACCACTAATGTTTATTGAGCACTTACTCAACAAGCATCTTAATTGCATTAATTTATTTTAATCTTCTCAACATCTCAAGATAGGTACAAATGAGGAAACTGAGGCACAGAGATTATGTGACTAAACTAAGTCACAGTGAGGGGTAGAGCTAGGTCATTTGACTCCAGGGTTCAGACAGAGCTAATTCTCTGAGCCAATTAGTTATACTGCTTTGAAGAATGAATAAAGAAATGGCTACAGGCAGAGAGTGTCCCCTGAGCTATAAAAACATGTTATATTACTGTTTGCCTGTCTTCTTGCTAATAAATGTTTAGACATAGAGCAGCGAAATTGATTGGATGGATGGATGGATGGTAGATAAATAGATAGAATGAAAGAATGAATTCAGACCCCTGGGAAGCCTATCCCTCATCCCTCTGACTGGCTCAGACAGTGCCTTATTTTCATATGAGATGTTTCTGAATACACAAACAAAAAAACTAAAGTAACTTCATCTTACATGGGGACTTTCTAAAGTCTAGTTATCTATCTAATAATGTGCAGTTTTTGCACAGTAGTAGTTTTTTTTGTGGTGTTTTTTTTTTTAATTGATTCCAGAGAGGAAGGGAGAGGGAGATAGAAACATCAATGATGAGAGAGAATAATTGATTGGCTGCCTCCTGAATGCACCATACTGGGATCGAGCCCAAAACCTGGGTAGAAATCGAACCATGACCTCCTGGTTCATAGGTCAAAGCTCAACCACTGAGCCATGCTGGCTGGGCACTAGTAGTTTTATGAGACCTATGCTTTTAATAGTACTAGTACTTTCAGTTTTCCATTTTCTATTCATTTTTTTTCTGAAATAAGGGAAGTATGTGATAATATATTCATAGTTACCCAGACATTGTTGTAAGACAGTGCTGCTGAAACTTAACTTGGGTTTGCTGGTATACAAGTCTGAATTTAGCATATTAAAGGCAGTTTAGGGGGATCAATATATAATAAACAAAAATACACTTCATATGACAGTCAAATGTCTCTTTACAATATGTTACCTATACCAATAAAAGGGTAATATGCTAATCATTCCAGACATCCTTTCTGACAAAGCTGGGGCTGGAAGGAAGCCAGCCTGGGTCCCGGGTGCCTGCCGGTGGCCGGAGGAGGGAAGCCTGGGTCCCGGGTGCTAGAGGGAAGCTGATGTCCGCAGCCGGTGGAAGGAAGGCCTACTCTTGCATGAATTTTTGTGCATTGGGCCTCTAGTCTATGTATATAAAAAGCCAGCGACCAGAACGTCTTAATGGCCATAACGACCAGTTGCTATGACGCCCACTGTGGCCAGCAAACCCTCCCAATTGGGGTGGGGCTGGCAGGCTAACTTCCTGCAGCCCCTCCCCCTGCCGGCCCTGCCCTCAATGGACCCCCACCACCCCAGTCGGCCCAGAGCCCCTCCCCCCAGCCAGCTCTGCCCCAAACAGCCCCCCCACTCCAATCAGGGGCAGGGCTGGCCGGCCAACCACCTATGGCCCCTTCCCCAGGCCGCTAGCCACCAATTGCCCCCCCCACCCCATTCAGGGATGGGGCTGGCCAGCCCACTGCCCATAGCCCCTCCCTGCAGCTGGCCCCACCCCCGATCAGCCCCCACCACACTGATTGGCCCGCAGCCCCTCCCCCCAGCCAGCCCCACCCCGATTGGCCCCTCCCACACCAATCGGGGGTGGGTCCAGCCAGCCACCACTCACAGCCCCTCCCCACAGTTGGCCCCATCCCCAATTGGCCCCCTCCACCCCAATTGGGGGCGGGCCAGCTAGCCAACTTCCTGCCGTCTCCTCCCCACAGGCCTGGCCCCAATCTGATTGGGGCTGGGCAGGCCGGGCCCCACCCATGCACGAATTTGTGCACTGGGCCTCTAGTCTATAATAATAAAAGCATAACATGCTAATTAGACCGGACAGCCAAACGACCTTCCAGACATCATTCCAGACGGAGCCGCGGGGGCCGAGGCAGAGGCAGTTAGGGGCAATCAGGCAGGCAGGCCAGCGGTTAGGAGCTAGCAGTCTTGGATTGCAAGAGGGTACATGCCGGGCTGAGGGACCCCATCCCACCCCCGTGCACAAATTTTGTGCATCAGGCCTCTAGTCCGATATAATAAAGAGCTAATATGCTAATTAGACCTGACAGCGGAACCATCTTTTGGAAAACCAGTGGGCGAGGCTGCAAGGCAGCCAGGACTGTGAGGGCCAAGCCCTTGCATGAATTTCGTGCATCGGGCCTCTAGTTAAATATAATGATGTAAAAACATTTGAAAGGAGGGAAATTGGAGAGATATGGCTAGAGAGGTTCAGATTCTTTATTTTAAAAAACACTTTTCCTCAAAATTCAATAATATAGGATTTGGGATGTACCAGTAAAAAGCAAATGTCTTTTTTTCTAGCATAGCAACTTAGTGCACTTTCTTAAAATTTTTAAATTACCATTTTTATAGAAAAACCATTCAGACAAAACAGTTTATGGCATAGACAATAGAACTCTTCTCACCTAGTTACTAATTTATAACTATAATTCAGTTATAACTAGTATTGGACTAAATAGAGCAAGTCAGGTCCCATAAACACTTGTTCCCATTATAAAAATTCATGCTCTAGGGGAAATGTACATTTATTCACGGATCTAGTTCCTTGAGGGCAGAGATGTGTAGCCTCCTCATTTTTATATCCTAGCGCAGACCCTGGCTCATAAATGCTCAGTCAGTTTTGCTGAAAGAAAGTGTGGAGCAATCAGAGCCACAGGCTCTTTGGGGAATCTTGCCCTTCAGCTAGCATGGCAAGGAAAACTCACTGCAAGTATGTTTGGTTTCCATCAGGCAAATAGTGGTCCCAGTACAAATGGCTGCCAGTTCTTCATCACCTGCTCTAAGTGTGATTGGCTGGATGGGAAGCACGTAGTGTTTGGTGAGTCCTACTCCTGTTCTATGGTCCTGGCCCATTCACTCAAAGTGGGACTTCCAAAAGAGCCAGTCCCCGCATTCATACCCAGAGGTCTTGACTTGTTTAACTGCTCTGTGCAGTAGTAGGGAAAGTGGAAGTGGAAGTAGGAGGTGGGGAGGATGTGTAAGGACAAAGGGGCCATCTGGTAAAGTGCATAGCCACTTGGGTGATATGTATGTCTAAGGGGAAAACCCCCGGATGGTAGTATTTAAGAAATACCACACAGGCAGCATGGTGCAGTGGAGCTTTGCAATTGCTCAGATCTAGGTTTGAGCCCTAATTCTGCTGCTTACTATCTGTGACCTTGGATAAGTCATTTCACCTCCATGGAATCTCAATTTCCTGAAATTGGTATGGGGATCAAGTGGTGTGAGAAGGGGCATGGGAAGCTGGAAAATGCTATGCAAATGAGAATAGTAAAATCCAGTTCATACTCTTCCTACAGGAAAAATCATTGATGGACTTCTAGTGATGAGAAAGATTGAGGTAAGTCCAGTTTTGATTTCCTCTTCCTCAGCCATTCTGATCTGGTACTACCTGACTAGTGTCGAGAGCTAGAGAATCCTGAGCGGCTTCAGTTTGTTAGGCCCAGTCTTCATCCATTACCTCTATTACATGGACTTCCTCAAGGGAAGGGAGGAGAGACCACATGCCTCCCAAGTGCTTTTGGCCTATAATTAGCCTCCTGATTGCACACTGAGATTTGGGCTGTGGTGGCCCCTTCACCTACTTGATAAAATCCTACTCGGCACTGCATTCAAGATCCCTCCTGACCTCATCCCTGCCTCTCTCTTCACAGCCCTTCTGCCACTGCCACCTCCATGTTCCAGTCACATTAGGCTGCTTGAGCTTTCCTCTAAATGTGCCAAACACCCCTGCCTCCTTTTCCTTCTTGCCCCTGAGCCGTTGCTCATGCTGTTTTCCTTTACCTGGAATGCTCTTCTCCTTTCTTCTCCTCTTCCCATTTATCCTTCTTGGTCCAGCTCAAATAATCCCCTATTCTGTGAATCCTTCCCTGACCTCTTTAAGCAACATTCAATTGCTTCCTCTGCCCTGTATATACTTTCTTATAACTTATTACATATGGTAGACTTGATATATTTTAAATGTATGTTTTATTTTTTATCTGTATTATATGCTTAACCTATCTGTTAGGACATGGACTGTTGTCAGATCAGTCTCTGAGCCCTCAGCCCTTAGCACAGGGGCTGGCAGACCTCAGTAAATGTTTGGTGAGTGTCTGAGTATCTGAATCTCCACTGTGCTTTCTGTCTTAGAATGTTCCCACAGGCCCCAACAATAAGCCCAAGTTGCCTGTGGTGATCTCACAGTGTGGAGAGATGTAATCCAGAGCAAGACGGAATCAGGTAAGTGTGGAGTCACCAGGTTTGGAGTCACCACAGAGAAGGCAGCTTGGTCTAGCAGAGAGAACCTTAGACTTGAAGACATGGGATTGAGCCCATTTCCTCTCTGGGTGACTTAGCAAAAGTCACTTCCCTTCTCTGAGCCTGTTTCCTCATCTGTCAAATGGAGATAATTCCTCTCTCCTATGGTCACTGTAAGGACAACAAAGAAAGGGTTATTAGAGCAATTTACTTTTCTACCACTTTGTAGTTTACAAAGTATCAAACTAAAAGCTATAAGGCAGTTTCTGATAGCGTTCTCAGACTGTAGTCCTACTAGGAAGATCTGGCACCAGCTCTGGGTGATTCCCTGCTGGGTCAGCCTAAGTGGCCAGGAGATAGACCTGTCATCCTTCTCATCAGAACTGATGGGCAATTCCAGGTCCTGACTTTGTATTTGCCAGCTTCACAGGTAAACATGACACATTTCTCAACCTCAACTCCTACCCATTCTTGCCACTGCCGGCTCTGTGCTGGCATCATGCTGGGCATGCAGAGAGGTGCAAAGAATTGAAAGATGCCTCTACCTTTCAGGAGCTTACAGGGAATAAGACACATTCTAAGAGGTGATCACTAGTAATGTGAGTGACATTGCTAAGTGTCATAAGAATTCAAGGGAGAAATTGATCCCTTCCAGCTAAAATGGTTCCTTCTCTCTCTCTCCTCTCTCTCTCTCTCTCTCTCTCTCTCTCTCTCTCTCTCTCTCTCTCTCTCTCTCTTTCTCTCTCTCTCTCTCTCTCCCATTTTCAGGCCTGTAGCAAAGTTGGAAGAATAGTACATTCAACAGCCATATACCTTTCACCTAGATTCACCAGTGATTAACATTCTTACTTTATCATTTTGCTTTGACATTTGTTTTTTTCTTTTCCTCTCTCCTACCCTCATATTCCCATTCCATCTCCTCCTCTCTGCTGCTTGCCTGCCTGCCTGCCTGCCTTCCTTCCTTCCTTCCATTTCTTCCCATTTGAAAATTAAAGACTTCTTGACACTTTACCCATAAATACTTCAGTAAGCAACTGCTGAAAACAAGAACATCCTAAACAACCACTATAACATCTAATATACCTGTTCAAACTCCCCCAGTTACTCAGTGTAACTTTTATACCTATAGGAAAATTCATCCAATCAAGGTTCACATACTTCCTTTGGTTGGTTATTAAGTAACAGTATATAATCTTATAAAAATTTTCACACAAAAGTTAAAGTCCCCCATCCCACCCTTGTTACTACCCCAGCCCCAGTCCCACTCCTCTGCCAGAGGTAACTTCTTTATCAGTCTGATGTGTAGCCGTCAGGGCCTTTTCTTTGCCTATCTAATTTTGGGAGATTTTGTTTTTCCAAAATGGCATCATACTGTATTGTTCATCATTGTTTTTCCATTTGGTATTATGTCTGAAGACTTCCTCCTCTGTTCAAGTAAAACTATTTCATTTAAAAAAAAAACTGACATAATATTCTATAAGATGGTTGTAGCATATAGTTTATTTTTCCTCTTTCTTAATGATTTGAAATTTTTACATTCTGAGTCTTAGTTCTTTATATGTTGTGACTATTTTCTCCAGAATATGTTTTAAGAAAAAATTGGCAGTGTGTTGCTTATCTTAACTTTGGTTATATCCTTTGTTAAACAGAAGTTCTAAATTTTGATGAGGTCAAATTATCAGTCTTTCCCTTATGGCTTTTGTGTTTTATCTTATTTAAAAAGGTCCTTATTACCTCAGATCCTGATGTCTTCTGTATTTTTTCTAATATTTCATTAGTTCTATTTGTATACTTACAAAATTATCTAGAATTTATTTTTCTGAATTCTGTCTTTTTCCAAAATGGGGATGTAGTCAAATTCCAGACCACTTTAATGACTGTTTATATCTCTATCTATGACTTTGTGTTCACGGTATGTAGTACTGATAGGCATTCAGTAAGATGTTGTTACATGAGTTAATAGTGAGAGAGAATGTCAGGCATTTCAGGCAGGGAACTGGTGTGAGCAAATGCTGAGGCAGGAATGCACAAGTGTGTGCTGGAAGCTGCACATGGACTTCTCTCATCCAGCCAGATGGTCCCCTCTCATGCCCAGTTGTCACCTGAGCTTTCCTTTCTGCTGGGACTGGGGGCCTCTAGGGCTCAACCTGTATTCCCCTTAAATAACTGCTGGCCATTCCCTCCCTTTCCCCTTCATTTCTTTGCTGTAACTAAAGTTGAACTCAGAGGTCCTTACCCTTCTAAAGATTGACCACTGATCACTACCAGAGGACAGAAGATTAAAAGAATAAATTTTAGAAATTCTTTATGTTTGGGGCCTCTTTTCTATATTTTCTGAGTCTCTTACAGAAAGTTAGTAGAAATCCTTGTTGGGAGTTTTATTTCTGAGGGTGGTGATCATCAGCTCTCCCCTCCTCACCCACTATTAGCAAAGATCATGTGAACCGTAGCCCCCATGAAAGCCCTTCTTCTCAGCCTGCAACCCAAGCAGAACAGATTCCATGGGGGCGATTTGCTGTTCCAGAGGCCCTATAGACCAGGACTGTCCAGGAGACATTCCTTTCTGTGATGGGGAAATGTTTTCCATTTGTGCTGTTATGGTAGCTTCCAGCCTCATGTGACAATTGAACACTTGAAATGTGGCTAATGTGACTGAGGGACTCACTTTTTAATTTTATTTAATCTTTTAAAAGATATTTTAATTGATTTTTTTAGAGAGAGGAAGAAAGAGAAAAATGTCGATTTGTTTCCCCACTCACCTATACACTCATTGGTTGACTGTCATATGTGCTCTGACCAGGGATCAAACCCACAACCTTGGCATATCGGGAAGATGCTCTAACTAACTGAGCTGAAACACTTTCTTTTATCTATCTATCTATCTATCTATCTATCATCTATCACATTTGTATGTAAAGGAAACACTGAGCTAAAGCCAGCCCATACATTTGAATAGTTTTTAATTTATTTTTTTTACTTATTGAGACAAAAAGAGAGAGAGAGAGAGAGAGAGAGAGAGAGAGAGAGAGAGAGAGAGAGAAAGAGAAGAGAGAAACATCAGTTTGTTGTTCCATTTATTTATGCACTCATTGGTTGCTTCTGAAGCACTTCCTTTTAGAGCTCTTTTGTATTTTGCCTTAGATTCTGACTTTGATTTTAGTTAAAGTGAAGTTTTCTGTACAGCTTTACATGTAGAAACCTTGGTTTTATCTTGTGGTCCTGTGAAAGCTTTCTATGATCAATCTGATGCATAGATACATAGGTGAATTGTGGCCCTCACGATTCTCCTGTCATAGTCTGAACTGTGTTCTTTGCTACTTACAATCACATAAGGGCTGGTGGAACCTCTGTTTTGAAAGCCTAAGAGTCTCTTGGAAAAGGGAGTGGCTGTTGGCTCTGGCAACCTTGCTAGTCTGAATTGCTGCTCACCTCCCTGTGATCCCCAAACCTGGTATTTGTGGCAAGCAGTGGAGAACTTACTTTACTTCATTGTTTCCCAAACTCCCCTAAAGAGAAGAATCACTTGGGGGCATTTGAAAAACCTACTAATTCCCAGGTCCCTCCCTCAGGAGAGTTTGATTGAGTTAGTTTAAGGTGGGACCCAGGATTCTGTTTGTAACAAGCATCTCAAATGCTTATCAGAGGAATGTGGGTAATGCCGCTTTCAGTGGTGCTGGAATGAATGTCTTTTAATATTTGCATCTGAGGAAAAAATATATAATTAGCACAACATATAATTTTATAATTATTATAGCTTATAATGAGGCATTGAAATTCAAATAGTGATTAGGTTGAAAATTAATCATACCTGTAGATAGTGGATATGGTAATAGTTGTGAACGTGCTATTTGGAATAATTGAGATTTAGGAAACACTGTCCCCCATTCTGAGATATCCTGTAGATGTGATACATGCCTGCAGAGAAAGGTTATGAAAGACATGTTGGTGGCACATTCGCTGGTCCTTCATTGTACAAATAAATACTAATTAATTAAAATGGGTCCCATACTGGGTGATCACTTCCTAAGGTATATAAATGTTAGTTTCTTATCTGACCTTTGCCAAAAATCCTAGTTCTGTTGATTTTAATCTTGTCTAGGTTAATCTCTGTTCCATTATAAGGGCTATTCCAAGATTACTATTCTACTGCTCTACTGATAAGCTACAAGGAAGTGACTGAAGGAGATTCTCCTACCCAGTAAAGGTTATGTCCTCCCAGCCCCCTGCTTGCCTTCCCTGGAACTGCCCTGTGTCAGTGGGTCTCCAGGGGTATAGGCTTTGGTGCTTTCCCTGGTGGGCAGACCCCTGGGGATGTGGGCCCAACAAGTCCCAAATTTATTGCCAACAGTCTTAGTCCTGTCAATCCCTAACTCCAGGGAAAATTCTTCACCTGGGGAAACAACCTTTCTCGGGGAGGTGGTCCTGTTTAAAACACATAGCGCTAAGAGGGGGAGCAAACATACGCCATATACGCCAGGTCCCTTGAAACATAAGCTGTGCAGATGTTTCTTCCCTGCAGCGACTGTGTCAAGCAGCAAGGGTGGACCAGCTTCTGGCAAATTCCCCCATTTTTATTTTTTAAATGACAGCGCGTGTAAATCAGCGGCCACCTCTCGGATTGGGTTGTTTAAGACTCGGAAGAAGACTTGTTTGTGATTTTGCTAACAGGTCAGTCTGAGGCTTAACCCTATATCGGCTCCCCACATGGTCCCATACTGCATATAAGGCTATAAATTTGAAAAGCCCAGTTCCTGCCTTCCAGGAACTCACAGTGTCTTGGGAAACGGACAGTTACAGTGCAATAAACACAGGACTGGAGGCTTTAGGACGAAGTGAGGAAAGTGTAAATGCCTATGTCTGCCTGGCATGGTTGTGAAGACGGCAGGAGAGATGATGCTTCCACTGAGTATAAGAAAGAATAAGAACCTGTCAGGTGGCTGAAACTGGGGAGGGCATTCCAGGCAGAGGAACAGCATGAGCAAAGCACATGAGCAGGAAGCAGCAGGAAGTGTGTGGGAGACTGCAAATTCAGTATGGCCAAAGCAGGAAGATAGGAAAAACAAACAGTGAAGAGGTGAAGTTGACGGAGGCCAGGACCAGTTGTGAGAACCAGTGTAGGCTGAGAGTTCATATGTTATCCTGAGGGTGAGGATGGGCTTCAGGCATTGTGTACATTTTTCTTTTCTTCCTGGGTGAGAGTTCATTGTTCTCCTGAAATTCTCAAAAGGGGCCTGACTTTGCAAAAAGAACCAAATCAATGGGAGCCACTGAAGGATTTTGAACAGGAGAACATTGTGCTTGCATTTTCTTAGTTAGAAGTTGATTCTGCAATGTGGAGGATGGGGTAGAGGGCAGTGGGGTATCCACTGCTGTAGTCCAGGCAAGAGAGAGGAGGTTCTGCATGAAAATACGGGTCTTGGGAGCACTAGAGATTTGGCAGCAAATATTTGTGTTCCTGCTGGGTGTGTGACACTGTTTGTCCCCTGCCCTGAAAGTCAGAAACCCTGCCAGCTAAAAAGGGAGGGGAGAGGAGAATATCTGGCTCCATTCCAGGGCAATCCAGTACAGCCACAGGCGCTTAACTAGGATACATTCTAAGGGTGTGTCATTAGGCAATTCTGTTGTGTGAACATCACAGAGTGCACTTACACAGTCCTAGATGATAATAAGCCCATTGCTCTTGACTGCAAACCTGTACAGCATGTTATTGTGCTGAATGCTGTAGGCAATTGTATCACAGTGATAAGTATTTGTGCACAAAACATATCTAAGCATAGAAAAGGTATAGTAAAAATATGGTGTAAAAGATTAAAAATGGTACAGCTGTATAGGGCACTGACCATGAGTGGAGCTTGCAGGACTGGAAGTTGCTCTGGGTGAGCCAGTGAGTGAGTGTGAGTAGTGACATTACTGTGCACTACTGTAGACATCACAAACACTCAACACGTAGGCTACACAAAATCTCTAAAACAACGTGAGATTAAATCAAGCACAAGAGAATGATGCAATCAGGAGACGTGGTAAGCATGAGATGCTGCTGGTGAAGCACAGCACACTATTTTACAGCAAACTTTCCTAAGTAGAGTATACTCTAAAATAGCAATAAAAGTATAGTATAGTAAATACATACACCAGTCATTTATTGTTATCATTGTATATCATTGTATGTGCTGTACTTTCATATGACTAGCAGTGCGGTACATTTGTTTATTTACACCAGCAGTATCATAAACACGTAATGCTTTGTACTACAAAGTTGTAGTGGCTACAACATCACTAAATATAGGAATTTTTCAGCTCTGTTAAAATCTTATAAGACTGCCATCATACATGTGGTCCATTGTTGACCGAAATGTTATGTGGCGCATGATTATACAAAAGCAAAGCTCCCTATGTTGGAACCAGGTCTTACAGAAAGCGGTAGATCTTAATGTGTTGGCAAGATTTCTAAGGTAAATTATGTGACAACATCAAAAAATATTATATCAGCCATGGTCGGTTTGGCTCAGTGGATAGAGCATTGGCCTGCGGACTGAAGGGTCCCAGGTTTGATTCTGGTCAAGGGCATGTACCTTGGTTGCGGGCACATCCCCGGTAGAGGGTGTGCAGGAGGCAGCTGGTCAATGTTTCTCTTTCATCAATTTTCTCACTCTCTATCCCTCTCCCTTCCTATCTGTAAAAAATCAATAAAATATATCTTTTTAAAAATAGTATATTATATAAACCATACCACTATTTATTTTGAATACTATTTCAGAAATTTCTATAGTAATATGTAGCCAACTATTAATAACGGTTACCTCTGTAGAGATAGCAAAGAGAATTTTTCAATTTTTTTTAAAAAAAAATATTTTATTGATTTTTTACAGAAAGGAAGGGAGAGGGATAGAGAGTTGGAAACATCCATGAGAGAGAAACATCGATCTACTGCCTCCTGCACACCCCCTACTGGGGATGTGCCCACAACCAAGGCACATACCCTTGACTGGAATCGAACCTGGGACTCTTCAGTCCACAGGCCGACGCTCTAGCCACTGAGCCAAACTGGTCAGGGCGAGAATTTTTCAATTTATATTGTCCTGTATATGCTTGAATTTCCTATATTGAGTACATATCTTATCTAATAAAGCGGTAATATGCAAATTACCATCACGTCATAATAGTCAAGATGGCTGCGCCCACAGCAAAGGCCAAGTTTCCGAAATGAGCCTTAACAAGCAATCAGCAGGGCAGGGCTTGACAGGGGACCTCAGGCTATGTCCCCTGCCTGGCGGAGCTTGACGGGGGAGGGGGGTGAGGGGGGAACCTCAGGCCATGCCCCCAGCCCAGCAGGGCTTGACGGGGGAGCTTAGGCCGTGTCCCCCCCACACACACACACACCCGCGGGGCTTGACGGGGGACCTCAAGGTGCACCCCTCGGCCCAGCGCCGGGCCAGGCGACCTGAGGCCGTGCCCCCCACCCGGTGGGGCTTGACGGGTGTGGGGCTGGCCGGATCTGGGTCTCGAGCGATGTCAAGGTGCACGTGGGTGGGCGGGGACTTGACTCTGGTTCCTGTGGCGCACCCCAGACTCTGACAGGAGGAAGATTTTCATATACATTTTACTAATTTTCTTTCATCTCTGACACTTCTATTATGGAGAAAGGACAAACAGCAATATTAAAATATTTCCTCTAATTCCCTTTTAATATGCACGAATTTCGTGCACCGGGTCACTAGTCTAATAAATATACCCTGTATATATGTGGATTAACTAATCCTAGTTCCTCCCGGCCCCTCCCAGGTGCATGTGACTAACATCAGTTTGAATCATTCCCTGGTCCCTCCATCTCCATTTCCCTGGTCTAGGCAGTCAGTGATCCCCTCCTGTGAGCTCCTAATACTTGGTTCATCTCTCTATTACAGCATTAACACAAATGTGTTTGGTTTTCTCTTGAGGCAGAGACCATGCTGACTGGTCTATAATAGAGCTTGGATCCTGGAGCACAATGCAACTTATAAGTGCATTTATACATTTTTGTACATTCTGCATTAGGGCCCATAGTTAAACTTCTCTTTGAGCCTGCAATATGACACCAGGACTCCCTGTCTTCTGGAAGGGGGGGGGGGGGGGCAGTCACATTCTAGGGGAGGGGAGGGGGGGAGTGTCAGAGTGAACTCACCCTGTTCTTTTAGTACAACTAAAAGGCCATAAATAGAGGGTGTGCAATTTTCTTTCTGTATAACCCTGGGACCAGAACCCACAGGTAAGGAGGATTGCTCTTTGTTCTACAGCTCCACAGAGTGCTCCAGGTCTGCCAAAAGACACGTGCTTTGGTGCCAGTACATCAGGAAGCCCCATCACTGTCAAGCCATTGAACTGCTAGTTTTCTCCTTTGCTTAATTTATAATGTATATTGCACAGAGTTGTAAAGGGTAAATAATGAGATAATATATTTGGCAGTATATGTTAGTTTCTTCTTGGTTCTTGTGTAATATACTTTTTTTTTTTTTTTACTTTCAACTTTGCTCTGGAGAACCAAAGGTCTGGCCTATGGCAAGAATCAGACCGGTTTTACTCTTTTGCGAAGAGAATCAGGAATGTAGAGAATAGGTGGGAATGTTGTCTCATGGAAAGTCCCATTCCAATCCTCTGAGCTGCTAATCTCTTCCATCCCTTACAGACCTCCATGTATCTGCCATTGTAGGCCTGCCCTTGTTCTGGGTGATGCTCATGAGTAGGAAAATCTGGATTGGCCCCTGTGTTTGCTTCCTGGCCTGCTGTTTCCCTGTTTGATCAAGAAACCTTGGAAGTATCACAATTCAGAACCCAGGATTTTCCATGTTTTTCAACTGTAAATAAAGTTTTTTTTAGTATGTGTGTTGTTGTAATGATAGCCCCATCTCCTCACAACATAGCTTTAGGCCATTGTGGACCTGGCTCTCCAACTGCAAGGCCAGTGTGGACCAGAGCCCCAAATTTATAAGCATTTATAGCATTCCCCCTTAGGTTCAAGCTGATTGAGCAAAGAAGCAAAGCCCCAGGGCCAATGTGTTCCAAGGTGTTCCCAGCAGTAGGTTTAGTTTGGTAGTTCTGAAGCCTGTGGGAAGAGAATCACTAACTTGGGATATTTCTGGATGGGAGACCATTAGGTAGAATGTATCTTGATCATGACAAAGTGGGAATAATTTAGTCAAAAATCTTGGTTTGAACCTTGGATTGTTTTTAAAAAACAGTTCAGGTCTTGAGAAGTATTATTATCGCTATAAAATGGGGATAATAATACCTATCTACTTCATAGCATTGTTGAAAGGGTCAAGTAAGAGATTGGATATGAAGGTAACTTGTAAACACAACATGCCTTGCAAATGTTAGTTTTAAAAGGAAACAACCCAATATAAAAAGTTCCCACAATATAATGTTCAAGAGATAAAGAGTTCCCTGGTGTTCCTTTCATGAGGCAATGTCTATGTTCTCCCGTTTCTCCTTTCTCCTGACTCAGATAGGATGACTCATAAGAACAGAGAGCGGAACTCTGTGACAATAGAACCTGGTGAAAAGTGCCATTTCGGTGTATTGGCAGGACAAGGAAGCTAGAGTATAGATATCCACAACTCTACAGCTAAATAAATAGGGTTCAGGGGACATAATGAAGAAAGAACTGATCACATGACTATACAAGGTGGATTATAAAGAGAAAGGAAGGAGAATGATCAGCTGGGATCCTGAGCTGATGTTCTTGTGATGGGTCATTCAGGTAACTGTCAGTAATACTTGGCACCTGCATTCTATGCCAGTCTCTGCCCTGGGCACTGGAGCTGCAATGATGTGTAAGATGTGTCCCATGCCTGTGACAGGAGATAGGCACAGTTTTGATACAATGTGGTATTAGAATGTGACCCCTTATGAGGGCAGGAAATTTGGTCAATACTTGTTTTGTTTTGTTTACTGCTGTGTCCCCAGCCCCTAGTACCTAGTAAGTGCTCAATAAACATTTGTTGCATGAATGATAATGGTCTGTACCAGATGCTATGAGAGCGGAGTGGAGACACTGGGGGTGAGAGAAAGAGATAACATTTGAGGTAAGTATTGACAGATTGGAATTAGCTAAGAGATGAGGGTGGAGAGGGCTTTCCAGGAAGAGGGAACTGTATCCTTGGACCAGGGTCTGTAAGAGATTGGGGACAAGGTGAAAGTTATTTCGCAAAGGAGATTCTTGGAATGAACCCCTTTTCTTGCCTTTCACATGACTTAAAGGTAGGCATTGGAGTTGTCTGAACTGTGATCACCATGTTGGGCAGTGTGAACTCTCAGGGTGGGAGGGGGTCTAGCAGAACTCTAGAGTGGAGAACTCCCATGTAGGAATAGGAGATGCATTTTGGCATCAATGGTATGTCGTCCAGTGCTTCAGAGCCACTTACGCAGTGGTGAAGAGGTGGCTACAAGAAAACTAGTAGGAAATAGCACATCTTGATGTCCACTGATCATGAGAGAGCTTAGTGAAGTGATTGGATGAGTATATAATGATACTGTTAAGAAACATTTTAAAGGCAAATGTTACAGAATTTGGATTTCTGCTAGAGAAGCCATCTCTTCAAACCTGTGACATAGGGAAGGTTGTTCACTTATTCTCAGAGGTGCTGCTGCCATTGTTCTGTCTTTGTAACTCCACTTTGGGAAAACTCTCAAGCCTATAGGGCACACCTTTAAATGTTCTCAGTGTTGGCAGATTGCCTTTGGAGGAAACGGGTTTTTTTTTTAGCAGTCAAAGGTCATCTAGAGCTGAAATAGAGAAATAGCAACTCTAGAATCCACCTACTTCTCTCCATACACATTGTTGCTGCAAGCTTTTTTCATCTGGAATATTGGCACAGATGACCTCTCTGCTGCCAGTACCTCATTCTCCAATCCATTTTCTACACTATCTCATTCATTTAACAAATTTATTAAGATACTGTGTCTCAGGTATTATGCTAGATGCTGAAGGAATTCATAGTCTGGCTGGGAAGATTAGTGTAATATAGTGTTAGGATAGGAGGGTCTCTTAAACTAGTGACATCTGAGACAAGTCTTAAAGGATGAACAGTTAAGCAGGCAAAGGAAAAGAAGAGAAAGGCAGAGTGTTACAAGTAGAGGTAAATAAGTGATAATCTAAAGGAAGCAATGGCTAAATGATCACTTGGAAGGTTGGACAAGGAATGCGAAAGAGTGGGAGGCAAATTTAGAGAAGTCATAGGCGCTTCTATAAATCATATTAAGGAATTCTAATAGATTTCAAATAAGACAATGTCATAATCGAATAGGTATTTTCTAAAACACAGTCTGGGTGTTGTGGTGGGGAATATTAGAGTAAGAAAGAAAGAAGGCCACAGCAGTGCTCTATGCCAGTGGGCAGGCCATCTGACTATTTTTCCTTTTTTTCTTTTTTAAATATATTTTATTGATTTCAGAGAGGAAGGGAGAGGGTCACTATTTTTCAATGGAGATAAGACTGGTTTTTAAATGTTTAAGTAGTTGATAAAATCTAAAGAATATTTTGCATTGTAAAAATTATATGAAATTCAAATTATAATGTCCATAAAGTTTTTTTTATCATACATTTTTATTTACTGATTGGCTAAGGCTACTTTCAGGCTCTAAAGTTGAGTAGCTGAGTAGTTGATTGTCTGGCCTGCAAAGCTTAAAATATTTATTATCTGGCCCTTACAGAAAAAGTTTGTCTACTTGTGTTCTAAGCAATGGATGACGATGGCCTACAATAGAGTAGTAGCAGTAGAAATGAAGAGATTAAAGATTCTTAGGACTGATTCAGGGAGGCTTTTAGAAAGTGGAATTGACAGGCCTAGATGATACTTATGGGCAAGACTACTGCACCGGCCTGTTTTCCCTACTTCCATTTCTGCCCTTCTACAACCCGTTCTCCACTCAGCAGCCATTAAAAAAAAAAAGAAAAGAAAAATTATGTCACTCCCTACTTACAACTCTAAATTACCCTTGTCACTATTGCTCATAGGATAAATTTCCAATAAAATATCCCTAATTTGACCCTGCCTACCTCTATAATCCAATGTCTTCATTCTAGTTTTATTGGATAACTTTACTTGCATTTTCTCAGACCCATTTTTTCTTGCCTGTAGGCTTTACAGAAACCTCCATGCGCTTGGAATCAGCATTCCACCTTCTCCACTTCACTCCCACAATGTTTTGTGCTTTTGCAGCACTGGAGTGTTGGGTGTTTAAATTTCTACCTTCATCCCTAGACTGAATTTAAGAGGCAGAAACTGGCGAACTAGTCCATCCCCAGAAGATCATTGACGCTTAATAAGGAATGAAGGTGGAGGATTTCAGCTACAGCATGTGGCAACCTCAATTATAAATCAATTTTGAAACGTGGATAGTAACCCCTATTTCACGTGGCTAGTGTAAGGCTAAAATGCAAGAAAAATTCCTAGTTTGCTCAATAAACGTGACTTGAAATTAAATCTGATTTGTGGCCAACACAAAAACACGTGAATACTTAACAAGACAGTCCTTATGTGCCTTTTGGTAAGATGGATGGGAAAGCAGGTACTCCTGGAATATACCCCCGCCCTCCGCCCTAAATATGCCGAGCAGGGACCGCATGAGAGCCTGCGTGGTCCCTCCAAGGTGATTGCTCCGCCAAAAACGGGCACTGCTTGAATGCATGTATTTACGTCTGTTTCCGAACCCCTCGGCTGTGCCGCGAGTACACGGCCATTGTAGAAGACGGCTCTGTTCGCAGTAATGGTCTGAGGTCACAGGACCGTATTCCGAGTAGGGAGGGTGGGAGGCCTCTCTACCTGGGGCTAAGGTATCGACGAGCACCCTTCCAGGCCCTTCGATGACCGGGAAATCCCGGCGCAGGCTTTTGGCCGTGCCTTTCTGGAGACCAGGACACAACCGCGGACGTGTAGCCCGCCCGGCCGCCCATGCTACAGCCTCGTGAAAGTCAAGTTCTCTCTGCCCGTCCTCTCGGGTACTCTATGGTTCTCGTGGTGACTCTAATTCTAGTTCCGGTTTCTATGGCGGCGGCGGAGGCAGGAACGGTTGTAGGTCGGCCGAATTAGCCGCCTAAGAGCCAATGAACGTGGAGGAGTAATGAAGTATTAGCCAATACGAGCCAGGAACTGGGGTCAGGTGGCCAGAGTGACAGCGCGCCTGGCCAGTAAACGATGCGTAGGGCGGGTCGATCGCAGGGCATATCCCGCCCGTCCCGCCATTCTCGCTAGTTCGATCGGTAGCGGGAGCGGAGAGCGGACCCCAGAGAGCCCTGAGCAGCCCCACCGCCGCCGCCGGCCTAGTTACCATCACACCCCGGGAGGAGCCGCAGCTGCCACAGCCGGCCCCAGTCACCATCACCGCAACCATGAGCAGCGAGGCCGAAACCCAGCAGCCGCCCGCCGCCCCCCCCGCCGCCCCCACCCTCAGCGCTGCCGACACCAAGCCCGGCACCACGGGCAGCGGCGCAGGGAGCGGCGGCCCGGGCGGCCTCACATCGGCGGCGCCTGCCGGCGGGGACAAGAAGGTCATCGGTGAGAGCCGGAAGGGAACAGGGGTGGGGCCGTAGGAGAGCCTGGCGGCGGAACCGTTACCCGAAGCGGGGCGAGCCGGCGGGCGCGCGACCGGCGGGGACCGACTCGGTGGCGCGCGGCCGCCCCTCCCCCAGGCCTGCGCCCTCGCGGACGCCGTCCCGCCCGGTCCGCGTGCCCGGCAGGCGCGCGCACCGCCTCCTGCGCCCCCGGACCCCGCGGCCTTGCGCCCCTCCCCCCAGGCGGCCGCGCGCCACCGACCGCGTGTGCGGCGGGGTCCCTCCCTCCCCGTGGGCCGCGTGCGCTGGGGCCCGCGTGCCGTTGTTCCGTCCCCCACCCGTTCCCTTCCGCGTGTACCCTGAGGGCGCGGCGCGCCGCCTACGCAGGCCGAAGTGGGCTGGGCGGCTTCCCCTTCCTCACGTGCTCTGCGCCCCGCGGCCCCCGCCCGCTGCCTCCGTGCGCACCCTGCCCGGGCCCGCGCCCCTCTCCGTGGCGTCCTCGCGCTCACCCACGTGGACCGCGGAGGCGCCGAGGGCCTCGGATCTCGGCTCCGGAGCAGGCTCTACAGATAAAGAGAAAGGCTGTCAGGTGGCCTCTGGCCGCCACCGGGAAGCGCCCGAGGGACCGGATGCTGAAGCGTGGCGGTTTTTTAAAAAAAAAAAAAAGGGTGCCTGGTAATCGTGGTTCTTTTTCTCCTCCAGCAACGAAGGTTTTGGGAACAGTAAAATGGTTCAATGTAAGAAACGGATATGGTTTCATCAACAGGTGAGCTGACCATCCTCCCCCTTGCACCCTCTGCTCCAAGCTGCAGGCTTTGCGGATTCGGGATTGCTTAAGCTTGCGTACGTCGGTTGCTGCTCTGGTGTGTTAGTGGGGTTTGTGTTTTCCTTTATGGCTGAAGGGATTAGTGGATCTAGAGATGGTCTTTGTTTTGCAACAAATTATTAATCTGAAGTTAACTTAAAGGCAAGTGGAATGCGTGATCCATCCCCTGACAGGGCAAACTGATGAAAGTAAGATCGATGTGATTCTGTGAGACCGACCCACCACATTTTTATACTTACTGTTTTATACGTTACTGAAATTGGTATTTGAAACGGTGACCCATTGATTAGTATATAGGTTATTACAACTTGTTAACCTTTGGGGGTAACATGATTTACCAATGCAATTATGTGAGGTCTGGTCAGATTGACTAAGGTTGTAGTGCCTTTGTTTAACGTTTCAATATACACAGTTTGAATGCCTTCGTTGAATTTATTTTAGGACTGCTTTGACAACAAGAGCTGTTTTCATTTGCTCATAGAGTAACATCTGGAATAAAATGGCCCTGGCCTTCCTCAATAATTATTTCTTCTACTCCTTTGTCCCCAAATCATATCTATTAGATCAATTTTATTAAAGCTTTGCTTGTAGCTTTAATAATCAGAGAGGCCTTAGCCCCTTCTAACAGCTTCCTTTGTAGTGGAAGGCAGGGGTACAGACTACATCTCAGGAATGATGCTTAGGGTTGTTTGCAGCAACAGTGGAGTGAGGTGCAGTTTGCCCAGTGCTCCCCACGTCTCCCCTGTGATCTCCCCTGTGAGCGAGGCATCCTCTCCAAGATGGCTGCCAGGCTGGCAGTGCAGTGCTGGTGTAGTGCACCCTGTGTGCTCAGAGGAGGCTCAGCATCTCACTAGTCTCAGTGGTGACACCATACAGTCGTCTCAGCATTTTCTTAAATCCTTACTTTAGAAGGCATTAAACAACTAGAGGTTTAAAGACACAAGAAGTAATACCGAATGCTTGTGAAATGGACAACACTGCAGAACACCAAATGGGCAAGATCAAGTTTAAAGACAGACATAATTGGCTGATGAAAAACCATTCATTACTCAACCATAAAAGTATTGTGGGGGAGAGCAAAGGAAATTGTAAGTATTGATGGCCTGTTTTCCACGTTTGCAGTTGTGGGGAAATATTTTGTTCCAAAATCTTTAGGAATTTTCCATCTGTTCTTACACTGTCTGCCTTCCTGTGACAGGCCAAGGCTACATTTTTTCATTAGTTTTTTGATAATGGGTTACAAGTGAGGAAGGAAGGGAATACTTTGGTGCTTATAATTGACCACTTTTTAGTTGATTGATCTCTTAACTTATTAGCATTTCAGTTAGTATTTCCACCTTAATAACCCTTAACAGTGATTTTTGAATTTGTGTGCTTACTTTGGAAGAGTACATATTCCTGCGCTCTTCCTGCCCAGCCTTGGATTCTCTGGGTCTAGGGTACATTTTTAACAAGAACTCCAGGGGATTATGGCTTGTGGGTAATAACCTTGAAAAACATTGCTTTTTAACCTTGACCCAATATAATCAAAGGATATCACTGGTGTGCACAGTAGAAGGAACTGTAATTTGCAGCCCTTTCTGTGTAGATTGTAGTTTGTGTGTGCTTTTAAAATTGTAGCATGTGCTTTCTGTTTTGCTGTATTTTGTTAAAATGGATGTAGGTTATAATCTTTTTGAAGTGAATAATTCAAGATGAAAGAGTAGTTCTTTACATTTTTAAATTTTTATGTGATGAGACGTCATTGCTTGAATATTTCTGTTCTGACTTGCAATCAACACAATTGGTCATCCTCCAGGGCAAGTTAAATGTAAATTGGTTTTTGGTGATCCTTTGTTTGGACTGTCCAAACCTCAACTATTCTGTCAAATTAACTGGCTCAAATGTGCTTTATATTTCTAAATTAGTTGTTTCAATGATTCTGAGACTTGAATAAGACACTCTATAATCTGACTGCGGCTAAATCCACAAGAGGTTTGCCTTGATTAAGGGAAAATGTATGTCTTAAAGAACTAAAGTTCTTGATGCTAACAGTTGGTTAAGTATGTAGAGCCACCTGGAGACGTGGGGGATGGGGGGACAATGCCTTTTCATCTAGTTTTTCTGAGAAATTCATTTTGTTTGTATACTGAGTCTGCAGAAGATAATTAGATAATGTGACCAAGAAGGTCTTATTTACCCTCCCCCTTATTTTTAATTTTTACTATGAAAAACTTGACTCAAAACTGTTGAAGGTAACATTAGAAGGATGCCACATGGGTCAGTGGTTTCAGGATTTGAATCTCTGCTTTTTTAAATTAAAAACCTGATTTTTTTTTGTCTTTTGCTTCTAGCTGTTGTGGATTGATCCATGCTTACCAAACAAACAGTTGGCATGAATCAGTAAAAATTTATTTTCAATGGGACATGTATCTTTTATAATGACCAGAATAGGAATACTTTTCTATTCTCTGGGGTAATTGTTTTTATTGATTTCAGAGTGAGAGATAGAAACATCAAGGATGAGAATCATTGACCAACTGCTTCCTGCCCACTCCCTGCTGGGGATCAAGCCCACAACCTGGGCATGTGCCCTGATCTTGGCTAGAACCATGACTTCCTGGTTCATGGATCAATGTCGGCCGGGCTGGACAATACAATGTCTTAAAAAGGAATGTGATTAATTTCTGTCATTTAAAATTCAGGAGATAGCACCAAAAATATCTAGAATTTTACCTTTAGGGCCTCTAATCCCAGGCAAATAAAAAGTTCTGGCTATGAATATTATTATCACACTAGAGGCCCGATGCACGGAGATTCATGCAAGAATAGGCCTTCCTTCCCCTGGCTGCCGGCACCACCTTCGCTCTGGCCCAGAGCCACCTTGCCACCTTAGCACTGCCCAGAGGCCCGGAATGGCCGGGGGTGGTCCCAGCTGCTGCCACCTTTGTCACGTCAATTTGCATATTCCCTCCTTATTGGCTGTGGGTGCCTCCATCTTGTTGCAAAGTGATGGTCAATTTGCATATTCCATCTTTATTAGATAGGCTTTAAACGAGGCATGCATTCTCTTTATTTACCACAATCTGTTGGGCTTAGTTTTCTGTTGATTTCCATTCCTGCCTGGCCTTTGTGTGTGCATTTGAATGTATTACCCATGAGCTAAGAAACAGCACTTAGCTATCCCTCTTTACAAAAATACTTAGTCGTAGCTGTCAAGTGTATTCTCCCTTGGCAGGGGTGGGGGAGAGTTGGTGCCCCCTTTTTGGGGTTTTGTGTGTGTATAAAGGTGACTTCCTTCACACAATAAGTAAAAGTAATGTTTATCAAATACTTATCATTATTTAAATGCCTTAAATGAATCAAGCCTTTGAGATACAAGTACCATTCTAAGGCACAGAGAGCAAATTGATCCCAGGAAGAGACTAGCTAGCAATGGGCAGAGCTGGGATTTGAACTGCATTTTCTGACTCTGGAGTTTGGGAGTTTGTCTTCACTGCTGTTCTACAGTCTCTAGTCATCAATTTGGTGCTGTCCATATAGTTAGTTAATTTCTTAGGGTGGCCATTCTTAGCTATTTAGTCTTTCAATAAGCTAAAGGATGTCTAGCATGTCACTGGAGCTCCTGTATGCTGACTACTAGTCCTCAGATTTGAAAAGCTCTACTTTTCACTGCCTGTTTTATGTGATTAAGAATTGCTATAATAGTACCAGTTTACCCTATAGATTGGTTTTACAAATTAAAGGACTTGCTTAACACGTTTCGTACCGCTCAGGAGTTTTCTCGTGTTTCGCGCCATCTGTTAAGGACCGCTCACGAGTGTTCTCGTTTCTCACGCCCATGGAAGAAGGAGTGAATCTAGATACTTAGGTAAATTTTGTTTGGTCCCTCTTCATAGAGGAAAATGTTTTATGCAGTACCATACGTTAAAAAAGTACTAGGAACTTTAATTGTTTTTGTAAATAAAAATGTTATAATTATTGAAAAACAACACCTGAAGTGCATTATGATGATTTAAATAACGTGCAGTTTGCCCAAAAACGTTCGGTCCCTGGCGTATGTCTTAGAGATTTCTATGCGGTACGCAATGTGTTAATAGTTAATATTGGGAGGCAATTAAGGAATTAAAGGAGAGAACATCAGACCTTAATTTCACTTCTGAATCTTGTTTTGTTGATTTTGTCTGGCTGAGCTAAGAATGGGTTTTACCTTTTTAAAGGGTTTTTAAAAACATGCAATAGTGTCTGTGACCCCACAAAGCCTTAAATACTATATGGTTCTTAAAAGGAATAGATTTAGGGACAGGGGAGGCATAATAATATATTTAAGTAGTTCCCAAATTATGTCTTAAAACATGACTTAGAACTGGGCTCTTATGGCAGTGACTTGAATATAGAGCACTTTAGGATTGATTTAGATGCTGATTTATGTCAGCCACTGGTGAAGGCCAGAAACCATCCAGTGTTCACCAAGTCGCTGATATGTAAAATCTAGAATAGACAGGTAATGTGTTCATTTTCTGCTTTCCTAGTAGGGTTTGTAATTGCTGAGTCTCCTACCCTTCAAATCTCAGCCCTTGGAAGCACATACAATCTAGCTCACTTAAGCAGGCAGAATGGTAAAAGGTGATGTGGGGAATAGGAGTGTGTCTCTGCTAGGTGTCTGGAGTGCTTTAAAGAGAACAAATAAAACAATAAATGGGATTTGTGATCTTACAGTCACCTGTAGGAATTGGAAATTGGTATTTGAATACTTTGGAATTTGGAGCATATACAGGGTATCCAAAAAAAATGCATACACTTAACATTTGATAGTTCAATTGATGTTTATTTTCAGATATAACTCATTGGAATTAATAATGGTATTCAAAGTGTGTTTCCATTTGGGGGGGGCACCATGTAGCTGATAAATCCTGGAGTTTGTTTGTGTAACCAAA